ATTGCTAATTCAAGGTTCGCCATATGTTTACGGGATCATTTTAATTTTTACGTGCGCTTTTAATTTAAAATAATAATTTTAAAATATGTACAATACAGTCCCTTTAAATTCGATAATCGAATAAACTTTTATTGTATTAAATATTTTCTGCTTGATTTCATTTTGGCTGTCGAAATGCGATCAACTAAAATACAAGCGTTCTTATTGGCTAGACTGGGTGACTTGTCATTACTAAACGAGAGCTCTTATTGGCTTATATTGGATATATTGAATAACGATTAATAAGTTATAATTTGACGTTTGATTGACAGTGACAGTTGCAAGGCCAACTGAATTTGGTGGAATAATATAGGACATTTTATCAACGCACATACATAATTATTATTCAAAAATAAAACTGTTTTATCACAAACATTTCAGTATTTTGTATGCGTGAAAATACGTTCGTTTTGAATAAATATTTGAATTTACAATTTGCCGGGTTTCGAATTTAATAACACCATTTCGGTACGATTTTAATCTTTAAATCAAGTCGCCGTTTCGGAGCATTTTGCGTCTTTTGTTTGAATTTGAACAGAGATTAAAAATTTTCCGCGAAATTACATATACATTCTCTACCTATACGGGGTGAATGAAAAAAAAATTATAAATTAAATAAACTTTAAAAAAAATATGTAAATATGCTAGACATAAAGAAGTAGATAAATAATAGATATAAATAAAAAATATGAAGATAAACGATAAAAACAAAAAAAAAATCCACAAAAAAAATATCTATAGGTAGATATAAAATCTTACTTATAATAATTTAAACCCCGCGGTTATAAGTAATACCTTTTAATATAATTTCCAGTTATTTGTTATACAACAAGAGAACTAATCTCGGGCACCCGGTATATTTAAACGTAAATAAATTACTAAAAAAAAAATAGAATGTCTTACAACATGTAACATCACTTAATGTCATAAAAAACACGATGATAATCGGAGAAGTACGTATTTATGCGACGTCTCGCACGAAAATTAAATACCTTTACCACACACACATCACATACAGCTAGGTAATTCAATAAATGGAGATTCGTGTCGATTTTAATTGACTGTTTTATTTTTCAATTTTTCAATGTAATTAAATCGCTAAATCGCACGCACGAAGAAGAACTATCTAATTACCTATCCAAAATCTCTAATTATAATTTGCTTCAATGCTACGTGTTGAACAAAGAAAGGTTATTAAAATAACAGTGAATTGGAGTGAGAAAGTTGCAATAAACCCACAATACATCGACCCATCTTTTTCCTTGATACGAGCACTAATAGAAGTTGTCTTTGTTGCACCCATAGACACCATATTGCATAATATCTTTTCCACAAATTTGAGCTCTAAATAATTCAGATTCAAAAGTTTTCTCATAAATTTCACTATGTACTCTTTTAAGGGTCAATTGTACACAACATGTTTACTCGCAATGTTAAGTAAGTTTTTAATTTTCAATTTGTTCTTGTCATTTTGCCATTTGACAATTTTAGAAGATTCTTAGATTTCGCAAACTCTATAAAAGTTCGGCAACACTGCCTACTTGTGACGTAGTAAATCATAGGTGAGGCGCATTGAAATTTGTTTTGCACCGACTGTATATCTAAATATTGATGTTTTTTTATGGGTACCTACGCCACTGGTCGATGGGATTTCGTTTCTTTCTCGTAATAGAAACTGGAAAAAAATATCTCTCTGGTGCGCCGTATAAGCCGTATATAATATGCAGTAACCTTGCCCGGATATCATTGGCCTCAATACATGCACAACTGGGCATATATGGTACTCGGATAAAAGTAGACCAGTTAAATAATTACCGTTGTGCGCATTTGTAGAGGTACTCTCGATGCAGACGCGGTTTTCGGCATCGATTTCGAATCGATTAAAATCGATTTGTTTTTTTTTGTAGTTTCGATTGTACCTACCGCCATTTTGTGGCGAGATTTTTGCAATATGAATTTTGCATAATAAACGAGATTTTTGCAATATTCGATCTGTGAATTTTGCATAATAAAGATTGTGCATATTAATTTAATAATATTATTGTAGATGATGCTATAAAGGAAAGTTTTTAATCGTCTTATAATTTCATTAAAATGGCGGAAATGTTGAGAAGAAAGTAAAAAAAAATGATATTGTCATATACAGATAAGTGCAAATTTGTATACAACATGGGTTGCAACAAACACAACTTCCATTAGTCTCATTAAAAAAGAAAAAAGTGATAATTGTAGGGAAAACTGCAACTTTCTCACTCTAACTCACTATTATTCTAAATAATTTGTCTTTGTTTTTGTCTTTGTCTTTTTCAAAAACAATAAAATAAATCAAAAAAATAAATAAATACAAAATAAATCAACGTACTCACCATTCCATAGTGTAAAATACGCATATGTAAAATCTGGAACAATTAAAACAAAATCAAATAATTTACTTACTTGTAAAAAAATTACTAATGAGTTATTATAACTGGTACATCGCCTCTACTAATGGATAACATTGAGCGAATATTGAGCGAACTTTTAGCGAACTTTGAGCAAACTTTGAGCGATTTTTGAGCGATTTTTGAGCGAATCTCGCGTGAACATTGAGCGAACATTGAGCGAATACTGAGCGCAGAAAACCTACGTGGAAACTGGGTGAGCGATCCTAATCTTCAACCAACCATAAATCCATCAAACAATGTTATCATTGTTTCAAAATTACAGAAAAAAATATACGAGTAAAGGCAATAAAGTTGCAAATGGCGCGCGATTCGAGTTTTCTAAATTTTTTTTCGCTCAATCGATTGCGATAAACAAAAAACGCATAATCGATTAATAGATTTTTTTTTTAATTGTGCGATAAATCAAACGATTTCCTGCGATTAATGTGCATAGTTTGCACGTCTTTGCATTAATCTGGACATTAATTTAATTGCTCACACATCAAGTAGTGACGTATGATTATTATTTAATATTATTATTTATTTATTTTATTGCATACAGAGATTGATTTTTCGAATATCTAATTTTAAATGATATTTTTTTAAAGATATAATGATAATATTGTTAGATTAGTGTGGATGACTAGACTAGATTAGATCATTTAAATTAGTATAAGTAAATTATACAGGGTTGGCTTGAGGCGATCTAAATATGGGGTAGATTTAGGTTAATAGGTTAGTAAATAAGTGGATATTATAGAAGATTTTAAATGCAAATTTGACGATTTTCTCCGATTATTTTATTAAATTAATCGATTTTTCAAATGAAAATTTCTAATTAGTCTTCTAAAAGTTCTTAAAAAAGTTCCAAATAGTCATAAAACTGTTCTATATGGAGTTTGGGCAGTTCTAAAATGGTTCCAACTGATCCTGGACCGTTCTAAATGATTATATAGGACCCTCCTAAACTGTTTCAAATGATCCTAGTTGGTTTAAAACGGTTCTAAATGATCCTAGTGAGTTCTAAAACGGTTCTAAATAATTATTGACCGTTCTAAATGATTATATAGGATCATCTAAACTGTTTCTAATGGTTCTAGTTGGTTTAAAACGGTTCTAAATGATCCTAGTGAGTTCTAAAACGGTTCTAAATAATTCTTGACCGTTCTAAATGAATATATAGGATCATCTAAACTGTTTCTAATGGTTCTAGTTGGTTTAAAACGGTTCTAAATGATCCTAGTAAGTTCTAAAACGGTTCTAAATAATTCTAGACCGTTCTAAATTGTTTTGAACAGTTCTGATTGATTCCATGATCGTCCTGAATTGTTTTAACCGGGGCTAGTTAGCTCTAAAACGGTATTAACCGGGAATCCCCCGAAAAAACACCTTCAATTCTACCACCACATGGAATTAAAATTACCTTTAAATCCTCACCAAAGCCAACCGATATTGTCGAAACATACGCGGACATCTTCTCGCGCTAACACGCCGCCATTTTCACGCGCATTTTCCGGGTTTTTCGCGATTTTCCAACAATAATTTCGACGAGGGAATAATAAGAGAGAGAGAGAGAGCGCGCCTCCTCGCCGGTCGAACACTCGGTAAAGACTGAATTGAATATACTGAACGTCAATATTGGGGGCCAAGTCCGGTCGATTTCGAACGGATTGTTGCATAGCAATTGGATTTTGAACAATTTATAAGTGACGCATGCGCGTGCGTATATCTACGTCAGGAACGCGCCGAAGCCTGCTCGAAATAGGTGAAATGTATGAAAAATTTAATAACAAATGAATGCATAAATAAATAAACAAACAATGTTAGGTAAAGGGTGTATATGGTTTGATCACAAGTTTAAGCATAATCTCTAAGTAAATCGCTAATAGTGACTAGCAATGATCGTAAATTTCACTACAACTCGCTAATAGTGACGAGCAGTGTATTATACGATCATAAAATTCACTCCTAAGTGGGTCACTTATAGTGACGAACTCTTAAACTTTCACTATAATTCCTAAGTGAGTTACTAATCGTAATGAGCAGTGTATTGTTTCACAAATTTCACCAGATTTTCTAAATTGAGTCGCTAAATATGATGAGCAGTGTATTGCTTGATTACAAATTTCTCCATATCTTCTAAATTGAGTCACTAAATATAATGAGCAGTGTATTGTTTGATCAGAAATTTTACCATATTTTCCAAGTTGAGTCACTATAAAATATGATGAGCAGTGTATTGTTTGATAAGAAATTTCACTATAATTTCTAAGTGAGCTACTAATAATTGTGACGAGCAGTGTATCTAACCAATACGATTTAAACTCGTGTAATTTATTAAACAAAAAAACGGCTTGTGCATCTTCGAAGGTTAAATATGCATTATATTATTACTATTGTAAATAAAACGTTTCCATCAAATCGTTTGATTGGCAATTAACACTCATCGAAATCGATTGTTTTATTTTATTAATTAATAACATTATCGTTTCGTTATTAAATAATCGATTTAATAGGTCGCCCGAATTGAAATGTTTTCGAAACGTTTGCAAAAATTATAAAAAAGCTCAAATGAAATTCGAATTATTCGCAATTCAGTCGAGCTCTCGTTCCCGGTAAGATGGTAAGTAAATCAATTAATAAACCAATTAATTAGTGACACTAATTAATAACATTTTGTAGATTTTGATAAAAATCCTTTGCGTCTGGATAGCTGCGATAGAAATAACGTTATGTTTCTCGCCGGGTGTCATTATGGCTATAGCCAAAGTCCACACAGCCAAGGCCAAAGCCAAAGCTTCGGCTATAAATTGGAAAATCAAGAACGCCATGGGGAAATCGAAGAATAAATACAAATCCTTGGGCTCTAAGAGATACACCAGAGAAATCGATTCCAAAAACAACTACCCACCGCACGAAACTCAAAAAATAGGAGAAGATGGCGGAAGTTACGAAATTTACGGGTGAGTTTCTTTTAGAAAAATCCTCCGAAAATCGAATAATGAAACGAAAAACGTTCCAGAACCCCCTATGATTATCGAGGGGTCGCGCCTTCGTACGATTATCGGGGAAGATCGGCGGAAGAAAACGACGATGTTCCGATTTTCTACCAGCATTTTCCGAGTTTCCACGAAAAACCCGGCGACATCGGGTTCCAATTCGACGGGAAATCGCCCAATTTCGAATGGAGTTTCGACGATTCCCAGACCAATTTAAATTTCGCCATGGAGAAACACAAAACGAGAGATTCATTACCGGTAAGTGAACAAAAAATGTCAATTAAAAAAATTTAATCAAAAAATTGAAATGAATAAAGCAATTATATTTATATAAAATTAATTCAAAAATTGAAATTAACGTGCGAATTAATCTTCAAAAAATTGAAATTAATTAAGTAATTAATCTTCAAAAAATTGAAATTAATAAAGTAATTAATCAGCAAAAAATAAGTCGGGAATTACAATTAAAAAACCTTAATAATTAATTAATAAAAAGTAATAAAATTCACCAATTAATTTACAGATACTAGGAAGCACCATTAGTAACATTGATGATAACAAATTAGCAAATGAACCAGCAAAAGAAGAACAAAAAACCCAAAACTCAGAAGGGGACCAAAAAGTGAGTAAAAAAACTTCATCATCAAGCCACAAACATCTTCAAACCCCTTCAAAACACCCTTTTTACTATAAACCAATTAATATTTCAGGCGAGGTTCGTCCATTTACCGTTGAAAAAACCATTGGTACAACCAGAGTACCAAGACCCGTACGATTATGACCCCTACAAACCTGAAGATAAGAAGGATATGGTCCATTATCTGGACGAGCAGAACAAATACTTCGGATTGCCCAAGAAAGAATTCGATGATATCGATTATCACGAACCGGAAGAGTCTGGATACGATCAGGTAATTAATCATGTTTTACCAGAGAAGTCATGGAGTCATTAAGTCATAAAAGTCCAAGTTTCGCTTTTGAACATGGTCTCATTCAAAGGGGCGAATCAACCCCTTGGAGTTGATTGGTGATGTGGCTACTTAGTAGACTCCAAGAGTAGACTTGAGGCTATATCCTCTGAAAATTTCACGTCTCTAGCTTGGCTACAACCAATTTTAGAGCGCATCAAAATGACATCCAGAGGTTTCCAAAATTTTACCAAGGCTTTGCTCGAACCTGGCAGTTTATACTAATCAATATAACCCATCAACATTTCCAGGATTACACGCCGAACGGACCATATGGCTACACTATACCCAGACACTACCCCGTACCCCATCCAGTCAAAATCATCCCTCATCCATACAAAACTGTCGCCCATCCAGACAAAGTGAGCAAACTGATGGACGCCAAACACGACGGTATGGACAACCTGGTGGAAATCCTCCACGAAAAAGGCGACCTCCTCTTCGACATGCTCCGACCTCTGGCCACCCACCTGGACACCGAGGTCCTCAACAAACTGGAGCACCTGGATAATCTCAAACATCTGATAGAAACGCCCAAAATCCCATACGTCAGCCCGCCCCTGCAACCCCCGGATGTCCATTATTACGCGCCCAGGAGCAGCTCGACCAATGGTACCGATCCCATCGTGGGTTGGATCATCCAGGTTCCTACGAACGTCAAAAGGATCAGAGAAAGATCAGTGGCTTCCAGCAGTGATGATGGGTACCTCAACAAGCTGATCGATCACGGATCCGAGGCTTTCAAAGCCTTGAAACGCATCGGCGGCGGTAACGAGCAAATTGTAGCCTTAGCGCGGTTTGGCGACAACGTAATGGAGCACCTGAGGAGCAAAATTCACAAGAAACAGAAACGTAGCGTCTATATGGATGAGTAAGTGATCGCTCAATAAACCAATTCCTACAGTAAACAATGGTTTTCATTGATCCTACCCTAATCTACCTATCATTTTGACCTAATAGTCGGGTGATTGAAACTAGCTGAGACTTGTCGAAACGTGTTTTCCAGTTTTCTAACGGATCCTTCGACCAAAATCGACGTTTCGAAGATTCTGGAAAACTTGGGGACGTTCACTAAAAGGCTCTTCGAGCACCAGGATACTCCCATGTTGCACGTAAGGAACCTAGTAGGCTCCACTAAGGACACCGTACTGGCCACCATGAAGATACCCAATCAAAATTTTATCACCCCCTCAAACTACGACATCATCGACAACGATAACAAAGACGATCCGGAAATCGTTTCCAGAAGCTTCGGCGAAGAACCCGGCACGTTCTGGCCACAAGAAATGGTCGCCAACACGTTCCAGCAAGTAAGAAAACTATTGGCAAAATTCTGGATATGTTGACGAGTGCGTTTCATGTAGGTGGGTCAAGTGATCAGGAACAGCGTAAAATCCGGACAGGAGGCCATCAATCACGTCGGGGAGATCACCAATCACGCCAAAAAGGCCATCATCAGCGCCAAAAAGGCTCCGGAAGTGATCATGGATTCGCTGAACGATCCGATACCATTGATATCCGCTTCGGAGCCTGTTAGAATCAACTCCAGATTCGGGGAAGACCAGGTAGTTGGCGATGCGCACAATGCCAAAAGTAAGGATATACTAGGTCATACTAGGTTATGCTAGGTCATACTAGGTTGGGCTAGGTCATACTAGGTTGTACTAGGTTATACTAGGTCATGTTAGGTTGTACTAGGTTATACTAGGTCAAATTTAAGCGAATTAATTTATTGATTGATTGATTGATTGATTTTGATGCAGGCAAGGCGGATGGAAAGTTCATAAACATCGGTCATTTGCTGGACGCTGTGGGTATATCGAAGCCTAGCGACAGCCTGAATAGCATCGAAAATGATGAAAATACGAATAAGATATACAAAAAATTGGATGGAATGAAGTTCGTTGAGGAGACGACGAGGAAATTGAAGAAACTTAGTGAGCCGTGGAAGGTGAAATGTAGATCGAAAAGGGAGGTCTACCCGTACGGTTACGAGGGAATGGTTGGGGTGAGTTTTATACCGCCGGGATTGACGCATCCGTTTATGAATATGCAGAATTTCGGACGAAGAGAGGCGGATGATCGATTGGAAAATGATTTCGAGTCTAGTTTTGGTGATTTTGATGGGCCCCAAATGAGCGATGGGCGGGAGCAATTCGTCCAACAACCTTTTATGTGAGATGTTGTAAATAACTTAAATTAATAAAAAAGTTTAAAGCTTACCTGCAATTTTATCCTGTAATACAATTCGCACATTTCTTCGCGCTAAAATCGGTTTAAACACCTTTTTTTTATTGCCGGACATTTTAAAATTTTAAGCGTCTTCACGATTCGTTTTACTGACGCCACGCACGCGCAAGACCCATGTTTTCTTCTTTTTTGTAAATCGCTTAAGTACACAAAAGTAAGAGGCCAGTTCCAATAAAATATTTGTGACACTTTTGACAGTTTACTTGTCAATAAATTTATTGAAAAAAGAAAACAATTTGTATAATTTTGGACTGAAATATTACCAAAATGTCCAATAAAGGACTAAATAAAGCGAATAATTTAAGAAACCAACTGCAAGGCATCATCGCTTCAGGAGGTTCACACAAGGATCAAGCAGAAAAGTAATAACTACAATAATACAAAATTTCACGCATTTCACTTATAAAAATTTTATAGATACCGGTCCACTTTGGAAAACATATTAAAAGAAAGCAACAACGATCTAATCGAGTGTTTACAAATATTCATCGAAGCCAGTAAGTACCCGCAATCTTCTAAATAAATCGTATAAAAACCATTCGATCGTAATTCCAGTCGTAAACGAGAACGTCAGCTTGGTCATTTCCCGGCAAATTCTAACCGAAATCAGCGCACACTTGATGAAACTACCTGACGATGTATCGAAGGAAGTCTCCCATTACATGCTGGAGAAGGTCCAACCGAGAGTGATCTCTTTCGAAGAGCAAGTAGCCAGCATTCGTCAACACTTGGCGGACATATACGAAAGGAACCAAATGTGGAGAGACGCCGCCGTAGTGTTGGTCGGAATACCTCTAGAAACAGGCCAGAAACAATACTCTGTACGCTGCGATACGTCGCTACATTCGACTGATTTAAAGCCCGTCATTTTCAGGTGGATTACAAGTTGGAAACGTATCTGAAAATCGCTCGATTGTATCTGGAAAACGACGATCCCGTTCAAGCCGAGGCTTTCATCAACAGGGCGTCGCTGTTGCAAGCCGAGTCTCGTAACGAGCAGCTGCAAATCTACTACAAAGTGTGCTATGCTCGCGTGTTAGATTACAGACGGAAGTTCATAGAAGCCGCGCAAAGATACAATGAATTGTCTTATAGAACGATAGGTTTGTTATAGTAATTTTGCGGCTTTAGAAACGATTGATTTTCGTGTTGTTGCAGTGCACGAAGATGAACGAATGACTGCTCTACGAAACGCTCTAGTTTGTACAGTATTAGCGTCTGCGGGGCAGCAAAGATCGAGAATGTTAGCGACTCTATTTAAAGACGAAAGGTGCCAACAATTACCAGCAGTCGCTATATTAGAGAAGATGTATTTAGAGAGGATTATCAGGAGGTTTGTTTGATTATACATATCGAATAAGGTGTTAAAAAATGCATCTTTCGTAGAACGGAATTGCTGGATTTCGAAGCTCTGTTGCAGCCTCATCAGAAGGCTTCTACCATCGATGGTTCGACCATATTGGATCGCGCTATCATAGAACACAATCTGTTATCGGCCAGCAAGCTTTACAACAATATCAGTTTCGAAGAGCTCGGAGCCCTGTTGGAAATCGTACCGTCGAAAGCCGAAAAAATCGCGAGCCAAATGATAACGGAAGGTAGAATGAACGGGTACATCGATCAAATCGATTCCATCGTACATTTCGAAAGTAAGTACACAACAACCGATTATCTCGATTGCTAAAATTTATTTATTTTAGCTCGCGAGACTCTACCGCAGTGGGACAAGCAGATACAATCGTTGTGTTATCAAGTCAATTCGATTATCGAAAGCATCGCAAAGCACCATCCCGATTGGATGCTCAAAGTCATGGACGAGCAAATGGTGTCCTAATTAAGTTGCGAATGTTTGGTTTAATTCTATTTAGCTTCAAATAAAAATTACCGCAAACTGTAAATTATGTATATTTGGTTTTACAATGTTTCTCGAATTCAAAGCAGACTTAAAAATAATACAACCGGATCGGTAAATCCCCTAATTAGACATATAATAAATTCGCCGTTACTTTAACCGAGACGTACCGATACAAATTCGTATGTACAATAAAAAGTGACCAGGAAAATTAAATACGTAGTAAACACTAAATCTCCATATTTTTTTTCTTCAGAAACAATTATCTACAATATAGCATGTTCATAATGGATAGGTGACGCTAATATTGCGGTTATAAACGTACTTTAAGCCTCCAACTCCAGAGCTAGACCGATCTTGTGGCCCCCTTGGTTGAAGTTCCTGCCGTCGATGAGTGTAGACAAGGTTAATGTCACGCCTACAAAACGATAATAAAGTTTAGAAGTGAAAATAATCGCAGGGGAATCGCCGGAGACTCACCGTCGCGCAGGCGCTGCTGATAGCCCAGCCCGATTTGGCTGGAATTGTTGATTTTGGCGCGAAGGGACGCGTCCTGGTCGAGGTCGTACTTGCACGCCAAGCCGAAGACGGTCTTCTCGCCGCTCGTCGCCCACGATAGGTTCACGCCCGTCTCCATTTTCGGGTTCACTTGCTGGTAGATGGCGCCGCTGAACAGCTGACCGTCGTTTCTGCATTTAAAATTAAATTAATTAGGTCTAATTGGGACGCTAGAGCGGGGGAATTAGTGAATTTGAAAGGGGTACGTGCCGTGTTGACAGTTCTTTCCTATTCTTCGGTTATTGACGATTACTGGGGGACTTGTTAATAGGGTTCGTTGGGCACCTAAAGGGGAATTTGCGTAAATATTCCTTAAGTGTGTTCTTGTAGATATCTACTAAATTATTGGTGTTTGTCGATAAGTGATTTCTTCTCTGAACACACCTTTAATTACCTCCTTCCTTATTATAGGGGTACGGGCAAATTTGTTTGAAATACGAGTTAAATAAAAAAAGAAGATTAAAATAACTGTGTTAGAGCGCCAAAGTTGCAATGCTCTCTTTCTCCTTTATACAATACTAATGTAAAGTTGTCTTTGTTGTGCCCATATTGCATCTACATGCATTGTGTTATTCAACAGCTTAAAGTATATTTAATTGCATTAGACACCACAAAACTTGTACAATTTTCCACTAAAAAACTAACAATTTCACAATCACTTCCATTCGCAGTAAAATTAACTAGCAATTCAAAAAATATATTTGTTATAATTTGTTACAGTCTATCATCTTTACTGTAATTAAAATTTAAAAGGGTCTACGTTACCACTTTACTAGTTTTAGAAACTAATACGTATCAGAGCAATTTTGAGCGTGGCGAAAAAAAAAACCTAAACCTAGTTCGCGGTTACCGAAGTACAAAACACGCGTAAAAAAAATCGAACAAATTATGGAAAAATAAAAAAGTCTACGGCTCAAACTCTAAGGCCATACCGACCATATGACCTCCTGCCCCATCTAAAGATTGCCCGTCAACATTCGCCGATAAAGTTAGCTTTATTCCTGAAAAAAGAAACTAGTTTAAAATAATGTCAAAACTGGAATTTAAAATTTAGAATTGATACGGACCGTAAGAAGCTCTGAGCAAACAAATTACAATCGTCATTTGGAATAAAATTTATTTCGATTCATAAGTAAACAATTTCAAACCATTTTTTTTATTTATATCTATATAAAGTTATACAGTTTCAAAAACTGTTACATTTATATTCGTTGGCGTAATTTTGAATGCGGCAAAGTCAATAAACTTATATAAAAAAAAAAATTCGTAAAAAGTACGAAAAGAATCAAAAAAAAAATCAACGTTTACGCCTCAAATTCTACGGACAAGCCGAGTTTATGATTTCCTGGCCCAAACGTATTATGACCATCAACATTTGCCGACATAGTTATCGTTATGCCTGAAAAAGAAACAGTTTAAATCATACAATATTAAAATTCCCATTTCTCACTATTAAATTTCCCCAGAGCTTCCGATCATCCTGCAATAATCCCACACAAAAAAAAGAACAAGTTCGAATAGCTACGCTTAGACATACTTAAAAACTCAATGAAACATCTCTCTAAGCCTCCTCATTCGAACCCTCTACAATTACATAAAGTTCGAATTCATTAGACGCTTCGTTACGTTTAAAAACTCAATTAAACATATATCTAAGCCTCCTCATTCGAACCTTCTACAATTACATAAAGTTCGAATTCATTAGACGCTTCGATACGTTTAAAAACTCAATGAAACATCTCTCTAAGCCTCCTCATTCGAACCTTCTACAATTACATAAAGTTCGAATTCATTAGACGCTTCGATACGTTTAAAAACTCGATTAAATATCTCTCTAAGCGTCCTACTTATTCGAACCTTCTATAAAAAAACGAAATCCAAGCTTACCGTCACGCAAACGTTGAGTGTAACTCAAACCGATTTGAGCGGCGTTGTCGACCTTGGCTCTAATGGTGGCGTCCGGATCGAGATCGAACACGGTGCCGATGGCGAAGTAGTTCTTGTCGCCGCATTGGGGCCACGACATGTCGACGCCCATCGCCAATTTCGACGTGATATTCTGATAGACGCTGCCGACGAACACCTGGCCGGGTCCCTCTTCGCCGCCCTCCTCCTCGCCGCCCTCTTCGCCCTCCTCCGGCGGGGCCTCCTTATATCTACACGTTTCAATGTAAACCGCGTTAATTTACGAGTGGCTAATACGTAAAGCGATGCCCTTTGATCGATATCTAAGTGTTTTGTATTCGGAAGGAGGTAATCGTGTAACCGAAGGGGGGGTAACACAGTTGGCGGGGTACTTACACTTCTGTGTGAAGGACGAAATCTTTAGTGGAGAAGCCCAAAGAGAAATTACTCTTGGCCAATTTGGTATTTTGAACGTCGAATGTTCCCTGGTAGCCAGTCAACCATCCCTGATGTCCCACGACGGCGGAGGCCTTCACCAATTGACCGTCGCCTTTTAAATCCGCATCGGCGTTGGCTGCGAATTTCTCGTTCGCATACGCCAATTTGGCAACGCCGGATTTTATTCTACAATTATTAATATTGCGTTATTAGTGTGTGTGTATGGATCGATCGTACTCACCCTTCTTGGGGCGAAAAGTTAACGCCCGCAGTGACTTTGAGACCTTTGAGGCCCTGATCGGTGACGGTCACCTCGGTGCCCAAAGTGTTGTCGGTGGTCCATTTTTCAGTAAAACTAATACCGTAATCTTTAATGGTGTATTTGCTTTCGAAGCTGCCAGACACCTTGCCCGACTCCTGCTCCGACTGGCCGCCGCTGTGGAAATGGACGCCGCTCGCCGTCGTCGTTCTGCAGTCCAATTTGATCAGGCCGAAGTGGTAGCCTTTACTGAACAGGTCCCTGGCCCGTTTGCCGAGGTCTGAGTACGGAGTCGGACTCATTTCCTGCGACAAGACAACAACGATTAAAATCTAATTACCCCTGCAAACGGCCAACTGCGCTATATTTAAAATTTTATTTATAGTTCGGTAAATAGAAAAATGTTAAGTTGGCACCATTGACAGCCATTTATTTTTTTCCGTTGTCAAAGCGTACGCGATTTTTATTATTTTTGCGTAATTTAAACAACTACATATTACATAAAGTACAATAATCACGAGTAAATTATAAATGAGATAACGAACTAGAACTTTCGTAAAATAGATAACTAATTGTCGTAACAAAAATAAAAATTCAAACGTAAGTAGTGAAATGATTATTTTTAAATAAAAGCCAAAAATACTCGTCCATCTTGCGGATTTTTACGGAAAAGCTGAATGAACCGGTACCGGTAACGCCCGTGCTAGTTTTTTTTTAGTTCTATTTTTCGCCGGGATGTGTGTGAGGTCACGACGTGTCACACGGTTTTTTTTTTCGAGGTGCAACATGGCCGCCGGTTTTTGACAAATTTCAATTTTTCAAAATCAAATCACCTTTGACCGTTTCCCTACTCGACAACTTTAATAAATTTTTAACACATCGAATAGAGTCAACTACGCCTACTTTTAGAAATATGGAGTTTTACGGAAAAATCAATTCCCGCAATTACATAATAGCTTTTTCTAAAACTTCACACAAAACCCTCTTTAATTTAATATACTACAAATTTTACTGAAGCAAAAGCAGGATAATAATTAATTCCCAGGGTTTTCATGCATAACCAATCAAAATCACAGCAGGCTCGACAATAACGAAAAAATTGCTATACTCACGTAAAGATGTTTTATAAATTGATTAATACACTAAGAAATTATTTGAAATCACTCCTTTCTGGTCGATAGGGCCGACACGAGTTATTATATTTATAAATTAGGCAAATTTGAAGATTACGACTGTGGACGAGCACTCTGAAGAAAAGAGCAACGAAACATACGTCATAAGTCTTTACTTTTGTCGCAGTAGCGCCAACTTAACCGCAAAAGGGGACCAAAATTAATCTAGTTACAATCTAGTACACTTTTTGTTATATAAAATATAGGATTTTGCATAAAAATGAGTATTCCTGTACCCTTTTTGTTCTGATTCCAATATAATTGAGTACAAATAATCATATTTATTAAAAAATTGTGAAATATTTAGCAAATATTGCACAAAAAATGTACTAGATTTTCGAAAAGAAAAATAAAATATTAAAACGCGTTTTGTTCCATTTATTAGACGTAGATTTAGGTGAAATTGATGAAAATAAACTTACCAATAGCTCTGATTTGGTCTCTGAGCCGGGGGCCTTGCAGGTAACATCTTTTAATTTTAAACTTTCGCATGTTTGCGAGTCTGGATTGAACGCTGGCGATGATTTTGATGAGAAAACAGTTTGATCTAGGTTTTTTTTGTACGGATTTTCCATATTCCGTTAATTCCTCATTGATTTTATATTTTGACAAACCATTTCAAATAAAGTGTCTAAAAAACATTGACAAATTCAATTGTTCAAATAAAATCTTGAAGTGATGGCACAAAGGACAAACGGGGACACACAAATTTAGCAAAATGATATAAATTCAATAGAATTTAAAAATTTTGAGCAATATTATTCAAAAACGTGAATTTCTATTTTGAAAAGATGTAACGCAGGAAAGACAAACAAAACACTAATAGCGCATTTTTTGTTTAGACGTTGGTAGTCTTGGAGCGCATCGGGTCACGTGACAACTGTCAAATTTGACTTTGTTGTTTTGAAATGCTCATTTTCCTGTGTAAAAATTGAACAATTTTGTTACAACAAAATGTCCTTTTCGGAAAAAGGTACGTTGCCAAGAAATTGCGTATTTTTACTTTATTATTGCATTAACAAAACACGCACCATTGCTATCAAATACCGCCAATTCGACATAGGCGTCTGCTTGTGTTGTGGAATTTTTTCAAATTAATTCAAATCGTACACATATTCAAACGTAGCTGGTAACATTCGTTAATACGCAACCCATATTATGTTTATTTGCAGTTATTTCCGTGAGCGAGGAAGACGTGGAAAACGCCGAATCGCTGAATATAGAAAATGCCCATCTCGATTCCAGTATATCGAGTTTTAGCGGAAGTGAAATTCAAAATTTAAGCGATATATCGCAAGAATTAACCCTCAATGCTACGGACATGGAAACCGAGGGTAAGTAACTACACTAAACACAATACGAAAATACTCATATACTCGTAGATCACGAGATAATCGTGGAAAATCAAGAAATCATCGGTCACGAAGAGGAAGTCGAAATGGAGGAAATCGTGAACGATTATCTAGAAGTAGCTTTAGATTCGCCTGGTAAACCCGACGAGCAGCTGTTAGAAACTAAGCCTATTAAAACAGTATCGGTGCCTCCCTTAAGACCTTTAACAATTGCACCGAAACCCGCGAAAGTTCCTTTAGCCGTTAAATCCATCGGTGGGCAACCGGTCTTGCTTCTCCAAGGTATACTTTGTAAGTTACTAATTATGTTGATTGTATAATGATTTGCAATTTTAGGAGCAGGTACGGGTCAAACGATTAAATTAGTATCCCCCCAGGGACAGGAGTTGAATCTAACGAACTTAGTAACCAGACCTATAACAGTGAAACCGACGCTCAAAACCCTCTCGACCGGAGGGAATATATCGTTGGTCCAACAGAAACCTCTGTTCATGAAGAAAGTCATGGCCACCAGTCCGAAACAAATCATCAAACCCGCAACGAACCTACCCAAACAATCCCAACACTTCATGGTGGTGCAAAAGAACCCGCAGCAACAGCTCAAGCTCCTCCAAACGCAGGGCATCGTCCAGCAGACGCCCGCCAAGACGCTCACGCTCCAGCAGGCCCAAGAGATGGGCCTCCTGACCAACGCCAAAATCGCCCAAGCCGGCCAATCCTCGGGCAAACAAACCATTCTACTAAACAAAACCGCCCAGAAATCCATCAAGTTCGTGCCGCAAATCGGCCAGTCGCAGATGCTCGTGCCCGGCTCCAAAACCATCACCCTCAACCAAGTCAAATCGCCCGCCAAAATCCTGCCCGCCAGTTCGCTCGCCGCCGCCAAACCCGCCCAAAGGATTATATTCAAAACGGCCGGCGGCAACCAGACCATCATACCGCAGGGCCAGATCCTCCAGTTGTCCGGCACCCAGAACTTGAACACCGGCCAATTGCACCAAATCAATATACCCGGCAAAGGCGTAAGGCGATTTCTTACTAGTAGTTCAATCGAATTATTACAATTTACTGTCGTTTTAGATGCAATACATCAAATTCGTTACCGCCAGTGCGTCCGATGTGAATGCTGCTACGGGGAATGTCACGAAAACTTCCACGGGAACTCCTACGAGCATCGTATTGTCAGAAGTAAAGGTATACCTTAGTCCATATTTATAAAAATGAAGCATTTACTTTGAAGTAAAAGGTAGAGGCAAAAAATAAGAGTTCTAAAACCTTCTACAAAGATTTTAAAACCATAAAAACTTGTGCTTTAAAGCAACAGCAGAGTCCTCGAAGCAAAACTTCTCTTCCTTCTCATCTTTTTATGCATAAACCTTCATTTTTTGAAGCAAAATATTGTACTTCTTTTTATAAATACGACCTTTTATCTGTTATTAAACTTGTACTATCAATTTTTAATTATATTTTAGCCGAACAGCCCGTTAAACAGGATCGTTCCGAAGATGCCCAAAGACAAGATCCCGATAGCCTCGAACAAGTCGGGCGCCAGCCCGCCGTTGTTGATGATACCGGCCAACGCGCAACTGACGCCGGTCGTATCGAAGGTGGCGATCGCGCCGCCGCCGCCCAAGCACGTGCCCGCCGTCAAGACGGCGGCGCCTTCGTTGGCGCCGCCGGGCGTCGCCGTCGGCGTCGTCAAGCAGGAGGAGGTCGACGCGAACGGCATGAGGCCGAGGAAGCCGTGCAATTGCAACAAGTCGCAGTGCCTGAAATTGTACTGCGATTGCTTCGCCAACGGGGAGTTTTGCTACATGTGCAATTGCGTCAATTGCAACAATAACATTGAGAACGAGGACCACAGGAATAGGTTGGTTGGACGCGTTTCGGATTCGTCGCGAACGGTTCTAATCGATTCTGAAGTGTTGTAGTTGTTGGCCGAAGGGTTTGGAGTAGTTCCGGACCGTTCGAAGTCATCCTTGGAGCGTTCTCAATTGATTTGATCTGTTCTGAATACTTGTGGACAGTTCTGAATCATTTAGATGTGTTCTAAATTGTTCCGTTCGGTTCTAAAGTGTTTTGAAGCTTTCTTAAAGCATCCTGAAGTATTCTAAATCGTTCGGTTTGGTCTGATGTATTCTAAATTGTTCTATATACTTTTAAAACGTCCTGAATCTTTGTCGACAGTTCTAAATCATTCTAAATTGTTCCACATAGTTCTGTACAGCTATGAATCATCCTAATGCATTCAAAATCGTTCCGTTCTGAATCGTTTGGACAGTTTTGTCTCGCTCTCAAACCCCCTAAATTAATCTCTAACAATTCTAAATCAACCTAATATTGTTGTTCATTTATTTCTAGGGCTATAAAGGCTTGCTTGGAGAGGAATCCTCACGCTTTCAGGCCGAAAATCGGCAAGGCGAAGGACACCAGCGGCGATACAGCGATAAGGAAACACACGAAAGGATGCAATTGCAAAAGATCCGGATGTTTGAAGAACTATTGCGAATGCTACGAGGTACTTATATCGCTTCTAATCGTTTTTTCGTACATCCCTTAATCAGTTTCTAACCGACCCGAATCGATTGGTTTTTCAGAAAGATCCCCGCAGAAAATCCCTATCCTTTTATTCCACCAAAGGTGCTCCCTATTACCCTCAAACCGGTACAGTAAGTAAGCATCAAAAAAACCATAATCCCGATCTAAAACGGATCTAGAAGGTCTCTAAATGATCATCCAATGAGAATTCGTTTTAGACTAAAAAGTAGGCGTGCAAATTGTCATACGCTGAACCTATTTTTTCTGTTTTTTTTGTAGGCTAAAATCGCCTGTTCGAGCAACTGCAAGTGCGTGGGCTGTCGAAACATCGAGGACTCGTTCGAAAAGAAGAACTTTAGGCACGTTATAGAAAAGGCCACCAACACGCCGGTGTACGATAGCGTGATCAGGAGCAAGAGTAGTACGCAGGCGCGGCCGAGGCGGAGTTCTAGCTCGAGGTAATTCATTCGAAACGCTATAAATAAGGTTAAACGATTTTTGTTCGTTTTTTTTTTTAGGAAACAGACGATTAATTTCATAACTGACGATGTGATAGAGGCGACATGCCAGTGTTTGCTGACGATATCCGATAATGCCGAAGAGAGTATGCAAGGCGAAGAGGTGACAAAGCGATTGATAATTGAAGAATTCGGGCGGTGTCTGACGGAAATCATCGATTGCTCTTCAAGCAGGAATTTTATTTAATTCAGATTTATTATTATTTTTTTCTCGATACAATTAAGACTAAACGTTTTGTGTTCTAACATGACAAATTCGCATCTTCTTATTTCTAATTGAGGTACATCATTCAAGTATTATTCGTGATTTTTTATTTATATTTTACGAAAACGAGGCCTCTTGATATTTTCCGTTTTCCTATGTTAGGAACGATGGCACGGCCTTCTATCTATTTACTAGAGCGTTTGGTTTAGAAATAAGTAGAAAATTTTTATATTAAATTACCGTTACGAGTGTAATAAAAGAGTAATTATAGTTTATAAAGAAACTGGGCTTTGTATTTTAAACATAAACCGAAGTTTTTACGTAGACAGTTCTGTATCATTCTAAATTGTTGTATTTAGTTCTGGACCCTTCTGAATCATCCTGAAGCATCCTAAATTGTTCTATTTGGTTCTGGACAGTTCTGAATCATCCTAAAGTATTCTAAATCGTTATGTTCAGTTCTGAAGCGTTCTGAATCTTTCTAGACAATTGTGAATCATTCTAAATTGTTCTTTTTAGTTCTGGACAGTTCTACTGTTCGAAAAAGTAGACAATGATTATATTAAATTACGGTTACGAGTGCAATAAAAGAGTAATGATAGTTTATAAACAAACTGGGTTTTATATTTTAAATATAAATATCGGGTTTAATAAACATACAATAAATATATAAATACAAGTAAGATTGAGATTATGAAAAATCTTGATATTTAGAGAATATGTACGAAAATGAAAACATAACGTAGATATATAAAAACAAGTACTAGGGCGAAACACACAGATCTTTTTTTATACAATTTACATTCCTCCCTCACTATTATATGTACAATACAGATACAGGGCGTATTATATCCCTTAGATAAATGTCTTAAACACTATTTTGCAGTTACTCTACTTATTGTTGTCTACTTCTATTCAGTCTACAAATAAAAAAAAGTGGATTTAATGCGAAACAAACGACGCGCAATCGAGCTCAAACAAATCCGAATTTCAACGCAATTCACCGAGACTAGACGACCCCAGAATTCCATTCGGTACCGAATCTAATCCCGCAACGACTTGTTGTGCACCCGCGTCTTGTGCCTGATGAGGAACGACTCCTTGGCGAAGATCTTGTGGCAGCTGTTGCACTTGAAGCCGGCCGTGTTGTGCGACTGCATGTGGCACATGTAGGAGCTCTTGTTGTGGAAGGTGGTCGAGCACAGGCCGCAGGCGATGCCGTTGGAGGCGGCGTGGCTCCACCGGTGCGCCACCAGATAGGACTTCACCGAGAAGCGCTTGAAGCAGACCTCGCAGGCGAACGGCCGGAGGCCCGTGTGGCTGCGCTTGTGCGTGTTCAGGCTGGATTTCTGCGTGAACTTCTTCTGGCATATGTCGCACTCGAACGGTTTCTCGCCCGTGTGCGTCCGCAGGTGGACCTTGAAGTAGAAAAAGTTAGATTCGTCGGCGATCGGAGTGTTAGGGGGTACCTCTAAGTAAGGTTTTCGACAGAAGGAGGCGTCGCAGTGGGTGCAATGGTACGGTTTGTTGTTTGAATGTTTTTTCATGTGAACGTAGTAACTGGACGCCGACGAGAGGGTTTTACCGCAAACGTTGCATTTCTGTTGCTTTGATTTCTTTGAGTCATTCGATACCGCCCTTTCGGTTACTTGATTCTAAAATTAGACAATTGCATTGCTTTTGCATTTACTGTTACGCTCCGATTCGACTTACGATAATTGGTTTAGGGGCGCTCAAGTCCTCGCGAAAGGATTCGTCTGAGGAGTCAGACATTTTTACTGTATTAAATGAATATCCGTCGTTTTCCGTTTTTATTTCGCTGAAAATGCTGTGCTGGTAGAACATACTATTCGGCCGGTACATTTTCTATTTAGGAGAAACCTTTTTTTATATCTTATAACATATAAATAAATGTATATATTTATATTTAAAATTTGTTTTGACATTAAATTATAAATGTCATCGAACGTCACTGTCAGTTGGATTGTTTATAGAACTGAATGATCCCAACAGCGGAGGCATGAATTAATGAAGTTAAAAAGAAGAAGACTTTTGCCGGCGAATTTAATCAGTGTTGTTCCAGCTATTACTATCGTAATAGATCTATTACTTTTAACTAAAATCTATTACTCTATTACATTCCCCCTCAATTCTATTACTTTTCAACTTTTCATTATTCTATACCAAATTAGCTATATACATCATGTTGGGCTCCGGAAAAAATGTAATAAGTGATAAATTATGTGTGAAATAAATCAAAAGAAACATATGTTCTGGGCGGTCAAGACCAAGAGTAAAATATGTACACTGTGCATATTCAATGTCAGAACATACAAATATTTAAACTCGACAAAAAAAAACTTTATTTCTGAAAAAATACAAAATAAATACAAATGACTGGAAAACTTATTTTTTAATTGAGGCCTAAGCTTCCCTAGATACTATAAAAAGCCTATTCGGCCCTGACCGCGGCGGAAAATTCACAGAAAACAAAAAAAACACGAATCTATTACAGTCCCCTGTAAATCTATTACAATTCACCCCACATTTCTAGTACAAAATTTGCCTGCTTGAGAACAACACTGAAATTAATACAAAAATTATGTTTATTATTATTTTAATATGATTAAATACTCACGTTTGTTGTTAAATCCAACGAAATTATTGCATACTCTTTCATCCGAAACAATTTTTGCTTTATCTTCAGGTACATTTACACATTTTAATTCATTTGTATAAATATTATTTTTTATTAATCATTTACTTCCAAACCACTCTGTAGATATTATAATTATTATTCTTACATTAATTAAAAACAATTTCAAAATATTTAAGGTCATGGAAAGTGCGGAGTGGCAGTCATCCGAGTGTCCGGTTCGAACTCCATCACAGCCCTAAAGCAAATGACAAGTTCAAAACCTCTTCCGCAACCGAGAGTGGCCACTTTAAGGTCCATTAAAGACCCCACAACAAACGAAATCATCGACAAGAGCCTCGTACTTTGGTTCCCAGGTAAACAATCAGCAAAAACCACAAACACGAACTTTTATTTACGCATCTAACAGGTCCGAAGAGCTTCACAGGCGAAGACAGCTTCGAGCTGCAAGTACACGGAGGACTAGCCGTCATCAACGCAGTCTTAAAAGCCCTATCGGCGATCCCTCGCTGCAGGCTAGCGGAGCCCGGGGAGTTTACGAAACGGGCCTTCTTCAACGGCAAGCTCGATTTAACCGAAGTCGAGGGCTTGGCGGATCTTCTGCAAGCCGAGACGGAGTTGCAAAGAAAACAGGTTAACTACTAGCTAAAATTCGCTATATTTAAACTAATTCCACGATTCGCAGGCGTTTTTACAAAGCCAAGGGTCCTTGAGCAAACTCTACGGCAAATGGAGGTCCACGTTGAAGCACTGCATGGCCCACATAGAAGCTTACATAGACTTCGAAGAGACCGAAACCTTGGAAACCGGTATCATAGAATCCGTTCGAAGAGACATCGAAAAATTAGCTGAAGAACTCAAAGCGCATTTGTCTAACGGAAGACGGGGAGAAATTTTGCGAAACGGCGTAAAAACGGTCATTCTAGGCGAGCCCAACGCGGGTAAAAGCAGCCTGTTGAATTTGCTGTGCGCCAGGCCCGCTGCGATCGTAACGCCTATACCGGGCACTACGAGGGACGTACTGGAAGTTACTTTAAACATCGACGGGTATCCTTTAGTGCTGGCCGATACAGCCGGTTTGAGGGCTCGAACGGAGGATTTAATCGAACAAGAAGGAATACACAGAGCTATACAATTGTATCATAAATCGGATTTTGTGATACTAGTTATCAACGTAGAAAGATACTTGAAATGGAAACAACAACACACTAATGGTAGTTTAAAGGATTATATCGTGCAGTATGTAGATGGTTTAAATTTACCCAAGTTTTTTATCGATAGAAAGAATTTAATAAGCACTAAACCTTGTGTGATGGTTTTCAATAAAATCGACTTGGCCGATCGTTCAGAGTACATACAAGGGGAGAATTACCTCAGCATTTCTTGTACTAAAGAAACCGGAGTGGACGATTTAATTCGAACAATCTCCCAACACTTAAAACGAATGTAAGTACATAGATAGTTACACAATTTAATCGTCCTGTACATGTAAATTTGTCGCAGATGCGGGGAGCCTTCGGCGGAGCACCCCAGCATGAACCAGCTGCGGCACCGGGAGCACCTCGGGGCCTGCTTGGGCCATTTGGAATCGTTTCTCGCGCAGCACCAACGCCAAGATACGGTCCTGATGGCGGAGCATTTGCGGAAATCGATGCACCAGCTGGGCAAACTGGTGGGCAGCGTCACCGCCGAGGAATTGCTGGACGTGATTTTCAGGGATTTCTGCGTGGGCAAGTGAGTCCTGTAGCGCTTCGTTCGATGGGGGAATGAAAGTCGCTCGGTTGATATTCAATTCATATATTTTCAAACCAAAAATTATTGCGCAAAAACCATCGTACGAACAGTTTTCCAACGTTTTGATCATTTCGTATAACTAGTATAAACAATATCAAAAACAAGTCTTTAAAAATGCTATGTTTATTCACTTCAAAAAAAATATTCAACAACGTACTTAGAAACACCTAATTCCCGTCTAACGTAAAAAAAATTATCAAAACACAACTACTTACGATCGGGGGATACAATAAGAAATAGGTGATTCTAATGAGAGCCGGTAATAATGATAAAAAAAAAAGAAATTTACATATTATTAAAATTAAATTAGTTTTTATTGAACGAAAATGTAGCTTTTTTGCATTTTAATTTTGCCAACAAATTACAGAGATGTAAAATATACCACATTAACGTCGTTTTTGCCGGTTGACAAGGCGTCCAGTTAGTTTATAAGCCTTATTTATTGATAACTGATGGTCCATTATAAATATACTCATAAAATATTATGATTGGGGAGGGAGCGGTGGGGCCCCGGTTAGGATAAAAACGTGACTTTTGGTATTCGACCCCACTGTCAATCAACCGGTCTTATTATTTATCCAAGGCAGTATTTGTTTTAACTGCAGTTACCACCTAAAACAGACAAAACACAAACGATTACAAAAGTCGCCAACACATTAATTATGAAAAAAAAAAGTTGTTTCAAATATTTAGTAAACATGTTGGGATTTAAAGCCTGCACGTTTGTGGAATATGAGAATTTTATGTACGTCCTGTTCGACACCCGCGTTTAAATCGATTTTCAAACCAGGTAACACAAGGACTACTTAATATTATACTACTAGAAGGATCTACAGCCACTTGTAAATCATTATATTGAAGCCTGTAATACTATTTTCATTAATTTCAATTGATTTCCTCGACTAACCATTTAATACCACTTCCCGATATACTACTAGTAGGATCTACAGCCACTCGTAAATCTCGTCGGCGACGTCACTACTCAGCTAGCGCCATCATTGGCTAGCAAACGACCTCAAGCGACGGCGATTGGCTATCCGCAATGACGTCACCGCTCGATATACAGAGAGTTACCCGAGAAACCGTTATCGGATACCAAAAAGAAACTCACTTCTTCGCCACAGGATTTGAGTACAGTACATAAAATATCTTTGCCGGCGGCGTGTTCGGTGCGCAGCTGGACGCCCACTTCGCCGTCGGGCACTTTGAGGTCCTCGCGCAGCTCCCCGTTGTCGGACATCAGCGATAGATAATCGTCGTCGGAAATGTCAGTCAATTGGTAGTCCTCGCGTTTGACGTGAGGCACGTCCATGTTGTGCGTGGACGGGCAGATATCCTCGTATTTTTTACCTGGAACATTTTCGATCGAGTTATATAATCTAATCGATTAAAGGACGAGTCGAATGGAGTTGTTCCCCGACGATAGTAAGCGAAACGTGATGGAAACACGTACGCTTGTGGAGTCAGGAGTTTGGTGTATGTCTCGCTTGACACCCGAATACTTATGGCGAAAGTGTATTTAGGTAACACGGAGACTATCGTGTATCTATTTAACCTATAAAAAGGTCAAATTGTAAGCGATAATGAATCGATAAATTGTTTAGAACAACCGTTTTTAAACACCCCTTCTGCAATAATACAATGTATAGTTAATGGATTAAAATAAAATACGTACCTGAAAAGATATCGATGCCGACCAAATGAACTTTAGCATGACCGTGTTTACCAGTTTTGGACGTGGACATTTCGACGATCTTGCAAGGCCTGGACTTTAACATGACGAAACCGTTTTTACGTAGGGCTGAACATTGCATGGGATAGGTAGCGGAGGCGCCGGAGTCCCCGGTATCGAAATGCGTCTCTTCCAGATTATCTGACATGGTTATTTATCGAATTCGCAGCGTTTCAACCTTGCAAGCTGCAAAAGAAACCCGTTAGATTAGATTCGAACCGGCGGAAAGGGGGCCGCGATCGTCCGGCTGTCCACGCGGCATTAGAGCCATGTGGAAGACAACACTGACCTAGTCAAGCGAACGTAGCGATTTATCGGAAAATCCGGCGTATTCGCTCAACGAATGCGCGATAACGCACCGAATTAGTGCACCAGTAACAGGAGAATACGCCGAGTTTAAGTGAACTCTTCGCAATTTGTTAATAATCTAATGCAACATGGCGCGAATATAGCCAAATCATGCACTGTCAAACAATCCGACCGAATGCGTTTTTTGTGAAAATACGCGCGGGGCGGACGCGTTAAAGTTGCCAAAGCAACGGCGGCGGTTCGGTGCGGCGGTATTGCGGCGAAATGCGCCTTTCCTATTTTTATTTACCTTAATTAATAGCGAAAAATCGTAGATACTCACATGTGATCAAGATGGAAACTGAGCCAAAAGACTTGTTTTGAGCATGCGTGTAAACATATAAACGGTTCCGTTCTGGAGGAAATCGACATTTAACATGGCGGCAAATTCGAATTTCCGGTACGTATTTCTTTAAATCATTACAAATATAATTCATAATCGATTAAATGTTAATCGAACGTTACAATTAACTATATTTCTACTGCTATAATTCAATTTTGTTATAGAAAAACCATAATTATGGTAACTGTACAACTGAATAGTATCAGACCACACGTAGGATTAAAGACGAATCGAAATTTTAATTTAATTTTTAATTACAAATAGGAATTTTATGAAGAAATTACATGAAATATAAGAAGGGAGCCGAAATATCGAAGTACGTAGAAGATTTTACTTGAAATTTAACATTTTTGACAGGAAAACGTGTATTCTCCATCCAAAGTTAGGCAACACTACACACGATTCATTGTTTCATTCAAACTTGCCTTATGCAACCACCATTACATTACAAAAATTTCTTCGTCTGGATCTCATTTGCATTCTCATTTTTAATTTTTTTATGAATAAAAACCAACAAATAATTTCATCATTTATTACAAATATCAATTGGCACAAATTTACTTATCCAAAAAACTCGACTTACAAAAAAACGTTAAAAATCATAAAAATTAATTCTTAATACAACTAATGATTGCCCGTTATAAAAGTACGCCTTATTCTTTAATTTTGATCAACACTTTCCCAACGTTCTTCCTTTCCTCGAGCAGCTTAGTGGCCTCGACGATTTCAGCCATCTTCCATACGGAATGTATGATCGGCTTCAGCTTACCCTGCTCGATTAATTCGAAAACTTCATCCAAAACGGCCTTAATTTTGGCCGGTTGGGCGTCGAGAAGGAGACCCAAATGCAACCCGGCCACGATTCGATTATTAATCACCAGCGAAAGCAGAGGAACCTTGTCATAATCAGTCTGCGAAGCGTCTCCGTTTTCGTTGGGTACCAGCATGTTATTCGCACCTACAATACAACATTTACACTCCTTTTTAATGTATATTGTTTATAGAATCTACCTATTAGCACGATTCTTCCTAGCGGGGTCAGGAACTCCTGCAATTGCTCGAGCATTCGGCCGCTCTCGTTTGATACTATCAGATCGAATTTCTGGCCTTTTACGTCCTGCAAAAAGGTATCGATGCAATAGAAAGTATCCACTCCGTTCTCTAACGCATGGGGTTGCTTTATTTTAGATCCAGTGCCGAATGTTTTCACTCCTTTTACAGTCTTCGATAACTGAATGGCTGCGGTGCCTACTCCACCTGTAAAGTAAGTACTCATATGATCGAAGTTTTATGATAATTGTAATAGTGTTGTACCTGTACATGATAGAATAAGTACTGATTCGTTTTCTTTGAGGTTGCCGATTGTTAATACGGAAAAATAGGCTGTTAGGTAGTTAACGAAGATGGTTGCCCCTAATTTGTTGTCGATAGATTCGGGTAACGGGAAACAATTAGAGGGTTTTATGTGGATTGTTTCGCCGTACAATCCGCCGTTGTAATCGTAACAAATCACTCGTTGACCCACCTACAATAAGAAATAAATTCACTCTTTATGATAGTTAGTAGATGTAATGGGTAACCTTAATCGAATTGTTTTGGGAACCGATCTTCGTTACTACCCCTGTACATTCTATTCCCAGAACGAAAGGTAGCTTCTTATGCGGCATAAACCCCCTCCTGGTGTATATATCGGCGAAATTTAGGGCTCCATATTCCACTTGAACTTCGATATTATCATCCAAAGATAGTAGTTTGTAGTCTTCAATCTGCCATGTAACATGTAATACGCAATTTATCGCAATAATTGAATGAAACAATCAATAAAAAACTCACCAGGACCGATTCGTAACCTCCGAATTGTTTCACGACAACCGATTTGCTTTGTTTTTGTTGTTCATTCATTTTTCAAAGGAAAATAAAAAAGAAAATAACGAAAAATAAACACGCACCAACTTCACGCCAAACAAATATTGACAGAGAACAAAGAAATTTTAGAAATTTATGACATCTGTCACATAACCTGTCAAAGAAAGAGGTGTGGGGATTGGATTTGTTATTCCATTTTACGAGTGTGTTTAAAATGCTATCAATTTCGATATTTGAATAAATAAAAAGTGGAGATAATTTTTTAACACATCGTCGGTTGTTTGAATTGAATATAATTAATTTTCTACTATGCCTGTTCCGAATGCAGAACATGTTGTTGTGGAAGAACCTCACCAAGGTACGTCGTATCGTTTTATAAACATTTACCAACAATTTACATTAATTCTATTTACACTAAGCGAATTATAATAGTCAAACAAGTATTAGTACTTGCATCATTAATCTATTAAGCCATTAAAAAATTCCTTTTGAACACTCGATTAGTTCTAATAGTGTTCGTGAATTGGTGTTAATTGAGATCTAATTGGTGTTTTTTTTAGCGAGCGCTTCAGGTGAAACGTCGGGCGATCCGTCTACATCAGAAAACAGAAATCTCACAGTAAACGATATCGTGATAATCGATCCGGATTGCCTGGAATTGGATCTGAATCACGGTCGCATAAACAAACTGCAGAACCTCGAGGAGCTGACTTGCATCGAGAGGCTCTTCCTGCGATGGAATTTGATCACGAAAATCGAGAACTTGGATACTCTGACGAGCCTGGTGGAGCTCGAATTGTACGACAATCAGATTACTAAGATAGAAAACCTCGGTTCTTTGGTTAATTTGGAGTATGTACTGTTCGATTGATTTGTTCGATTGAACTGTAATTCGAGTTATTTTGCAGGATATTGGACTTGTCTTTCAACAGGATTAAGGAAATAGAGGGTTTGGAGAACCTGAAGAACCTGAAAAAACTGTTTTTGTCTTCTAATAAAATCCAAAAAATCCAAAACGTGAATCACTTGGTGAATTTAAATTTGCTAGAATTAGGAGATAATAAGATAAGAGTATGTAGCTGCAATTATCGTAATTTACTCGACTAATCGTTTTCCTTGTAGGATATCGAAAATCTGGATGGTCTTGTCAATTTGCAGTACCTCTACTTGGGCAAGAATAAAATAAACAAAATCAAAAATCTGGATTGCTTGATCAATTTGACGTGTCTCAGCTTGCAGAGCAACAGATTGACTGCGATCGAGAATTTGAGCAATTTGAAAGAACTGAACGAGCTGTATTTATCCGAAAACGGTATCGACACCATCCAGAATTTGGACGAAAATAGAAAACTGGAAACGTTGGATTTGGCGCAGAATAAAATCAAACTCATTGAGGGCATCTCCCATTTGGAGAATCTGCAGGAATTTTGGGTATGTTGCACACATTAATAATTGATTATAAAATCTTATTGATATCTTTTGTAGATGAACAATAATGAAATAAGCGATTGGAATACAGTGGAAAATTTGTCAGCTATTACGAATCTGGCTACGGTTTATCTGGAAAAGAATCCGGTAGCCGAAGATCCCATGTACAGGAGGAAATTGAAATTGATCGCCCCTTCGTTGACGCAAATAGACGCAACTCTATGCCGTTAAATTAAGTTTAAAAAGACACAATATGTATAAAATGGTGTATTTGCATCGGTTGTTCGAGGAACCCAAATTCATTTTTTTTTGTAACCAGTATTAGAATATGTCTGGTTTATCGAACAACTCGCATTTATTAAACTTGAACTTTTAACTTATACTGATTAGAAATAGCATATTTGTTATTTACTGTTTCCTAAATAAATGTGCGATTTATTTCTTATTTTGCATTCAAGTAGTAAAAATTGTTTAATACACCAGAAGTAAAGGACCAGTATGAACAGAAGAATTAGATAACCTTGTATCTTGTATCGATCTGTCATTTATTTGTCAATTTTTAGTTGGTCATTTAAAAGTTCAGCGTATTATCTTATCGGTAAAATTTTAATTCAATTAAACCATTAATTAACAATTCGTATTTGAAAAAATAAATCTTAAAATGTTTACTTTGACTGTATCAAGGGTAAATTCCCTATTAACCCTATGCTGTTTGGTGGGGTTAGGCCTGAGCTTGTACGCTTACACTGTAGAATTACAGATAGAAAGGAACGAAAAGTACAGCCCGATGTGCGACATTAGCCCTCAAATGAGCTGCAGCAAAGCATTCAAATCGCCGTAAGTTATTACCTATTAAAATCCCACATTTCTACTTCATATCTGTAATATTTCAGGTACGGCAAAGGGTTCGGAATATTCGGAAAATTCTCCACTCTAAATCAACCAAACAGCTTATTCGGCCTCATGTTTTACAGCATGATGGCCACTCTGGGTAAGAATCTTACAACAATTCGATACACCGATACTTAATAATATATCTTTTAAAGCTCAATCGAACAGCAAATTCCCTGCGTGGTTCATGCTAATGGCGATATTCCTATCGAATCTGCTGTCCCTCTACTTCGCTTACATCCTGTATTTCGTCTTGTACGATTTCTGCGTAGTGTGCGTAGGAACATACGTGGTTAATATATTAAATTTGCTGTTGATACAAGCGAAATTGAAGCTATTGTTGGCTCCCCGACAGGATCCGATCAAGAAGGCGAATTAAGTTGTCTTTGATTATGTTTCTGTTTGTATGCTATAAGTGTAACCGGTGTTAAACGTGTCTGTCTCTCTGTGAAGTCGTAACTGGATGTGTCGATGCATTTGCCAAATATTTTGTTATTTACTTTTGTAGTTGGTTTACTTTCGAAGAGTTTATACTGTTGATTTTTATTTTTTTACGTGTTTGATTAAAACCGATGTGAAAACATGTTGTGATTTAACACCTTTGCAACCGGCTGATTGTGAGATCGAAAATGATTTTGCGTCATAGTCAAGTTAGTAAACAGAGACGATTTAATAACCATTTAGCATGCTAGAGACCATGAAAAGTATAATGGCATCTCTTGACTGCGTTACTTAAGATAGGGTATTTCTTAATAGCGACGTTTTCCAATTAATTATCAATTTATCATTTGGTACAAAGTACAAATATTTTATTATCGTCACAACTTGTTTAAATTCTTTTTTTCAATAGTGTCAACGGCCATTTTGAATTTATAACGACTTGTTTTCGTTGTTGTTTGTTTTCCATCGATTGTATCCTTGTTGATTTGATTCAAAAACAAAAGTTCAAAGCGTGGGTTCGCCAATAAATCCGATCGAATTATGATAATGAGGAATCTAACGCCGATGCTTTCCTTGAAAATTTTCCATTGCTAAAATTATTCTCGCAAAGTATAGCGCGTAGGAGCTGCTATTAAAAATCTACACAAAAAGTTTTATTTATAGTAATACAGTACAGAGCCTCAAACGAGCCTTATTTTATTTATTTGTTCTAAAAAAAAACAACTATTTTACAAAATGTCAACGGCCTCCACCATTAGGGCTATTCGGCCTCTTACACAAGGTGTTTCCAGACCTTACTAATATAGGACCGTGGTAGAAAATAAAAAGAAGAACCAACCGGTTGGCGTTGGTATACTGACATTTGGCATTACCTTACCAATCGAAATGTCCTTACTGCAAGGTTAATGATTTTTGTTTCTGTGTGCACGAACCTCGAACGTATTGGCTTATCAAATATTGTTAAAAAAACAGCAAAACAAATACGAATCATGTTTTACATCAGACAACAGCGATACTGAAGTTAATAAGTAATGTTATCTACGATTTATTTTCTTATTGTTTGAAATTAACGAAACGATAATTTGGGAAAATCGCAAAATGGCAGATCAGATGGACAATCAACCCAATCAAGGTATGCGATTCTATTTTATTTACATCGTGAAATCCCTTTCGAATTTGTCAATCCGTATTATTTCGACGTATTTCGCAACTAGCACAATGTAATACGAAATAAATTGTTTAGTATCCAGGAGGCCTGGATTAAAAAGTATGGACTTTCCTCAAGCCAGCAATTCCACATTTCAATTTCGAGCATTGCCTACCAACGACAAGCTAGGGACAGCCTCGGCGTCTAATCGGCCAAAAATGAGTCTACCACCGGTGGCCAAAACCAAGGAACCACCATTAGTTATCCGGTAAAACAAACAACTCTCACTTATTCCTAATCTAACTCACTTACCGTGCTGCAGCGATACCAAGTTGAAGACCTCCATGTCTTCGGTCGGCAAGCTCCAAATCAAAGGTCTCAGTTACGACTTCACCTCAGAGGACCTACAGGATTTGGGCGAGATCGGCAGAGGAGGATTCGGGACGGTGAACAAAATGATACACCGGGCGACCGGTACCGTGGTGGCTGTCAAACGGATCAGATCGACCGTGGACGAAAAGGAACAGAAGCAATTGCTGATGGATTTGGATGTGATTATGAAAAGTAGCGAAAATAAATACATTGTACAATTTTACGGAGCTTTGTTTAAAGAGGTAAGCCCATTAGTTATGTCATATATGTCATATGTCATTATAAATTATGTCATATATGTCATATGTCATTCGAAACTTGTACGATTTCGCTTTGTTCGCAGGGAGACTGTTGGATATGCATGGAATTGATGGATACGTGTCTAGATAAATTTTACAAATTCATATTCGAGCGATTGAAAGCGCGAATACCCGAACCGATTTTGGGTAAAATAGCCTTAGCCACTGTAAATGCGTTAAATTACCTTAAGGAAGAACTGAAAATCATCCACAGGGATGTAAAACCAAGCAATATACTTTTAGATAAGGGCGGTAACATTAAGCTCTGCGATTTCGGCATATCCGGGCAATTGGTCGATTCCATCGCCAGGACCAAGGACGCCGGATGTCGACCCTACATGGCCGTAAGTCCTTATATCCTCCACATTTTTTTCCACAATCTACGAAACTCTTGATATTTCCAGCCGGAGAGGATCGATCCGCAAACGGCCAGAGGTTACGACGTGAGGAGCGACGTCTGGTCGTTAGGCATCACCCTGATGGAGGTGGCTACCGGGCATTTTCCTTACAAGAAATGGTCCAGCGTGTTCGATCAACTGCACGAGGTCGTGAACGGGGATCCGCCGAGATTATCCACTAGTCATAATGCCAACACTTTCACAGCGGAGTTTGTGGATTTCGTTAATACATGGTAATTAGTTTGTGGCGTTTCGTTTTTTGTATCGATTAATGTGTCGTTTCTAGTTTGATTAAACAGGAAAACCAGCGACCAAAGTACAAACAACTCCTGCAGGACCCGTTCATACTGAGGGCGCAAAAAGAAGAAGTGGACGTGTCGGATTACGTGACGAAGATCATGGACGAAATGGCGAATAACGGCATCAGTGCATTCACCACGAATTTGCAATGATTTGACTGTGTTTTACCTAAAATCGCCGGCGTTCTACATCTAGAAAAAACCTCATTGAATTCGAACGCATGGGGTTGCTTTATTTTAGATCCAGTGCCGAATGTTTTCACTCCTTTTACAGTCTTCGATAACTGAATGGCTGCGGTGCCTACTCCACCTGTAAAGTAAGTACTCATATGATCGAAGTTTTATGATAATTGTAATAGTGTTGTACCTGTACATGATAGAATAAGTACTGATTCGTTTTCTTTGAGGTTGCCGATTGTTAATACGGAAAAATAGGCTGTTAGGTAGTTAACGAAGATGGTTGCCCCTAATTTGTTGTCGATAGATTCGGGTAACGGGAAACAATTAGAGGGTTTTATGTGGATTGTTTCGCCGTACAATCCGCCGTTGTAATCGTAACAAATCACTCGTTGACCCACCTACAATAAGAAATAAATTCACTCTTTATGATAGTTAGTAGATGTAATGGGTAACCTTAATCGAATTGTTTTGGGAACCGATCTTCGTTACTACCCCTGTACATTCTATTCCCAGAACGAAAGGTAGCTTCTTATGCGGCATAAACCCCCTCCTGGTGTATATATCGGCGAAATTTAGGGCTCCATATTCCACTTGAACTTCGATATTATCATCCAAAGATAGTAGTTTGTAGTCTTCAATCTGCCATGTAACATGTAATACGCAATTTATCGCAATAATTGAATGAAACAATCAATAAAAAACTCACCAGGACCGATTCGTAACCTCCGAATTGTTTCACGACAACCGATTTGCTTTGTTTTTGTTGTTCATTCATTTTTCAAAGGAAAATAAAAAAGAAAATAACGAAAAATAAACACGCACCAACTTCACGCCAAACAAATATTGACAGAGAACAAAGAAATTTTAGAAATTTATGACATCTGTCACATAACCTGTCAAAGAAAGAGGTGTGGGGATTGGATTTGTTATTCCATTTTACGAGTGTGTTTAAAATGCTATCAATTTCGATATTTGAATAAATAAAAAGTGGAGATAATTTTTTAACACATCGTCGGTTGTTTGAATTGAATATAATTAATTTTCTACTATGCCTGTTCCGAATGCAGAACATGTTGTTGTGGAAGAACCTCACCAAGGTACGTCGTATCGTTTTATAAACATTTACCAACAATTTACATTAATTCTATTTACACTAAGCGAATTATAATAGTCAAACAAGTATTAGTACTTGCATCATTAATCTATTAAGCCATTAAAAAATTCCTTTTGAACACTCGATTAGTTCTAATAGTGTTCGTGAATTGGTGTTAATTGAGATCTAATTGGTGTTTTTTTTAGCGAGCGCTTCAGGTGAAACGTCGGGCGATCCGTCTACATCAGAAAACAGAAATCTCACAGTAAACGATATCGTGATAATCGATCCGGATTGCCTGGAATTGGATCTGAATCACGGTCGCATAAACAAACTGCAGAACCTCGAGGAGCTGACTTGCATCGAGAGGCTCTTCCTGCGATGGAATTTGATCACGAAAATCGAGAACTTGGATACTCTGACGAGCCTGGTGGAGCTCGAATTGTACGACAATCAGATTACTAAGATAGAAAACCTCGGTTCTTTGGTTAATTTGGAGTATGTACTGTTCGATTGATTTGTTCGATTGAACTGTAATTCGAGTTATTTTGCAGGATATTGGACTTGTCTTTCAACAGGATTAAGGAAATAGAGGGTTTGGAGAACCTGAAGAACCTGAAAAAACTGTTTTTGTCTTCTAATAAAATCCAAAAAATCCAAAACGTGAATCACTTGGTGAATTTAAATTTGCTAGAATTAGGAGATAATAAGATAAGAGTATGTAGCTGCAATTATCGTAATTTACTCGACTAATCGTTTTCCTTGTAGGATATCGAAAATCTGGATGGTCTTGTCAATTTGCAGTACCTCTACTTGGGCAAGAATAAAATAAACAAAATCAAAAATCTGGATTGCTTGATCAATTTGACGTGTCTCAGCTTGCAGAGCAACAGATTGACTGCGATCGAGAATTTGAGCAATTTGAAAGAACTGAACGAGCTGTATTTATCCGAAAACGGTATCGACACCATCCAGAATTTGGACGAAAATAGAAAACTGGAAACGTTGGATTTGGCGCAGAATAAAATCAAACTCATTGAGGGCATCTCCCATTTGGAGAATCTGCAGGAATTTTGGGTATGTTGCACACATTAATAATTGATTATAAAATCTTATTGATATCTTTTGTAGATGAACAATAATGAAATAAGCGATTGGAATACAGTGGAAAATTTGTCAGCTATTACGAATCTGGCTACGGTTTATCTGGAAAAGAATCCGGTAGCCGAAGATCCCATGTACAGGAGGAAATTGAAATTGATCGCCCCTTCGTTGACGCAAATAGACGCAACTCTATGCCGTTAAATTAAGTTTAAAAAGACACAATATGTATAAAATGGTGTATTTGCATCGGTTGTTCGAGGAACCCAAATTCATTTTTTTTTGTAACCAGTATTAGAATATGTCTGGTTTATCGAACAACTCGCATTTATTAAACTTGAACTTTTAACTTATACTGATTAGAAATAGCATATTTGTTATTTACTGTTTCCTAAATAAATGTGCGATTTATTTCTTATTTTGCATTCAAGTAGTAAAAATTGTTTAATACACCAGAAGTAAAGGACCAGTATGAACAGAAGAATTAGATAACCTTGTATCTTGTATCGATCTGTCATTTATTTGTCAATTTTTAGTTGGTCATTTAAAAGTTCAGCGTATTATCTTATCGGTAAAATTTTAATTCAATTAAACCATTAATTAACAATTCGTATTTGAAAAAATAAATCTTAAAATGTTTACTTTGACTGTATCAAGGGTAAATTCCCTATTAACCCTATGCTGTTTGGTGGGGTTAGGCCTGAGCTTGTACGCTTACACTGTAGAATTACAGATAGAAAGGAACGAAAAGTACAGCCCGATGTGCGACATTAGCCCTCAAATGAGCTGCAGCAAAGCATTCAAATCGCCGTAAGTTATTACCTATTAAAATCCCACATTTCTACTTCATATCTGTAATATTTCAGGTACGGCAAAGGGTTCGGAATATTCGGAAAATTCTCCACTCTAAATCAACCAAACAGCTTATTCGGCCTCATGTTTTACAGCATGATGGCCACTCTGGGTAAGAATCTTACAACAATTCGATACACCGATACTTAATAATATATCTTTTAAAGCTCAATCGAACAGCAAATTCCCTGCGTGGTTCATGCTAATGGCGATATTCCTATCGAATCTGCTGTCCCTCTACTTCGCTTACATCCTGTATTTCGTCTTGTACGATTTCTGCGTAGTGTGCGTAGGAACATACGTGGTTAATATATTAAATTTGCTGTTGATACAAGCGAAATTGAAGCTATTGTTGGCTCCCCGACAGGATCCGATCAAGAAGGCGAATTAAGTTGTCTTTGATTATGTTTCTGTTTGTATGCTATAAGTGTAACCGGTGTTAAACGTGTCTGTCTCTCTGTGAAGTCGTAACTGGATGTGTCGATGCATTTGCCAAATATTTTGTTATTTACTTTTGTAGTTGGTTTACTTTCGAAGAGTTTATACTGTTGATTTTTATTTTTTTACGTGTTTGATTAAAACCGATGTGAAAACATGTTGTGATTTAACACCTTTGCAACCGGCTGATTGTGAGATCGAAAATGATTTTGCGTCATAGTCAAGTTAGTAAACAGAGACGATTTAATAACCATTTAGCATGCTAGAGACCATGAAAAGTATAATGGCATCTCTTGACTGCGTTACTTAAGATAGGGTATTTCTTAATAGCGACGTTTTCCAATTAATTATCAATTTATCATTTGGTACAAAGTACAAATATTTTATTATCGTCACAACTTGTTTAAATTCTTTTTTTCAATAGTGTCAACGGCCATTTTGAATTTATAACGACTTGTTTTCGTTGTTGTTTGTTTTCCATCGATTGTATCCTTGTTGATTTGATTCAAAAACAAAAGTTCAAAGCGTGGGTTCGCCAATAAATCCGATCGAATTATGATAATGAGGAATCTAACGCCGATGCTTTCCTTGAAAATTTTCCATTGCTAAAATTATTCTCGCAAAGTATAGCGCGTAGGAGCTGCTATTAAAAATCTACACAAAAAGTTTTATTTATAGTAATACAGTACAGAGCCTCAAACGAGCCTTATTTTATTTATTTGTTCTAAAAAAAAACAACTATTTTACAAAATGTCAACGGCCTCCACCATTAGGGCTATTCGGCCTCTTACACAAGGTGTTTCCAGACCTTACTAATATAGGACCGTGGTAGAAAATAAAAAGAAGAACCAACCGGTTGGCGTTGGTATACTGACATTTGGCATTACCTTACCAATCGAAATGTCCTTACTGCAAGGTTAATGATTTTTGTTTCTGTGTGCACGAACCTCGAACGTATTGGCTTATCAAATATTGTTAAAAAAACAGCAAAACAAATACGAATCATGTTTTACATCAGACAACAGCGATACTGAAGTTAATAAGTAATGTTATCTACGATTTATTTTCTTATTGTTTGAAATTAACGAAACGATAATTTGGGAAAATCGCAAAATGGCAGATCAGATGGACAATCAACCCAATCAAGGTATGCGATTCTATTTTATTTACATCGTGAAATCCCTTTCGAATTTGTCAATCCGTATTATTTCGACGTATTTCGCAACTAGCACAATGTAATACGAAATAAATTGTTTAGTATCCAGGAGGCCTGGATTAAAAAGTATGGACTTTCCTCAAGCCAGCAATTCCACATTTCAATTTCGAGCATTGCCTACCAACGACAAGCTAGGGACAGCCTCGGCGTCTAATCGGCCAAAAATGAGTCTACCACCGGTGGCCAAAACCAAGGAACCACCATTAGTTATCCGGTAAAACAAACAACTCTCACTTATTCCTAATCTAACTCACTTACCGTGCTGCAGCGATACCAAGTTGAAGACCTCCATGTCTTCGGTCGGCAAGCTCCAAATCAAAGGTCTCAGTTACGACTTCACCTCAGAGGACCTACAGGATTTGGGCGAGATCGGCAGAGGAGGATTCGGGACGGTGAACAAAATGATACACCGGGCGACCGGTACCGTGGTGGCTGTCAAACGGATCAGATCGACCGTGGACGAAAAGGAACAGAAGCAATTGCTGATGGATTTGGATGTGATTATGAAAAGTAGCGAAAATAAATACATTGTACAATTTTACGGAGCTTTGTTTAAAGAGGTAAGCCCATTAGTTATGTCATATATGTCATATGTCATTATAAATTATGTCATATATGTCATATGTCATTCGAAACTTGTACGATTTCGCTTTGTTCGCAGGGAGACTGTTGGATATGCATGGAATTGATGGATACGTGTCTAGATAAATTTTACAAATTCATATTCGAGCGATTGAAAGCGCGAATACCCGAACCGATTTTGGGTAAAATAGCCTTAGCCACTGTAAATGCGTTAAATTACCTTAAGGAAGAACTGAAAATCATCCACAGGGATGTAAAACCAAGCAATATACTTTTAGATAAGGGCGGTAACATTAAGCTCTGCGATTTCGGCATATCCGGGCAATTGGTCGATTCCATCGCCAGGACCAAGGACGCCGGATGTCGACCCTACATGGCCGTAAGTCCTTATATCCTCCACATTTTTTTCCACAATCTACGAAACTCTTGATATTTCCAGCCGGAGAGGATCGATCCGCAAACGGCCAGAGGTTACGACGTGAGGAGCGACGTCTGGTCGTTAGGCATCACCCTGATGGAGGTGGCTACCGGGCATTTTCCTTACAAGAAATGGTCCAGCGTGTTCGATCAACTGCACGAGGTCGTGAACGGGGATCCGCCGAGATTATCCACTAGTCATAATGCCAACACTTTCACAGCGGAGTTTGTGGATTTCGTTAATACATGGTAATTAGTTTGTGGCGTTTCGTTTTTTGTATCGATTAATGTGTCGTTTCTAGTTTGATTAAACAGGAAAACCAGCGACCAAAGTACAAACAACTCCTGCAGGACCCGTTCATACTGAGGGCGCAAAAAGAAGAAGTGGACGTGTCGGATTACGTGACGAAGATCATGGACGAAATGGCGAATAACGGCATCAGTGCATTCACCACGAATTTGCAATGATTTGACTGTGTTTTACCTAAAATCGCCGGCGTTCTACATCTAGAAAAAACCTCATTGAATTCGAACGGGCGAGAATTAAACGTCATCTGGTGTAATTGCAGCGAGACAATAAAATTACGTCGATAAAATTAACTTGGAATCTCCCGGATCGTTTAATGAGGTTTTCAGTTTCTCGGTTAATTATGCATTATAGCTATTCAGTCATCTCAGGTGATGTAAAAATAGGGAATTAGCGTTATTAGAATGGATTAGTTACTTAGTAATAAGTTGGATTGGAAGGTATAAAAAACTTGCCATTTTAGAATATAACTAGTCAGGCGGATGGAATAGAAAATTTCGGTGAAACTGAGGAAAACTTCATCAGTTTATTAAAACTTAAAGTTACTTTATATTTGAATATTAACTTGAAATTTTCCTACAAAATGAAGCGAAGTATAACACATATTTCACACGAATAAATATAAAAATGACTAGCACGTACATATTTTTTTTCTTATTACTTAAATACTTCGCTCCAATAAAAATATGGTACTCCCAATTTTACTGGAATTCTGTATTCCATCCTATCGAAGAAACAAATTGATCCGCACCGTATAATCTCCAACCCCCATTTGTCCGTTAGAACGCCTACATTGAAAAAATGTCCTAGATACACTTTAGTGCAATACCGTAAATCGAAAAAAAAGTCTAGTTGTAACTACCGAATTCGCGCTAACTTTAACAGGAGTTTCTCTCGTTGAAAATATTATTGTTTGTTTTCGTAATCTCGTAGGGAATTTCTGTTCGCGTTTTTTAGGCCGTCAATATAACTAGTTCTAAGTATATAAAATACGAGATACACCAATAAAAGTATAAAAGAAACAGTCCATTTTGTATATAGTAGTCGATAATGTTATTTTTAAGTGATATAATTTCCTTTAGGTACCTATATGTATATTTTTTGTGATGTGATTTTATTATGGGTTTTATCAGTTCGTACCTTCTACGTGGTAATAATTCAACCATTATTAAATCATTAGTTCCTAACTAAATGAGGATTTTTTAATGGATGGATTGTTATTTATTAACGTGATTAAGATTTCAGAAATATAGTAGGGGCGCTTATTAAAATAAAATGTTTAGTACGTTTGCATTTATCTATAAAATACTTGTACGATCAATCTGAAATTTTAATCGCCGTTTTTCCTCAGTATTTTACTTCTCCTAATTTATTCGTAACGTCTCGGTTCCAAAATCGTCGGTATAAATTTTATTTCGAGCTTTGTAATTGTTACCTAAAATGTTGCCTATTATATTCTTAACAATTGTAAATATTTGAATTTATACTCAGATTGTTTAATAAATAAACGATAAAGCATTTATTCATGTTGGACATGTACTTGAACAGGAAACAAAAAAAAAGTGTACGACAAAACGTTCCGGATGTTTCATTTCTTAGCTAAAAAATACCTGTAGATTCGATTCCGCATATGTCTCCGATACATTTCGTTTTAAAATAAATTAGCCGTACAATTATAAAATAATGGAATAATAAATAAAAAAATAAATGTAATTTTAGCGTTATTCCCATTCTCTCATGATCAAATCGTACTCGTGGTCTTCTATGAAGTGTTTGTCGATGTTCCTGATCATATTTTCGCCGCAATACAAACATTCCGAGGCCAGGATGTTGTCGATTTCCGATTTTATCACGTCTTTGGTCGACATTCCGCTCGAGCCGGTGCTCAAATTATCCAAATTCACCGAATTGTTCAGCGTCATCAGCTGCTTTTCCAGGTCTATCAGTCGATTTCTCTTCGCCGGGCCTGCAACAAATCAATACCAATAAATACCATAGATAAAATACACTAGCGCCCTCTGTTGAGAGTCGCATCATCAGCAACAACACCCCCTCAACAGGAGTTTCCTGACCTGTGATATACGACCGTGTTTTAAACGATTGATTAGCGTTAAAAATGAGTAAAATCTATGAATTTACCCAGAAAAGGCGACAATTCGGTGGATAGACAATCGCTGTGGAACCGATGATCGCACGGGAACATATAAAACGGTTTGATCAGCAGCGTTTTGTTGCAAATTTCGCAGGTATCCGTCGTATTGACGATCGTGTGGTGGTTCCGGAACATTTCGATTTCTTCTCTCACTTGTTCCGCCGATTTCGTCGCTTCCTCCATTTCGTCTTTCAAATTTTGAATGTGCTGATTGTACTCCTATTAACAAACAAAATACAACAAAATAGAAGCAAAAACTGTTATTTTTTTCGGGTGTGTTTGTTCCGTACTTTCAGCGAATTACAAATGGCTTCTTTGAAGTAATCGATGGTGACGAAGTCCGGGAAAAACGGCAAAATATCCTCGATTTTAATCAGCTCGCATTGGTGCAAAAACGCCATGATTTCTTTGATATCGTCTTTATCTTTCACAACGTATTCGGCTAAAAAAAATGATATAATTTCCTGCTACAAAGCCGTTAAGATTACTCGATAAATTACCGATTTTGAGCCAAAGTTTCTTCTTCAATTCGACGTCATCTTCGGGCGACATATCGGCCATTTTCTTGGCCAAATTCAATTCGACGGTAAGCGCCAAATCGACGGCTGCCTGCCACATGCCCAGCAATCCGAAGAGCTGCACGCATGCGCGTTTTCGATCGTGCTCGTGGCACAATCGTAGAGCGTAGTGCACATCGTAACTGATCTAAAATTCCACATACAGGGTGTTCTAGAACTTATGGCACTAAATTCTAGGGGTGGTAGTTTGTATAATTTGAGAGCGATTCGTAGATTTCATTAAGCAAACTACCACCCCTAGAATTTAGTGCCAAATTTCAACAAAATATCAAAAGCCAGTCTCAAAATGAACTTGGGAAAAAATTGTTTTTTGTACAGATTGTTTATTAACGCCTCACCATTGTGATTTCCTGGCCTTGCGCGTTCAAAAACTCCATCAGTTTATCCGGATCGTATTTGGCGTAGAGCGCTATCAAAAAATTGTGTATGGCTTTGTCGGTGTTCTTCAATTTGTCCACGCAAAATTCCAAATACTTGACGATCTCCTTGGCGTGCAATTCGCTGCTGCACGTCACCATGGCGGGCAGGAGCTTCAACGGCGACAGCTTCTTGCCCTGTTCTATCAACACTTTGACGGTGTACTTCGGTATTTCCTGTATCAATATCGGCGCGAATTGATAGTAGAGCTCGTAGTTGTTTTGGCTCTTCAACGTGTCCAAGGCGTCGTGGAAATTGTTCTTGAATATGTGTTGACGAACTATCTATAAGAAAAAAATTATAATTCGATTGGTAGAACGTACGAGGGAAAGGTTGAAAGTTCTCAAAAGTAGGGTAAATCATTTAGAACTGTCTACAACCATTTAAAACGGTTCAGAAACATTTACGAGAACCGTCTGGAACCATTTAGAGCTGTCTAAAATCATATAGAACTGCATAAAACCATTTAAAACGCTCCAAAAACACTGACAACTGTCTAGAACCATTTAGAATAACGTTCCAAAACCATTTAGAAAGCTCCAGAATTATTTAGAGCTGTCTAGAACCATTTAGAATACACCAGATTCACTTAGAACTGTCTAAAATAATCTAGAACGCTAGAGAATCATTTAGAGCTGTGTAGAACCATTTAAAACTGTATACAACCATTTAGAACGTTCCAAAAACATTAAGAACTGTTTAAAACCACTTCGAACATTCCAGTATCATTTAGAAAGCTTCGATTTGAACCCTTTAGAAAGCTCTAGAATCACTTAAAAAGCTCTAGAATCATTTAGAAAGCTCTAGGATCATTTAGAACGCTCCAGAATCATTTAGAATTATCTAGAACTATTTAGAATGCTTCAGAACCATTTAGAACGTTCCAGAATCATTTAAAACGCCCCAGATTCACTTTGAACAGTCTAGAGCAATCTAGAACGCTCTTGAATCATTTAGAAAGCTCTAGCTTCACTTTGAACAGTCTAGAGCAATCTAGAACGCTCCAGATTCACTTAAAACTGTCTAGATAAAACAATCTAGAACGCCTTAGAACCATTTAGAATTGTCTAGAGCCATTTAAAACGCTTCAGAACCATTTAAAACGTTCCAGAATCAATTGGAGCCGTCTCGAACTAAAGATTTCTACTTAATACGAAGAATAATGTCTTTCCAACGTCTTTCTAAAGAACTTTCCAACTAAAAATCGCGCTCTTTCATTACCCTAATCTTAATATTCTTAACCTTAATGTTAAATTACCTGTTCGAAATCCTTATTGAGTATGGTCAACTTCAAAAAGTTATTCTTATCCCCGTGGCTGCTCATCAGATCGTAGACGGTACCTTTGTTGTTTCTAACGCAACTCGCCACCTCATCCAAAGCCAGGAACACGTCGAACTCCTTCTGCAGATCCGAGTAGGCGGCCGTCTGTTCGAGCCCGCGCAACCGTCGCTCCTCCAATTCGATCAGGTACAATTCCAACGTCCACACGACGATCATGGTGATCTGCGTCTTGTCGTGCGCCTTCAGCCCGTCCAATTTGCGCAGCAGGAACAGCTTGAGCGCGTCGCGCCGGCGCGCCTCGATGAACTTCAGGCAGATCTCCTCGAAGCTGCACTCGGTCTCGGCGTAGCGGCGGGCGCTCGCCTCGTATCGCCCGTCGGCGAACAATTTATCGGCCTCTTTGATCAGCACGTGATTATAATAAGCCAGGTTGTTGCGCGAGTATTTCTTGGCCAGTTCGAAGTCGCCGTTGTCGCAGAATATGCGCCAGATGTTGCGCTCCTCGTTGGTGACTTTGAAGCGGAACACCGAGCGCTCCGTGATCGCCCACATGTCGCCCGTTCGGGCGTCTTTGGCGAGGCTCACGAGCCGCCCGAACGCCTCGTTGTAGTTGTCCTCGTAGACGATCTCTTGGTTCAACAGGCAGACGCCTTTGATCGAATCGTTGTAGGCCAGCAGTACGTGGAATTGCGTCAGAGCGATGGCCGTCGGGTTCTTGAGCGGTACGGAGTAGTCCTCGTAGAGGGGTTTCGGATACGGGACCAGGTTCACTTTGGATTCCACCGATTTGATGTTGTCGGTGAATATGTCGATCTGAAAATCGAGAGGAAATTGATTATTGATGTTCGGGTACTAAGAGGGCGGGGTGAAAAAGTTCCCGGCCCGAATCGTTACTGTCTAGAACAATCTGGAACGATTCAGAATGATTTAGAACTGTCTAGAACCATTTAAAACGTTCCAGAATCGTTTAGAACGCTCTAGAATCATTTATAACCATTTAAAACGCCCCAGAGTCACTTTGAACAGTCTAGAGCAATCTAGAACGCTCCGGATTCACTTAAAACTGTCTAGATAGAACAATCTACAACGCCTTAGAACCATTTAGACTTGTCTAGAGCCATTTAGAACGCTTCAGAACGATTTAAAACGTTCCAGAATCATTTAGAACGCTCTAGAATCATTTAGAACTATTTAAAACGCCCTAGATTCACTTTGAACAGTCTAGAGCAATCTAGAACTATCTAGAATCATTTAGAAAGCTCTACATTCACTTTGAACAGTGTAGAGCAATCTAGAACGCTCCATATTCACTTAAAACTGTCTAGATAGAACAATCTACAACGCCTTAGAACCATTTAGAATTATCTAGAGCCATTTAGAACGATTCAGAACCATTTAAAACGTTCCAGAATCATTTCGAATTGTCTCTAACTAAAGATTTCAGCTCAATAAGAAAAACAATGTAATATTTCAACTGAAAAAGACGGGTTTTCGCTGTCAGACCGAGAACTTTTCGCATAACCCTTGTAACATTAGTAGTAATTACTTGTCCAAAATATATCCCTTTGCCTGTAATCCAAGCGAACGAATTCGGGGTGATTAAATTCTCGGACCAAAATTGCAATTTCGAGAATTTCATGTCGTCGTTGCATTCCATGTAAGTTTCTTGTTCGGGTATGTTCAGATATTTATTGAAAACCTGCTGTAAAACGGGCTTTTCTTCGCTCATTACTCTGCCGGTGAAATAGTAAAATCGCGTAGGCGTAACCACTATTATGACGTATTTATCGGAGCTGGGGATTTTGAAGTATTCCATACCAGTTATAGGCGTACTGGTACCTTTGCCAATATCAAAAACCTTAAAAAATAATTAATAACTCTTCATTATATTAAGCAAATAGGTATAAATCTACCTGTTTCCAATACTGTTCTAGACTAGAAGAAAATCCCGATGGGAAAAATTTATCACCCTCAAGGGCTATTTCTGTTTCAAATATCAACCCTTTAGAAGTACCTACAAATCAACAAACACTATTAGCTAGTACTCTTTGTTGTAACGAAAGTAATACCTAATAGAATCAAACCAGTGGTGTTATCCGATTCGTTTAAGGGATTCCAAGCCACTTCTGTAAACTCGTTGCCCTTAAATTTAGTTGTAGTTCGTACTTTATCTAATTTCTTCGATAAATAAAGCAATTCGGGCGCCCCATCGGGTCCTTTGGGGACGAGCGTAAGGAGCAAATGATTACCCGTCGGGTCCAGAAATAAATTCACCAAGCGAGACGTGCTGGTGTATTTCAACAAAGAAATTTCTAAAATGATAAATAACTAAATATACAACCACTGTGCGTCTTTAATGGACCTACCGGACGTTTGATTCGGATTGTTTATGTTCATTTTAAACAGCAAACTGTTAGCCATTACTAAAACTAGTTGCTTATTGGCGATGGCTACGTGCGTTACTTTCTCAGTAGGCGTGAAATCCTTCTTGCTTTTCGTGAAAATCGGCACCTCCGGCTCTAAGGACATGTTTATGTACCCCGAAGAAGTCTGAAAGTACATTCGTAATTAAAGGATATCAACTGCTAATTATGCTAATTACCATTTCGGGTGTCGACATTTGCTTGGCTTTAAAGGACGCTTGGTCGAATTGGTCGAACATCGAAGTCATTTTTATGTTTAATTGTTTAATACTAAATAATAAATTTGACGTTTAAATCATAGGTTATATGCAAATTACCAGATTGTAAACACCCATTTATGTGACTAAAAGTAGGAAGTTCCGCGTTGTTGCCAAACTTTCATCTACAAACTTTTGACACTAATGACAGATTGACATCGACAATTGACAACATAACCTTAAAAATGTTCGGGGTTGTAAATACATTGAAAAATCAATTTTTCAATTCCAATTTAAAAATAATAAGGTAACGAACAATCAGTACTGAAAATCAAGATTCATGTTAACCTCTTCATATTTTTAGTAACGTTATTCAGCACAATGGCATGTCCCAATACCCCACTTACTTCATCCAACCTGTGTACAAGAAAGAGAGCCAGGAAGAGCTGATTAAAAGCGGCGAACTACAAAAATTGACCCATTTGCCAACGCGAGCGGCTCTAGTAGATCAGACATGTTCTGCATCCCACGATCCTTTAGTTAGGTAACCTAAACCTTAATCGCTTGTTACATACCTAGATTACTTAATCGTGTGTCTTTACAGCTTATTCATCAACTACTGTATGAGAAAAGGCGACAAAATCCTAGCCCGTGAACTGGTAGAAACGTGTTTCGAGAACATAAAAAGAATGCAAATAGAAAAATACCATAAAACGACCGGCGAAGAGAATAAAGCTAAGATAGACCTAGACCCTAAAAGTATATTTCATAAAGCCATAGAAAACTGTAAACCGGTACTAATGTTAACACCGATAAAAAGAGGTGGAGTACGATACCAAGTGCCTGTACCTATAAAAGATAAAAAAGCTCAGTTTTTATCGATGAATTGGTTAATAGATGCAGGAATGGATAAAGACAAGAAAGTTAGATTTCACCTGCAATTAGCCCGAGAACTAATAGACGCCTCTAACAACACCGGTCGAGTGGTCAAAAAGAAGCACGACCTGCACAGACAATGCGAGGCCAATCGAGCATACGCCCATTACAGATGGAGTTAAATCCCATTGTAATTTTCTATAACAACTTTTAATATTCAACTTATTGTATTTTTTTCATCAATTCCTTATCAACTACAACTCCGAATCTAAAATTTAACCGCAACACCTCGGGAGTGGAGAACCTTTTGAATTTAATGAACAAACCATCGGTCCACGATACTGGCAAGTCGCTTAAAGGTACGATGTCTTTGACTGGGATTTCGATTTCTTTCCGGCGACCCCAAAAATCTCCGTAAGCTACCTTTACGAGGTTCTCTTCTTCATTGTAGTAAATAAAACCCACGTGTTTTGTTGTTAGAAATCCCACGCTGTAAAGTGTTAGACACATAGAGAAACCTAAAAGTGAAATAATTGTAAATAGAGTAGAAATAAAGTGTTTATTACTCACCTAAAGCCCATATAAAACCTACGACATCGCCAGAAATGTAGTCTAATTGGTGTAAAATTATTGAGAAAGGAGCACACAGTGCTGTTACAGAAGTTTGGTACAATTTTATGCGATCCATTAAAACAAATTGTTTGATGTAAGGAAATTTATAAATAGTTTTGTATTTTGTTTCGTCTTGGTAAAATTGAAACGTTGCACTTGTTGTATGTACATTTCTATATAATGCGTATTTGGGTAAATTAATACCTAAACGAATCGCTTTTGGATATAATTTTGTTAATAAATTATACATTTTTGAATGTTTATAAATAAAAGTTTGGTTATGTAAATTCTTCTTTTATTTTTTAATAAAACCAGTGTTGTTCTCAAGCAGGCAAATTTTGTACTAGAAATGTGGGGTGAATTGTAATAGATTTACAGGGGACTGTAATAGATTCGTGTTTTTTTTGTTTTCTGTGAATTTTCCGCCGCGGTCAGGGCCGAATAGGCTTTTTATAGTATCTAGGGAAGCTTAGGCCTCAATTAAAAAATAAGTTTTCCAGTCATTTGTATTTATTTTGTATTTTTTCAGAAATAAAGTTTTTTTTTGTCGAGTTTAAATATTTGTATGTTCTGACATTGAATATGCACAGTGTACATATTTTACTCTTGGTCTTGACCGCCCAGAACATATGTTTCTTTTGATTTATTTCACACATAATTTATCACTTATTACATTTTTTCCGGAGCCCAACATGATGTATATAGCTAATTTGGTATAGAATAATGAAAAGTTGAAAAGTAATAGAATTGAGGGGGAATGTAATAGAGTAATAGATTTTAGTTAAAAGTAATAGATCTATTACGATAGTAATAGCTGGAACAACACTGAATAAAACATTAACTTTGCGTTACAGAACATGTCAAATACACTTGGCTGCTTACCTGAGAAGTAAGAGTTTTCTTATTTACTTATTACAATAAATATTTATAAAATTGTTTCTTCAAAGTCATCTTTTTAATACTTTTTGCAACTTCTCAAAGTACTGGTTTGAAATAAATCATAAGAAAGCGATTTCAAGTATGGCTTTTTCACGACAACTTGAATGACATAATTTTTACCCGGCGCAAGATAAGCCACTTTTTCTATTAAAACTTTCCTAAAACAGAAAAATAATGTATACCTAATTAAAGAAAATGCAGTGAAGAAAACTGGCCTCTGCTTAAAGAGCGAAGCCAGCATCAATCTGGCCTCTACCTAAACAGCGACACCAGCAAAAAAACTCACTGATTCTGGTGATCGATCTCTTTGCAATAATGCACTACGAAATCGGTAATCCGTCTGCGTAATCCACATTTATCAAAAGCCGTTTCATTTTCGTCCTTCTCTTTCACGAAGAAGCAGTAATGCGCGGACTTTGTCTGAGGGGGCACGAGCCACCCGATGGTAACGCTAGAACAAGTTTTCAGGGACTTGTATTCTATAATTCTCGTGTCATTTGGCATCTGTGGAAATGGAAATTCAAATTGTGATTTCGATGTAACTAGAATCTAAAAAAAAAAATAAATAAATTTAGTAGAATAAATGATTTTTGTGTGGCTGTATACCTGTATACGAGAATTGTTATCGACGTCTTTTGCGCTCGTTTTAAGCTTGATGTTGTATTTGTATCCATTTTCAAGTGTATTCAACAATATTACGTTGTGTTTAGTTAAATTTCTTGTTAATATTACTTTATCTCTTCTATAGATTTTTAATTTCAAACCGGATTCGCACGAAATGATGAACATTCTCACCACATTCCCTCCAGTTTTCGCTACCTAATTAACAATAATACCAACTTACTCTCACATCTAACCCACAAAAAACCCTAAAATTACCCACCCTGTATTTGAAGTTAACTTCCCCGCCGGTTTTCTTCAGGTTCGCCAACGTCCATTTGCCATCTTTCAATGCCGACGGCTTCGAGCGACCGGTACTCGTCTCAGTACCGTACAGATACGTCAAATTGCTCTGTTTGTTCGTCGCGAACAGCGAAAAGTACCGGGATTCCCCCGAATCGGCCTTCAACCGGCACTGCAGCTTCTCCCCCACGCAAATCTTCCTCGGGTACACGCCATCTAAAACCTATTCAGTTTTGAATAGACTATATTAAGTCGTCTTCTTTAGTTCTAGACAGTTCTAAATGATTCTGGAGCGTTCTAAATAGCTCTAGTCAGTTCTATATGATTCTAGAGCGTTCTAAATGGTTCTAGACAGTTTTAATTGACTCTGGTGGGTTCTAAATAGTTCTAAACCGTCCTAAATGGTTCTAGTCGGTTCTAAATATAATTCTAGTGCGTTCTAAATGGTTCTAGTCAGTTTTAATTGACTCTGGTGCGCTCTAAAGGGTTCTAAATAGTTCTAATTAATTCTGGAGCATTCTAAATGACTATGGAGCGTTCTAATAAATGGTTTTAGACTGTTCTAAATGAGTCTGGAGCATTCTAAATGGTTCTAGAGAGTTGTGGAATGAATAATAAATGTCCCAAAGAATATTTGCTGATTGGAGCGCCCTCGGTGGATCGGATAAAGAACTTTTCAGCGTATCCTCTTATGGTATAGCTGAATTATTAAATTCTTACCAGACTTCTTGGGTTCCCGATTGCGATTCGTCAAGCATAGAGTTTTGAATAATTGTTTGTTGTCGATTATCAAGCAATATTCGGTATTTTGCGGGTCGACTAAACTATAAAAGATTAATTGTTTTAATAGAAATAGTAGAGAAAAACATTGGGTTGTATACCTCGGACGCCATTTGACCACCAATTCCTTTCGTTTTTTGTGAACGGTAATTTTCGAGTGTTTCTCTTGCTGGAAAACGGCGGGTCCGCCGATTTCCGTGCCGACGTAGACGTTCAAATGGGTATCATCGTGGGCGGGAAAAAAATCCAAAATATACACTCCCTCGCGCGACGTGAAATTCGTCGTTAGAGCCTCGTCGACGTCGAAAACTGGTCCGATTTCGATCGGGTAAACGGCTGAAAAGCGCGTAAATAATTCATGAAATTGCTCGGCGAAAGTTGGCCGGATACCTTCGGGTGAAGCGGCCGAAGAGTAAGAAGAAATTCGATGTGAATTACCTGCGGACGAGTCGTTGCGGTTCAATTTAACAGACATTCGAATCGGATGCGGGCAAGTTACGACTGTTATCGATAACGAACCGTTTTCGACTGTCGATGAAAATCGGTAACTAAAAATAAAACTCCATTTAGGCTAGTTCGATGTGTAAACAAATAAAGAAGAACAAATACGGTAAATCTTATAGGCGGTGCGAGTCGGGCCGAAATTAAAAATAAAAGCCCATAAATCGATTTAATTGCTAATTACTTCCTTTTGAGAGATTTTCGAAACAATGGTAATAAAACACGTCGTTGACGGTTTTAGTATTTCTTCGAACGTTTCGTATTTTCGGTCGGTGATTTACCGGGGAATATAAGAAAAATGTTACGTAAATCGGCCGGTTAATAATTCCCAGCGGGCATTCGTAATTTGTCCTGAAAAATCGTTAAAATATCGCGATTTTTCCGGTTCGGCTAGACGCAAACGAGAAAAAGGTCAACTAAAAATAAACGTCTGCTGTGTAAAAGCTAAATTATTTAGGTAAGTACGGGCGAGTTAATGTTAATTAGGATTTATTACACGTATACAGAGTGTTATTCGATGGGGACTTACGATTTTATCGCGCCTTTCGGTAGGAAAATGGTGGTTTGCTTATCGGCCGGGAGAACATTCGAATTTTCGCTTCCGCCGAATTTCGCCGCCAGAAGAATTCCCACGAATTTCACCCAAGGAACCAACTGTATAGAACATAACACATAACACATAACATACAAAAAAACTAGTAAGCAGATAAATAAATAAGTCCTACCATTTTTTTTTGCGAAACTACTAACTAGGAGTGGTCACTTTGGATTGAAGATTGAGCCGAAGCGAGTCTCAAAAACTGACTGAAGTCACTCAAGTGGAGAAAATGCCGCTGAAATGCCGCAAAATGCCGCACTGACTCCCCCTACTTCAGTCGTTTCGATTCTGAAATTACAGACTGTATAAAATATACAGGGTGTATCTAAGTAATGTGTGATGAAAATTAAGGTGGGTACTTGGTATGCATTTTTTTGAAAAAACCCTCCCCGGAAAAGTTAAACCTCTCCGAAGATTGAAAAAAAAATATTTTTTTATTTTTTTATTTACCTGTATATTAAGCTAGAAACACGAAACTTGGGGAATATTATTTGTCAATGAAGCTTCACGTTTTAAAATTGTTTCAACTAATTATCTTCTAATTTACAATTTGCATCTTTGCAAAATTTGTAAATGAATTTTTTCTTATCAATTTCTCAATTTTAATTGAAATATTCTCTTATCTAAATGTCAAAATTTTGACATTTGGATGACAGTTACACGGCCTACTGAAAGATTCATAATAATATTGCCCTGAAGACAAAACATTCTATCAATAAATTAGATAATAAGAGACGGATAGAGGGGCATAAAAAGGGTAAGATATCAATAATTTATTAAATAAACAAATTTACCAGTTATATACCTCATCAATTTTTTTATTCTGATTAATACCTACTCTCGTTTAATTACCAGGACCATTTGTTATTACTCCTGACTACTAAATGACAGTTATATACAGCCTACTAATTTAATCGTAGTAATAATAAAATAGAGCAAGAATAATCCAATGCAAGATAATATAAAGAAGATAGTTTATTAATTTTCAAATGATCATAGATATAGAAAAACAAGTGCCTAATTGGTAATAATTTATTAATAAAAAGAAATAAAAAAAACCCTAACCAATTTTACGGATTAAATAATTCATCAATCGAGTGATTTATCGATTAAGCGATTAGAATTGATGGAAGCAAATTATTTATTCGTAAACTCGGATGGTTCGGAAAATGAATAAATAACCGAATTTTATTATTTACGACGTTTCCGTTCAAACATCGCGGAACGGAATCGAATTTTAAAAAAACATACGATATTATTTAATGATAGGTTAGTTAAGATCTGTGTGGTCTCTAATCGATCCGGCATCATATCGCATAAATTGCCCATTGTGCAGCCCAATCTAATGTTTTATTTATACGCATTTCCCATTCGTTTTTTTTATGACAGCAATTTCGGCAGGACATTTATTACGCTCGCTGAACAACGAACTGGTCCTTCGAAAAAAAATCACTCGTTTCCCTTTATATGCGAAAAATATTGAAATTTTTCTTTTCGAACGCCCGACAAAGGCCCGGGCGAGTTCTTCTCGAATTTTTTTTTCCTTCAATTACCTACCACAATCGTTTAAATAGTAATTATTTTTGTACGAAACAGTAAATACAGTAGGTATAAGTTTGGTGTTGAGATCAAAGCAAATTCGTTTCTTATCTGACATCACATTAAATATTTATTAAACCGCCGATTATATTTCGCTAATATTTAACAAACCCTTCGCTAATTGTCTCCTCAAACTCAAATTTACACCAATCACATATGTTGATATCGCGGTTGACAAGCTACATTATCTCTAACATGCCTTAATTAATCCCAAAAATACCCACCAAATACGCATTAGAGTTAAAAGAAAAAGAAGTAAAAGTTCACCTCGAAATGGGAATTTTCGAGGATTTTTCGAGCGCCCCTCGTAGGCGCCTTAAATGGCCGAAACAAGAGAAGTACAAATCGTTTTGAAGAATTCGGAATGATTCATTTGTCTGCGTTATACGATACCTTTTGTAATTTGTTAAAAAAATTTACGTTTCCGTAAAAGATTTATCGACAAATTCGAATTGATGGTATAGTCGATTCAATCGAACTCGGGTGTTACGTCACCACTCTTATATCTCTTTAATACTTATACTCTTTAAGAAGGTAGATTTTGATTTGTTTTCTCTGAGTAAACGGGCGATTTTTATGGAAAAATCGGGAGCGCACTCGAATAATTTTCTATAAAAAGAAATCCCGCCATATGTTCGAGCGATGTTCGGACGAAATTCGGCTTGTTTTACAGCGATAAGGGAAATACAGAGTTAAACAGTCGACGGGCTTATCATTATTGGATCCTCACGATAGTCGATCAGTAGGGTTTAGATGTAGATTCGGTGCGAAAGTATTTTTTTTCCGCTTGATACTAATGGAACTGGATTTGAATGGGCTTCATCCATCAAACGTGTCAACGGTGAGTAATTAATTAAATTGCTCTGTCTAGTACATGTGGTGATTTTTATCATCCGTTCTTCCACAAAACGTTTACCTGCATTTTTTAGGATGTTTATCAAAACCTCACCAGCGACGATTTCCACCACTTAGACCCGATTTCCAAGAAATTCTTCTACTGGCTCATCCTCATCGTATCAGTGCTGGCCATAGTTGGGAACATCATAGCAATCAGATCTATTATAAAAAGGTACTAAACAATTCCAATAGGATTCTCGCCGAATATTTCTTGTAATTCCAGGAAAACCAAGTACCTGCAAAAGTCATGCATCGTAGCCCTAGCTATATCCGATATATTCACCACAATCCTCTTCTCCAGTACTAATTTGGACATGCTATCTGGACCATTCATCGTTTGGGTAAGATACAAACGCTCAAATCGCCTAGAAATCGATTCCAATTTCTTCCAGTCTTTGGGCGAATTCCTCTGCTATTTCATACCGAGCGCCCAAATTTTCGGCACCACAACCAGCTCCCTGCTGTTGCTCATCATCGCCTTGGATCGACACCAAAACGTCGTCCAAACATTCAGCAAGAAACGCTGGAATCCCAAACCATCCACCTGCATTATTATCATACTAATCGTTTCTCTCATCAGTGCTAGTAAGTAGTAAGTTACGCTATAACAAATCATTTAGGCATCTCACTCCATCTAATAACCTCGCACCAATACATATTTTTCCAGGTCTCTCGTATCCGTTTTCGCGAAAGTATTTCTTCGAAACGTTTTTGGTCCTAATGTTGCCGGTAACCGATAAATTTGTCTACGAAGAATGCTCCTTCTGCTTCGCCGATAAAACCTTAATCAGCAGCTACTATGTGACGCTAGACGCGATCGTCTTCGTCCCGATGACCTGCGTTTTCGTCTGGTTCTACGTGCAGATAGCCGCTCTGATCTGGAAGCACCGCAAACCGATCACCGCGAAGTTCAACAAACCGGACAAGGACTCGGAGAACTCCACCTGCTCGACCAAAACCACCAACGTCGCCTCCGCCGGCGTGCCCGCTGTCTCCAGCTCCAAGCCGAAGAAGACGAAGAACCTGCAGGTGCAGCGGAAGATCCGCACGTTCCGAGTGGTGCTGGTGCTGATGGCGTCGTTCGTGCTGTGCCGGTTCCCCTACTGGTGCTACACGACGGTGAAGTTCCTGGTGAAGTGCGACGGCAGGTTCGGCTGGGACTTGAATTTCACGCTGGTGGCGTTGAACCTGTTCAATTGCGTGCTCAATCCGTTGCTGTACACGTTCCTGAACCAGACCGTGACGGCTCTGAAGATGATCAAGGAGTTCTGGTGGAAGATTTGCTGCTGTTGCTGTTCGAACGACGAGTTCGAGGATTTCGCGAAGGACGCCGATCAAATACAGCCGGCTTGTGGGACTGTCAAAGCGAGGGTGCAGGTGGAGAAGGGCCATTGTGAGGGTATGCAGAAATACTAAGTGGACTTATTTTTAATTTAATTTGCGAAATATATATATTTTTATTCTTTGTTGTCGTTTTCGATTTTCTCCTTACACGACAAGTCTATTTTATTGCGTTCGATGAATTTGGTAAAGTCTTTTCGGGAACCTGCCGCTAGATTGATCAATTTATCACCTGCTGGGGTGTTTCTCTCGTTTTGCAGGACGGTTTCCAATTGATCGAGGCAATTTTGATTTTCCAACATCATCGATACAACGGACTTCACCTTCGCCTTGATGCCCAAATCCCATTTTCTCTTGATTATTATCCAATTCGCCGAAAATAGCTCGTGCAGGAGCACGGCGTGGTACAAACACAACCTGCAAATCACAAATTTAACACGATGAAATTACGTTGCATAACATATTACCTAGCATTTCCTGGATCGATCTTCCTAGTAATATCCAAAAGCTCCCTGCACATCGCAGCCTTCCTCGCCAAACAATCATCAGTAATCTGATTAGGCGTGTACCCTTGCTGGTACCCATACAATTGTATCAAAGAATGCTTCACCGAATACACGTGATAGTGATTAGGATGCAGGAACGTCAGCATCTTGCCCAACAAGCCCTCCAATTCTCTAACGGTGGGATTACCCAATTGCACGCCGTCCACCTCTTCTCCGATGCCGTTCACCAGGAAGCACACCTCCTCGTTGGTGAGCCTCACGTCGCACCGGTCGCAGCGCCACTCGGTGTCGTCTTTTAAAGGCTCCACGGGCAGCTGCAGCCCGTCGCAGGGCTCCTGCTCGGAGCCCAGGCACTTCAGCGCGCTCAAATAGGACCCCAGCTCGGTGGGATCCCTGCACCTGCGGCACTCGCAGCTGAAGTACTTGGTCTCTTTGAGGTGCTCCCGTCGGGCCTGGGTGCCCCACAGGCAGTGCGTGTACATGGTGGTGATGTGCTCGCCCGCTTCGATGGGCAGGCAAGCCTTCACGGTGATTTTGTAGCCGTCGTTGTCGAATATGTGAGTGGTGTTGGGTAGGCAGTTGTGCTCCAGGAGATAGGCGGTGGGGTATAGAGCTGTTATTTCGGCTTGTTGGTTGATTTCCAAAGCGTTGACGTCGATTACGCCGCAGATCTTGTGGATGGTTTCGCGCGAGATGTCTTCCAAAACCTTCTTCCCCGATCTGCCTTCGAGAATGGTCATCGGATGGAAGAAGTTGCTGTGCAGGTAATCCGCGATGCGTTCTTCGATGGTTCTGGTCGAGATTGAATTCGTATGAGTGTAATAATCTGTTGTAGTGTCGTCGTAATACCTGTATACATCGGTGTTCGGTCCTCTTCGTTCCAAGTGGGGCTCCATGTCGAGCAATTGGGCGAACTTCTTGGGGTGGCGATGTTGCAGGAGAAGACAGCGTAGGGTGAGCAGGGCGTCTTGTCGGTAGAATTCGTGCAGCCCGTTGATGGCCCTGACGTCTCGCAGGCCTAGAATCATGCACTCGTGCCCGTGCCGATCCATGTCTTTTAATCCGGGGCAATCCGGGTGGCAGACGGGAAAATCGCAGCCCTCGCATCGCGCCGATTTCTCACCTATTATCAACCTACAATCAACCAAATAAGCGCTGCAGGAACGAATTCGGGTACGTTTAGTACTTGCAACATCCCGGGCACGGTACTGGACCTTCTTCTACCATGTGTGGCCTCGGACCGTATACGATCGGCAGTTCACTTAAAATAACATCGCCTGGTTTGATGTCTCTAGTCGCTACCAGGCATTTACCAATGAGAGGATCTACTTGAATCTAAATAAGGATTATTAGTTGATAAAATGGGGGTTTGGGAAGCAATTAAAATGCACATTTATACTATAATGAAACGCAGTAAGTAAACTATAATGGTTATTGGAATTGTAGTAAATTAATTGCGGTTACCTCGAAGGGTCTGCAGGCGGTTTTGTGGTTCTTCCAATGTTGCTTCTGGTGCTCCTTGCTGCAGTAGGATGCCAATTTGCAGGCGGAGCACTTCAATTCGGAGGGAGCGCCGCATTCCGCGCATTTTTCGCCCATATTCTCGTCGCCCGCACGACCGAAAACGCGGTCTATTTCGGAATGGGTTTTACTAATTTTTTTTTCCTCTCGTTTTCTCTCCCGTTCGCCTCCGGTTTTCCGCAATATTCGAATGGGATTGTAAAAATAAACTCTCGGGAACCCGACGATTCGTGCGAACGTGTAAACTTTTCGGATTATTCAACTTTCTTGAACTCGGTCCAAGCCAGAATCGAAGCCGGTCGAATCGATTCAATGAATTTTAAAAATACTTTTCGTATTTTACCGAGAATAAATTGCAGTTTTTCACTAAATTAGGTGATGTGAGTTGTCTAATTAGAGTATCACAAACTGTATTTGTTCCTAATGTTACACAAACTACACAAACTCAAAAATGTTTTGCATAAAGGAATAAATATACTGCTCCACGAAAGTTAGAGGAAGTTCACAAATATTGAGATTAATTTAAAAGTTACAGGTTTTTTGATCGCCAAATTTAGTATGAGTAGTAGAGGTAGGGACTAAAAATCCACTCAGATATGAGAGAAAACATTTAATTTCGCATATTTGATAATTTGGTGATCAAAAAGTCTGTAACTTTTAAAATAATCGCAAAATTTGCGAACTTCCTTAACTTTTGTGGAGCAATTTATTTAATTTAACGAAATATTTGCAAAATTACTTCTCTCTTTTATCATTTACTAAAAGGCATAAAAACCAGTTAAAATTACTAATAAAAACAATTTACCAAAAGAAATTTCAAATAATAAATGACCAGATGCATTTCAACTAATATGCAAAACATTTTTGAGTATGTGCAATTAGAACCAATTAGATATAAATCGATGAAACAAACATAGAATTTATTCTCCAATTAATCAATACATAATTACAAATTTGTACGCAATATGGGTGCAACAAAGGCAACTTCCAATAGTCTCATGTAAAGGAAAAAGAAAGAGTGATGTTGTTTTCCAACTTTCTCACACTAACCACTATTATTATCATAATCTTTGTACAACTCATGTACAATTGACTATAACCAAACAAATTAGCTCTTGTTAGCTCTACTACTATACTGCTAACTCCCTATCTATTCCATGAGAGAAAATCGTAGCGATTAAAGAGAGAGATCCGACCCTCTATGGTGTGCTTAGTCATTTATACGCAAGCGCGTTAATTTTAAAAGGACCAATAGCGAGTAGCTGAGGCCTAAAAAGAAAAGAAGGAAAATAATACTTGAAATCGTGGTTAAATTCGGTAACCTGACATATTTGCACAGGCAAGTCAAAGTCGATTTTAAAAATATATCAAAAAATATACCAAAATAAAAGCCAGCACGTTTCTGACGTTTCATTTGCTGTGTCAAAAGTAACCAATCAAGAAATCTTTCACTTGAGCATGCGCATAAATAAGCAGGCACACCACAGTATAATGTTTGCTACGGGTTTTAGACCATCATAAGCGGTATAGTAGTAATAGGTATATGTAAAAATCATCTTTAAACTTCAACTTAAAGACATGTGTCATTTCTTTTGAAACAAGTGTGAATAGCAATCATGAGCGACATCATCAAGCGATGGATTCAAGAAAAATTAGGCATAATAATCAACCTTCGACCAGAAACCTTCTGTCAACTATCCCGCGACGGCTCGCTGTTGTGCAGGATACTCAGAAACTACGAAATCATCAACGACGACCAACTGAAGATGATCCGAAAATCGAACGTCCGATCCGTCTGCCTCGTCAATTTCAAAGAGCACATCATGTACTGGCTGGACATGCTCAACATCCAACTCACCGCCGAGGAAATCATCGACATCGTCGACTGCAACGGGCTGGCCTCGCTGACGCTCTTCTACCGCGTGTTCATCGAGCTGCACGAGAAGGACTGCCTGACGTTCATCCTGAAGAACCGGCTCAGCGAGAAGCTGCGCCCGCAGCTGAGCAAGTACGCCGTGCACAAGGTCAAGGACAAGCTGCCGGAGAATCTGGTCAGCGAGAAGTACATCGATCACCTCGACAACACCGCCGACGTCAAGCACTGGCTGCAGGACCGGCTCGAGGTGGTGCTGTCCAAGTGCAAGACCGCCAGAGAGGAATATTGGAGCATAATACGCTCGACCGAAAGAAACTCTGGTGAACCATCCACTAAGCTACATTTCGTATACTAATTGTCAACGTTTCAGCGCACTTTTCCAGGGGTTTTCTACCGTCGTTCGAAGAGCACCAGGACATCGTACCGAACACTTCTGCGCGGAGCGTCGATATGACCTACAAAGATCTCGTTATTGAAAAATCCAAAGCGAAAAACGCGAAGCCTTTCCTGCCCGATTCGAGGGAAGCGCAGAAAATCGTGCAGAACATCAAGAACAAACTGGCCAACAGAGCGGAGTCCACCGAGATGATCAAAGAGCTCCAGAGGCAGATACTGGAAACGTATTTCTCCAAATTGGTCGATGAGGAAAACGAAAACGTCACCACGGATCTTACTGAGAAAATAATGAAGCAGTCGCTGTACGAGAAGCAAATGCTGAGCAAGATCAGAGAAGTCCAATACCAAAGGGAGAACATGCTCGAAAGCAAGAAGGCCTTGAACCAAAGCATTATCAAAGAAAAAGAAAGGGAGTTGGTCAACAAGATGCTGAACAAAAACAAGGAAATGAACAAACTCGAACACGAATATTACATGGAGAAGAGGCGCCTCTATCAATTACACCAAGAAATATACCAAAAGAAGTTGAAGATCAAAGCGGAGAAGATGCACAAGCTGTGCCAGGATTCCATATACGGCATATGCACGATGGCCTTGAGATTTTTGGAGCACAAGCGCACCTTCGGCGAGGAACCCCCTCAAAAGGTGGTCGACATGTGGAAGAAGCTGATCTACGCCCAAGACGAGGAGCCCAAAGTTCCCGCCGAAGATCTAATAACTCTAAGCCCGGCCGTGACGGAGACCGTCCTGCAAAGCGAAATGGACAGGCAAATAATCTTCGACAGGCGCGACTTGGACGACTACACCAACTTCGAGTACCCCTGGATACTCCGGGACCTCAGCGAAGAGCTCGTCAACGACATGAACAACGGCACCAACATCTTGGGTTACATAATCCACAGCTTGTTGAACATGAAGTACCCGAGGGCGAATTACACGAACCCGCCCGACCTTCCGAACGTCAACATCAGGGCCTGCTTGAAGGGCGTACCGCAACAGCAGAGCTTGAAGACGCTGCAGAAGCTGCTGATCCACCGGAACGTGCTGGTCGTCGAGCTGCAGGACACCATCAACTATTGCTTGGACGTGTACAAGGCGGAGAGCAAGCACCAGACCGAAGAAAGCTCCGACGACGAGACCGCTTTCGTGGAAATCGAAGAGAAACCTCCGATGGCCAAAAAAGGGGCGAAGAAGAAAAGCAAATTCGATACGATCACGTCGGAGAGCGAAGAGCAAAAAGACAAGGCGGAGAAGGTGGTTCAAACGCCGAAAATTTTCCCCGATGAAATCGTGGAATTGTCCAACGCCGGTTCGTTGGGGAAAATTATATCCGAAGAATTGAGCGCCGGCAATTGCCTCACCGATTTTCTCATGGTCTCGACGTTCATCGAATATTTGAAGAACAAAGAGAACGAAATCAACGGTAAGCGAAGCCTTCGAGCGAAACGAATGTACCGAACGATTTATCACCTACAGGTTGGGTACTAGTAAACTATCCTAATACCTACGAACAGGCGATTCTGTTCGAGGAAACTCTCACCGGTTGTCAAGTGCCGGGCGTCAAAGAGGAGCAGAAAATCAACAAAAGTTTGGTGGACATCGTCAGCGACATCAACGAATTGAAAGACCCCGACGAAGAGAAACGTTTCTCCAGTTTGGTGCCGGATCCCAGGCACAAGGAATTCCCGATGGCCTACGACACCGTACTCACCGCCTTCATCAACGTCAAAAGCGTCTGTACGCTTCGCCATACATTCAAATTGATCACATGCTAAAGCTCCTCGTTTTCCAGCCGACGATTCCTGCAGCTCGTACGATTTCCCCCAAGACCTGCGCTACTTGGAAGACACCAACGACTTGGAGAGGTTCTACACCGACCAAGGTTGCCATTACGCCGTCTATTATCAAGACTTCGACTTCTTCACCATCAAGCACGTGGCGAAATTGGTCATCGGGGAATTCACGTTGCCGGCCAAGCCCTCCGTCGAGCTCTTCGGCGAAACCATTACCTATTTAGAAGCGGGCAAGGGGGAGGACAAGAAAACCACGACGGCCACCAAAATGGGCGAGAAAAAGGAGCTGGACAGGATCGAAAAGGTGGTGGTGAACACCTCCAGAGTTACGTCGTTGCAATCCGGAGTAGGTAAGACTCGGTGCTCTGTGTGATAGTTAAAAACTGGCCGTTTTCGCGATGGTTTCAGAATCGTCGACTAAAAAACAGAAAGCCGCCTTGATGGTGGTCAAAAACGACAAATCGACGCAGATTCCGGAAACGGTGCTGGTGATGGTGGAGCCGAAGGAGCCGCCCAAGCCGGGCGAAGATGGATTTTTCTACGAGAAACTGACCATCAACAACGACATCGGCTCGTTGCTGGTGGACATGTGGGAGCGAATGGAGGAGATCTACATCAACGATCTATCGCAGGTGTTCTTCGAGAAGCGCGTCATCATGAACACCTTGCGACCCTACGTGAGCTACGTCCAACACATGATCAGATCGTACATCGTACAAACCGACAACAGGCATCTGATTATGAGAGAGTTCCAGGACAAGTTCAACCAATTCGACAGCGATTATCGAAAGGACAAGGAGTTCAAGGCGCAGATGCAATGCTTGTGCGTATTCTATCCGATGGTTGGGGTGTGATAAAGGCGGTAATTTCAGGACGTTCTCGTTCACCGATCGCCTCTCCGATTTGGCGGACGTTCGAGTGATGCGCGCCGAAAGACAACGCCACGACGTCATCTTGGTGAGCTGGGGCGTCAAGCAGATGATCCAGCTGGTCAACAACTTCATCACCGGCTTTCAAATCGAACTGGACAGGAGCTGCGACTCGATGACGTTCATCATCGACTATTTCTGCGGCATCATCACCAACCTGCCCGGCGACGAGATCATCGCCAAGGAGATACTGCCGAAGTTCCCGTTGGACAGCGCGGAAATCGAAAATGAAATCAACAACATTTACATTAACGTCGGCGTGCCGGACGCCAATCCTCTCGTCGGGAAAATCGACGCGGTCTATCGCAAAGCCTTGGCCATCGTCGATAAAAACGACAGTTATGTATTTTCCAAATACGAGGCCATGAAGTTCACGTTTATGAGCGGTACTGGCCAGAAATCCGCCAAGTCCAAATCCACTATGAAAGGTGAGTTGAACAAATCCCATCGCTGTTGGTGATTCTCTATTATCTCGCAAATTCCAGCTACTGCTGCCGGTACAACCGGCGATAACATAGTGGCCCAACAGCAGATCCTCTACTTATTCGACATATGGTACAATTGTTTGAAAGGCGAAACGGCTCGGATCAAAATCCGCCTGCACCTGCTCAAAAGATACTTGCTCAAAAACGTGGAATCTTTCTTCGTCACGTTGAAAGACACCTACCACTCGTTGTACAAAGAGAACCAATTCCGATACGACACCGAATTGAAGACCATCAAGGACATTTGGTACATGTTTATGATCGCCATCGAAAAAGAGCAGCAGATCCAGCACGAATTGGTGTTCATCAACGATCACCTCTACGTCCGCCCCTCGGTCATCCTATTCGAAGATCCTGTAGAAGAACCGCCCAAATTATCGAACACAATGGTGTTTTCCGTGCGACAACTGAACGCCCTCATCGAACTGTTTATCGATTTAGGACCGGACGGTTTCGTTCCAGCCCGAAGTTTCTCATTCATCCTTCAAGACATGACCGTCAACAACACGACCAATTGGATACCGGACGAATGGACGAATCTCACCGGCCCGAACGTGTTCCAATTCACCCAAGACATGTTCGGACCGCAAGAATTCGTCTGCTGGAAGGACTTCATCATCTACTGCCTGGCGTTGCGCTTCCCCACCGTCAACGACATCGTCCTGATGCGCAGGGCGTACAAAAACATCGACTTGAACTCCACCGAGCTCATCGACAAGAAGCACTACGACGACATCCCCTTCTGGTTCGAGACCGACGAGGACGTCGACGTCGAGGCCGTGAAAAACCTGCTGTTTAGGATGTACCAAGTGGACGAGCAGTTCACCAACTACACGGCGATGCTGTTCGATTTCTGCAAGAGCGACATCACCCTGCTGGGCATCGTGAAGGCGCTCACGCTGATCTCGGGGAAGACCTCCTGCTGGAACACTTCCGTCGGCCAGAAGTTCGCCCAATTGGTGCTGGAAGATAGGAAGCTCCACGACGAGCTGGTATAAGCTTCGATTAATCACCGTTGACGTTCTCTAAACGTGTTTTGTAGGTGAAACAAAGAACGTTGGAGATAAAGCAAAACTTCGAGTGCGCTACTAACATAGTGCTGGATCTCATCGATAAAACCGTCCATCTTTGCGACAGTTTGATCCTGACGGACATCGACGATTACAAAGAGGATTGGATCGATAGCGAGCCGGTGGAGGAACCCAAACCGGTACCGCCCGCTAGCAGGGAATGCGAAGCAGGGTTCGAGGCCAGACGGTACCCGTGCTACTGCTACTTCCTCAATATATCGCACGTGATCACGCTCGTCAACAGGACGTTCAATTGGAGGACGGAGACGGAGAAGAACATTTCCACCTACCAAGTGCTCAACGACATCTACAAGCAGTGCCAGAGCCCGATGTTCAACAACCAGGTGCTGTCGCACGAGTTCCTCAACAACGAGCAGTTCTTGAAGGTGTTCAAAACCACCAAGAAGTTCATCAACGTGTCTCCTTACAAATTAGTTGAGAAGTATCTTATAGAAACGCAATTAAACGAGATTGAAACCTGAAGTGTGCTCGAATTGTGGTAGGTAATTTCCAGTTTCAAGAAGGTACTACTAGGTGTAGCGGGAAATAGAGATAGAAGGTATAGTATGTAGTAGGTATCGCGTTTATTTAACGTAAAATAAAAAAATTATCTTAATATCATTTTGCTGGATTTGCAAGATATAGCGGCGTTTAAGTCGACGAATTCGCATCACAATTAAATCTCACTAGTTTAGATTGAAGTCACTGGATACTTGAAGTACCGCAAATCGGCCGCCATTTTTTTTAAGTCGCTTAACCCCGACCACTTGATTGCTCGACACGTAAACTCCACCGCTTCATTTACGTTACCGGCCTCGCGTTTGCGGTACTTCGAACACCCGAGTACTTCAATTAAGGTTTGTAAAAAAGAACATCTTCTTCTTAAACCGAGTACGGTCATCAACTAGGCGCGTCGACAGCCACCAGGATCCACGTGTACAACAAATGGTACTTCTTTTGGACGAGTTTGTACCGCAAATTGTTCAGCCCGTCTTTGTCGAAACGCTGCTGGCCTTGCTTCAGCACGTCGTATCTACAACGAGAAAAACAATACTAGAATCCGGGCAGTACTAGGTAGTACTAGCTGGTACTAGGTAGTACTAGGTGGTACTAGGTGGTACTAGGTAGTACCGGAAGAGCGCGTTACTCACCGACTGGCGCTCGGCTTGTCCTTCTTGTGCGTGAGCATCGTGTAGCGGGCGATGGTGAGCGGGTACCTGGATATGTGCAAATGGTGGTACCGGATGCGGTTCGACATGTCGTCGTCCTCGCCGCCCCAGCCCCAAAACGAATTCGAGAAGCCGTTGAGCAACTTGAAATGCTCGGTACTGATGGCCGAAACGCCTCCGAAGATTTCCGGATACGGCAACCTTTTTAAAAACCAAAAACAAATCACCTATTTGTATGGTCACTCGCTTTGTGAAGTAGTACTTGTATTTGAATATGTCGACGGCGACGCTCATGTGCCTGGGTTGTTCGGGGCACGTGTACAGATTCCGATCGTCCTCCGGCAGCAGATCGATGTCGTGGAAGATGAAGCAATCGAACCTCTCGACGGCCAAGGCTTCCTTATAGCCGACGTTCATCAGCATCGCCCTGTTGAAGGTGCCGTCGCCGTCCTGCTCGACCACGAATATCCGATAGTCGAGCTGCTGGCGCTTGAGGAACGGGTGCATGTGCTGCAGGAAGAGCAGCAGGTGCTCGCCCCTGCACCGGAACGGTACCACCAGGGCGACGCGTTTCGGGGCGCGGCAGTTCTCGGGGCTCCAACGACCTCCCGGTCGCAACCAGTCGAAACGAGTTTCCAGTTCCTGGGCGGTCGGTACTGGCGATTTTACTATCGGTAATCTGCCTTCTGGGTGCGAATAGAAATTACCGATTGCTAGTGATGTGTAGTAGCTGGTACTTACTTAGATTTGAGGATATATCGTCGGGGCATAATGGTGTCGAATCGTTTTGCGCTTCGATTGCAACTGGAACCGTTACTGATGTACTAGTATTGCCTAATTTACTGCCTAATTGAGGCGGTGGTACCGTCACCGCGTAGCTATAGTAACTATCGTTTTTCGTTGCGAAATGTAACGTTTTATTGTGCGGGTGGGTTTTGTTGTTTTTGAACAATAAAGTCTTCAAAAGCGGTCCATACGTATGAATTTCCTTATCGTCGACATTGTTGAGTAATCTACGGAACTAATGCAGTACTGTTATCGAATCGGGCGGTGGGCGGGGTACTCACTTGGTCGTGTTGAAGTAAACCGACGGTTTGGAATTGGTGAAGGTGTTGATGAGATATTCCAGGAGGACGAAGGCCACCACGAGAAAGAAGAGCCCCTTGTACGGGGTGATGGGGCACAATGGGGGCATCTGCCCGGCCTTTTACCTGTCGTGCAGCGGGTACTTCTTCAAGCGAACCATCGCGTTGATTCCGTCGGCGTCTGGAAAATTGGAAACCGTGTAAATGCTTTATAAACGCTTTATCGAATGTTATTAAATGTGCTTGGTGTAATCAAAAAGTTGTTAACAAACGAAATTCTATCTTGTTAATCTTTCCTCCGGGATTTTGTTGGTAACATTATCTGTTGTTTGCTTCGATGCGACTGTTGTGGGTGAGTTATTTTTATATTTTTTATCATTATATTTCCCAAAACCAAAAGTATAGAAAGTAAACGCACAGGAGTTGTAATAATTAACAGAAAATAAAAGGCTCTTTTATTTCACTCAAGGTTAAATAAAGATAATGTTCTTATTAACGTACTTATAACAATAATGGAAAGTTATTTCAACAGTTTTTTTACTCGAGTATTTCCTACATTTCGTAATTAGTTTGATGTTTCATTAATTTGTCAATTGGAAATTTTGGCATTGATAGAAATTATTTTTTCGCCTCGTGACGTTTGCTTAATTGCAAGCGGTAATGGAATTGTACTTTGTCTCAATTAGATAAATAAAATAAATAAGTAATAGTACACTTAACTGAGATTAGTGACTACTATAAATGCCTGCTTAAGAATTAAAGCTATAAAAATTCGTCATACACTTTGTTTTATTATTAACATTGTCTTGTTCGAGAAAAATTCGACATTGAATTTAAATTGGACGCACCAAAAGTGTTATTTTGAATGGTTTATTGTTTTTTGCAATGAAAATAATCCTGACGATTTCTCTTATGATTATACGAAACGAGTTATTTCGAAATTTCTCAGCGTTACTAAATTTCTACTTACCACGATTTCGATGTACAAGAAAACTAAAAAATACTTTTTTAAAATTTCGACTTTATTCCAGCGTATAAATAAAACGCTCCGAGCGCAACTGTGACAGCCGCAGCGCAAATTCCCCGAATTTAAAAGCAAAAAAGTACGCATAAATACATATTCGATCGGTTTATGAATTTTAAAACGAATCATTTATAAGAATTTAACGAAAACAACATTTCCAACAACCTAATTAAAAACACCACGGAAAGTTTAGCATATCGAATAATACTCTAACAAAAGCAACCAATGTTGACCTCTGATATTCCAATATAATACAGATTAATTATTATTCATACATCTATCACATGTATACGATAATAGCATGCACACATAAAATTACCGCGTAAAAGTACTCAACAAAATCCCCGGTGTAAAATTTCGACAGAAACCAACCAAACCACCCAGCACTTTTACTTTCCACATTCGACACCCGCATTGCCAATACCGATGCGACCAAGTTCCGCCAAATCGCCAAATTACCATTCGATCGTTCGGCGTGTTATCAAACGGGCCCCGCAGCTTCGGCGCTCCGCCGAAGATGCATCCGAACAGCGCCTCCGATTTACCACCGATATCCCGACTGATTACACCTCCAGGGAATGGTTGCGGCCACCGGGATGCAGAGGAACGAGGTCCGCACCGATCACCATCACCGCGAGCACTGTGAATGGGACGGCGATCGCCCAACCGGCAACGTTTCTTCGACGCCCTGTTGTCGGATCGCCTGGTTTTTCTCTTAAACTGCTGCTGGTGGGAGCAGTTTGATGGTTATTGCATTTAGCAAGTTTGGAAGGTTTTGGAAGGTTTTGGAAGGCTCTGGAAGGTTTTGGAAGGTTTTGGAAGGTTTGTTCAGTACATAGAATAGTCCAGTAATAGAGCTGACAGGGAAGTTTCAGTATAAAATTGTCCATTGTGCAACTGAAGAGGTCTTAATAGGTAAAGCAATTAAAATATTGCAAGTAGGAACTCTAAAAAAGGCAATAATTTAATGGTGATAATAAGAATAGTTAGGGTTTTTCATTAACAATTAAGCATCTAATAACAACTCTTTTAACTTCATTAGAAGATGATTAGTAATTAGTTTTTCTTCAAAAAATATTCACTACATTAATTCTGAACTATCCAATCAATAAAAATTAATTAAAACGACACTAAATTGTTGGAAAATTTGATTTTTTATGTACACTTTTCTATTCCATTCGACTATAAAATCACCGAAACAACAAAATATGTCAAAAATATGAAGATTTAGTTACTCTAATAGAAGCTGTTAATAACGATATCATAATCAATTGTATCCACAGTTAGATTTTGTGTGTGCAATTTTGGAATAATTCGTAGAAAATTTATTTCTAATTTTTCCGGGGAAATGTTGAGGGGAAATCCGGCAACGTCGCGAACGGGGTCTTGTGGCATTGCCGATGTGCGTCAGAACGTCGATTTTTAAAGCATGTCCCAGGTATACGATGTGGTGTGGACAATGAGATACAAGATTGTTTTATTGCAGAAGATAAGCGAAGGCAATTTCTTCCTTTTAATTTAAGAGATTAATTTCGATTACATATTTACTTTATTTATTGCATATGTAAATGTAGTTTTCTATGCAATGGGTGCAACAAAGATAGCTTCCATTAGTCTCATGTATAAGGAAAAAGAGAAGCAATTTTCTTCATCTAATTACTGTTGTTTTTATATTTCTTTGTTCAACTTATTGAATTGCAAAAAATGCACATACCTGTATAAATCTCATTAGCAGTTATATCATAATTGACCCAAAAAAAAATTCATTCACGTTTTTGTTTATCTACTCAAATAGTGTATGGTTCGCTTTATAATTAGGTAAAAAATAACATTAGTTGACGTTAATCTCGGAATTATTCAACAATTTCTTACAAAAATGTACAAAAATAACCGCACAATTGATTCATTTCCCTACTTTTATATCAAACTTTCTCCCTACTTTTATTTCAACTTTACTCCCTACTTTTATATCAAATTTTCTCTCTAGTTTTGTACAAACTTTGCTCCCTACTTTTTAAGCGAAGGCAATTTCTCCCTCTTAATTTAAGAGATTAATTTCGATTACATATTTACTTTATTTATTGCATATATAAATGTAATTTTCCATGCAATGAGTGCAACAAAGAGCGCTTCCATTAGTCTCAAGTAAAGGAAAAAGAAAAGCAATTTTCTTCATCTAACGACTGTTATTTTTACATTTCTTTGTTCAACTTATTGAATTGCAAAAAATGCACATACCTGTATAAATCTCATTAGCAGTTATAATTGACCCAAAAAAAAAATTCATTCACGTTTTTCGTTTATCTACTCAAATAGTGTATGGTTCGCTTTATAATTAGGCAAAAAATAACATTAGTTGACGTTAATCTCGGAATTATTCAACAATTTCTTACAAAAATCTACAAAAATAACCGCACAATTGATTCATTTCCCTACTTCTATATCAAACTTTCTCCCTACTTTTATTTCAACTTTACTCCCTACTTTTATATCAAATTTTCTCTCTAGTTTTGTACAAACTTTGCTCCCTACTTTTTAAGCGAAGGCAATTTCTCCCTCTTTATTTAAGAGATTAATTTCGATTACATATTTACTTTATTTGTTGCATATATAAATGTAATTTTCCATGCAATGAGTGCAACAAAGAGCGCTTCCATTAGTCTCAAGTAAAGGAAAAATAGAAGCAATTTTCTTCATCTAACGACTGTTATTTTTACATTTCTTTGTTCAACTTATTGAATTGCAAAAAATGCACATACCTGTATAAATCTCATTAGCAGTTATATCATAATTGACCCCAAAAAAAATTCATTCACGTTTTTTGTTTATCTACTCAAATAGTGTATGGTTCGCTTTATAATTAGGCAAAAAATAACATTAGTTGACGTTAATCTCGGAATTATTCAACAATTTCTTACAAAAATAACCGCACAATTGATTCATTTCCCTACTTCTATATCAAACTTTCTCCCTACTTTTATTTCAACTTTACTCCCTACTTTTATATCAAATTTTCTCTCTAGTTTTGTACAAACTTTGCTCCCTACTTTTTAAGCGAAGGCAATTTCTCCCTCTTAATTTAAGAGATTAATTTCGATTACATATTTACTTTATTTATTGCATATATAAATGTAATTTTCCATGCAATGAGTGCAACAAAGAGCGCTTCCATTAGTGTCAAGTAAAGGAAAAAGAAAAGCAATTTTCTCCATTTAACCACTGTTATTTTTATATTTCTTTGTTCAACTTATTGAATTGCAAAAAATGCACATACCTGTATAAATCTCATTAGCAGCTATATCATAATTGACCCAAAAAAAAATTCATTCACGTTTTTTGTTTATCTACTCAAATAGTGTATGGTTCGCTTTATAATTAGGTAAAAAATAACATTAGTTGACGTTAATCTCGGAATTATTCAACAATTTCTTACAAAAATATACGAAAATAACCGCATAATTGATCATTCCCCAAATTTACTCACAAATAAAGCATACCATACACGTTTTTATTACATTTTATTAAAATTTATTACACAATTTCCTCACCGAATCGTAGCGTACGGTCCGCTTTACGTCTATCACACGATATTAATCTCGATAAAAGAACATTGTACCGCAAATTAATACTACAAATTGATTCATTTTCGAAATGTAATCCGCCTAAAGCAGACCATACACATTTCCTCTTTTTATTGGATCATCGAGAGGCGATATTAGCGGAGTCATTCGCGGTAATTATCAACGAGAATTGACACATCGTCGACAGGTGTGCCACACACACACACACACAAATCCGGCCCTCTTTTAAATCGGTCGATACCGCGCTCGGAATTCCCAGCTGTTGCCAAAACCGCTCCGAAACGTTCGACGAATGTAGGTTAGAGCACGCGAATGCCCTTTGAGGGGGTTGAAATTCGAATTCCAGCCCCCTTGTCGTCGAACGTTAATTTTAGATGAATTCTACGGTCGAATAACACACGGCGATTGTATTGTGGATGTAATGGATTTGAAAGGACTCGTATTAGGGTAGTTATAAGTTTTTATTCAATTTTAAGAAAACGTAACAAATTATATAGATCTATATGTTTATAGAAACGTCGATAATATAAATTATATCTAGTAAGTTTTATTTACAATATCACTGTTAAGTTTTAGTCCTGTACTGGCTTAATGTTAAGTCGGGATAATGGCACTTTTGTGTGGTTTATTTGCATGGGTAGACGAAAGGATCATCATCAAAAGAAACCTAAAAAAATACAGACACAATTAAATTCGCTCGTTTACAAGATGCACGCGGTATAAATATAGATCTTTCGACGGATTTACAATCCTTAAATTCTTCCATTAGTATATTTAAGTTTCTCTCTACTTTTAGTTCAACTTTGCTCCCTACTTTTATACCAAACTTTCACCCTACTTTTTTTCAACTTTACTCCCTACTTTTATATCAAATTTTCTCTCTAGTTTTGTACAAACTTTGCTCCCTACTTTTTTATCAAATTTTCTCCCTACTTTTATATTAAATTTTCTGCCTACTTTTATATCAACTTTACTCCCAACTTTTATCTTAAATTTTGCCCTACTTTTATATCAACTTTGCTCACTATTTAATATCAAATTTTCTTCCTACTTTCGTAGCAATTTTTCTCCCTAGTTTTGTATAAACTTTGCTCCCTACTTTTGCCCCAACTTATCTCCCTTTTCTTCCATTAATCCCAACTTTTCTTCCTACTTTTATATCAAATTTTCTCCCTACTTTTATATCAACTTTGCTCACTGTTTAATATATAATTTTCTTCCTACTTTTATAGCAAATTTTAACCCTAGTTTTGTATAAACTTTGCTCCCTACTTTTGCCCCAACCTATCTCCCTTTTCTTCAATTAATCCCAACTTTTCTCCCTACTTTTATATCAACTTTGCTCACTGTTTAATATAAAATTTTCTTCCTACTTTTATAGCAAATTATCTCCCTAGTTTTGTATAAACTTTGCTCCCTACTTTTGCCCCAACTGGTCTCCCTTTTCTTCCATTAATCCCAACTTTTCTCCCTACTTGAATACCAAATATTCTCCCTACTTTTGCCCCAATTCGTCTCCCTTTCATACCAACCTTTCCCTCTACATTTACCTGAATTGTTCACCCTACATTTAGATATCGCAAAGACAACAAACAAACCCTTACCCATTCCTTTTTGGCCAGCATGGCGGGGCTCCACTCCTCGTCCACGGAGAAAATATCCTCGGCGAGCGGCTCGCTGTCGAAATCGATGAGCCTCTCCTCCTGCCGATCGTCCGGCCGGTTGTCGAGCGACAGCGCCGCTCCGCCGGTCGTCGCGACGTCGGCGTCGTCGTCGGAGCAGGACGATCGCCGCCACAGCCTGTAGGCGGCGCCGAAGGCGTTCGCCACCGCCAAGGTGACGGTCTGGGCGACTTTCCTCTTCGAGCAGAGGAAAGCGTGGCATTCGGGCGTTTCGTCGGCGTCGGTCGAGATGAAGGAGAATATCTGACGGTGGGAGGCGTCCGTCGAACAATTCGATATCCTGAAGAAGCTTTCTTGGTTAATAGATTGTATAGTAGATGATTTAATTTCGTGTTTTCTCACTACCTTTGTGTAGTCTTTATGTTAATATTTCTCTCTACTTTTATCACAACTTTTCTCCCTACCTTTATATCAACTTTTACATCCTACTTTTGCTCCAATTTGTCTCCTTTTTCTAACTTTGGTCTCAACATTTCTCTTTATTTTTATGTCAACTTTACTCCCTACTTTTGCCCCAACTTATCACCCTTTTCTCCCTTTTATCTCAATTTAACTCTCTACTTTTATATCAAATTTTCACCCTAGTTTTGTTTAAACTTGATTCCCTACTTTTAGTTCAACTTTTCTCCTTAGTTTTGTACAAACTTTTATTCCTACTTTTATATCAACTTTACTCCCTAAGTTTATATCAATTTTTCTCTCTAGTTTTGTAGAAATTTTGCTCCCTACTTTTTTATCAAATTTTCTCCCTACTTTTCTATCAAATTTTCTCCCTACTTTTATATCAAACTTACTCCCAACTTTTATTTCAACTTTGCTCGCTACTTTTATATCAAACTTTCGCCCTACTTTTATTTCAACTTTGCTCCCTACTTTTATATCAAATTTTCTCTCTAGTTTTGTACCAACTTTGCTCCCTACTTTTTTATCAAATTTTCTCCCTAGATTTGTATAAACTTTGTTCTCTACTTTTACCTCTACATTAACTTAATATTTCTTCCGACTTTGATTGTCTGAATTATATTTTCTTTACTGACAAAGAAAAATTACCTGTATATAGAAACTTTTAGTACGTCGTTTCCTTGCAAATCCGTAATGGATATTCCTCGAATCGATATGTTTAAGTTGACTGTTTGTAATCGCTTCATTTTCATTGCTTTCGCTGTTTTAATGATGGTTTTCACCGCTTCTACAGTGACATTTTCGCCGGTTATTTTCTCCACTACTGTACTTCCTGCAATTAAATATTCGTATGATAATGTTGCAATGAACTTAACTTTCAAATAATCGATTATTTACTTACCTATGTATTTTAATTTGAATGTAACGACATCGTTTTCGTTGGAAATCGTGGAAGTGTTGATATCTTGATCTGATTCTTTGGAATTTTGCAACGCCAATTCCTCCGATAATTCTAAAAAAATAATGCAGAAAATTTGTTGTAACTCAAAACGGTCCTCACGATACGAATTCTTTTAATTTACGATATTATGTAAACAAAAATTTTGTTATTTGATGAAATTAATTTTTAATTAGACAAATGCAATAATTAATAATCCTTATGTATATATTACAAATAGAGTAAATATCTATGGCGCAAATTTATCGGCTTAGCATTGAGCAATAATTAATTTAATTATAGCGCAGTTATAGAATTATTTCGAAAAAGAAATAATTCACATTTATCGACCCTTCGGTAATTGCGTTTCGCAAAAACCGAGTTTGTTGATAATTAAATCAAAATGACGAGAAAATGACAAATTTATTTCAGTTTTCCGCTATTTGTAGACAAAACAATCTTTAGTTTATTTACGTTATAAAATGGAATTATTTAACTAGATTTTGCGTTGTTAATTATGCTAGCCTAGTTTTCTGAATTGCGCCTATTTTATAATAGATTTTTTTTATAATCAATAACTTTTAAATAAAAAATTATTACTTAATCAATATTAAAGTTAAAGCTACTTAAATATAGAAATGTTATCAAATAATTTATTCGACACGGGGCAAATTAAATGGTATTTTGTCGTTAAGTAAGATACGTATAATTAAACATGAAATTATTACATGTTTTTGAAAATAAAATACACGGGTTTCCCCATGCGAAAAATTACGTCAGAACAGCTTGCGCTAAATGCTAAAAAAATAGAAACAAATCGAAAAATGTACACAAATAGGTAAACAAAATAAAAACTAGGAATCCTAATTATTTATTCATTTCGTATGTCATTAACAGAAACAATACCGTTTACGACCATCCCAAGTCCAAAGGTTATTCGTTTGTATGTAGAATTATATTCCAACTATTCGATTTTATCATTCCACATATATTATTTCTACTGTTTATTCCGCGTAATTTTTCTCTAAGAAAAACATTTTTTAATCATGAATAAAATGTTATAGTCGATAAAAATAATCACGCAATAAAATTAAAAGATATTTTTAAAAATAGAGTCGCATTTTACAACCAACTTTTATATCAACTTTCTTGAAGCTACAAAACACTTTTACCAAACCCCAAAAATTTCTTCCAATTACCCAGTAATTTAATTGCATCCCCAACCTACTTTCGTGCTTGGAATTCGCCTTCCACTTCCTGAAAAACGCCATGTTTCGCCGGAAAATCCACTCGAATTTCCCACTGATCCACTGAGCCTATCAACCGCGAGCAGAAAATTCACACCAAACCGCGCAGCACGAGCAACGATCGCCGAATGAGCTGGAGCTCCAGCCAGTACCCGTCGAAATCGAGCGGAAGAGGCCGCTAAAAACACAACAAACTCGAACACAACAAAGGCTGGATGCTGGCGGGTAGTACCTCTTGGTACTGGGACATCTTTCGTGACGCGATAAACCCGAGCGTGTTGCAATAAATCCGCGTTCGAACGCGCGTATTTATTCAAGGAAATTCGATGTTTACGCGTACAGAAATAAAATGCACGATTCTTGTGAAATCGTTATCATCGTGCATTGAAAGATTGGCTTATTAATGATTTTTTTTAACAACCCTTTCATCGCATTCTTTAGTTGACAAACATGTTTTCTATACGGTAATTTTCGACTACCCTGTATAAAAGTGAATGTTTCGAACATATACGCTTTGTTCTAAACAAATCTTTATCGGTGATTCGTGCTTGACCCTGTGTGATCCTTGTACAAGTTCGAATATCTCAAATAGTATTGTCACAAAATTAGTACTAACACAAGTTCCTACAACATTCTTTATATAACAAAACTTTATCCCCACCCTGTATTCCTTCTTCTTCTTTAAATTCGACCTATTCCTTCCGCAATTTCGAGTTCCACCCTGTACATCCACCTATCACTGTCATCTTGAACACTCTCATCAAACATGTAACGACTTTGCATCAATCCATACACACGATGCAAACATGCTCGTCAAGAACCCAAACCACGCCGACAAGAAGACCTCAGTCCACTCCGCGCGCCACTCCTACCAGACCTGGTACCGATCGAATTCGCCAATCTCCCAGAAGAGGGGCTCCTGAGCGATCAATTCCTGCTCCAGCGGTGGCGATGAACGCGGTGAGAGCGGGAACCAGCGGTAACGACATTAGAATAAACATTTATCTGACTCTGAGATTACCAGAAAAATTCCTGGGCCAGGAGGTGATTGAAGAGAACGAGGAATACGTTGGATTGGCTCCGGATGGTCCATCGGATTGTCTCGGTGAGCTGCATTTGGACTACACGTTTCTCAATTACCTAACTGTTATTTACAGCACAAGTTTATGATGCAGTTCCGATTGATCGAACTCGACAAAGTGAGTTGATGTTTCTATACAGCGCTCCTTCAATTTTATTGAACTTTATTTTTAGGTAAACGATGTGGTGCTGCAAGAAGAGTAGGTCAAAGACCATCTTGTACTGCTAGGTACGTTCCATCAGTATCGAGTAGATTCAATTCCAGTGTGCCTAGATCTCATCAGAGTTGCTGCGTGGATGAAAGGAGATTGGAGGAAATCGATTCGGTGATGATGAAAGAGTGCACCGGCTTCGATCGAGCGACATTCGAGGATTTGGATGATGATGATTTAGGGTCTTGTGGTCGCGGAAGAAGTTGCTGTTGAGGTGGTACTGTAAATTCAGTCGAACGGAATAAATCGAAACGGGTTCTTTTATTTAATTAAAACTATCTAATTACGGTTTTTTACAGGTAAAATGATTTCTCGATTGTTCAATCGAAACTTTTGGAAATTGGTTAATACGCATATCACAGTGGCTTCTTTTGTAGATTGCATTTAGTACAACAAATCAAACCTCAGACTTTTCTTTATCTAAAACCAAAACAATTCAAACATTTTAAATAACTTTCTAATCATTTATCACACACCGATTTTCTCCGACTCGTTCCAAGGTTGGATTTCACCCGAACCAAAAACCACGAACACCAAACTGGCGCACAAATAAATCCCCGCCGTTAGATAGAAAATAATCTTCCACTGATCCTGGCTTTTCTAAAACATTACCAAGTTGCTCGACAGTTAGCCCACACAAATCCAACAGATAATTCAATCCTCTTCTGATCCCTCTAAACTTACTTCATCCGTGACGATGTACTGAACAGTCAGAGGAGCCACGATGCCGCATATATTGGAAAATCCATTGGTGAAGCCCATCAGGGCGCCGGAGAAATTCGGCGACAAATCCATGTGGTTGATGTTGAAGCCGCTGAATATGGCCGAATTTATTCCAACGGCTATCACCAACAGCACCACCGCTCTGGTGTGCTCGTAATCGGCCGTGTTGCCCAGCAACACCAAAGCTATCGCTGGTATTGTTAACCCTAAAATCGCATCAATTTAGCAGTATATAAACAGAGGTTTTTGGGTTACCTATGGTGTTGAAAACTTTCCTGGAAGCTCCGATGCTCAAAATGCTTTTGTTAATCAACGTATCGGCTATTAGACTGAATATAAAACTGGTTATCCAGAGCGTGAAGTACGGTAGAGCAGATAATACGCTATTCTGAAATGTACAAAATACTGTAAACGACAAGAATGCTATCAAACTAACAGGATTCTCACCGATTTAATATCGAACTCCATCACGTGCCCCATATAAGCAGGTATCTCCGTCAGCAACGTCCAAAATCCCCAATTGTGACCGCACTGCGTGACGAAAATCGCCCAAACCGGCGCCGACGTCAACAGCTTCGACCAAGGGGTGTTCTTCTACAAAAAAAAACCAAAACACCTCTTCCGATAACCCAAGCGATCGTGAATCTACCGCGGAATACCTACGGGCGTCGCGTCGGCGCATCCCAAGTCGCTCTCGATGTAGAATCTCTCGTCGTCGGTGATGCGAGGATGCCTAGCGGGCTCGTCGCAGCCGCGGCGCGCGAACACCAAGCACCAGCCCAAACCGGCCGCGCTGAACGAGTAGAACACCATCGGCCAGCCGTACCGGCTCGAAGCTATCAAACCGGTGAGCAGCATCGATGCCACCGTTCCGCACGAACCGGCTGCAAACGAGAAACTTGCATGATCGACGATGCAGATGATGTAGACGATGTATTTGGGATGTACATAGTTCATGCAGATGAACTAGTTCATGTAGATGATGTAGATGATGTATTTGGGATGTACATAGTTCATGCAAATGAACTAGTTCATGTAGATGATGTAGATGATGTATTTGGGATGTACATAGTTCATGCAGATGAACTAGTTCATGTAGATGATGTAGATGGTGTAGATGATGTATTTGGGATGTACATAGTTCATGCAAATGATCTAGTTCATGTAGAAGATGTAGATGATGTAGATGGTGTAGATGATGCAGAAGATGTAGACGATGTACATAGTTCATGCAAATGATCTAGTTCATGTAGATGATGAGGATGATGTGGATTGTGTAGACGATGTAGATGATGTATTTCAGATGCACATTTCATGCAGATGATCTAGTTCTTGTAGATGATGTACCTATTCATTTAGATGATGTAGTTCATATGCAGATGATGAGGATGATGTGGATTGTGTAGATGATGTAGATGATGTATTTCAGATGCACATTTCATGCAGATGATCTAGTTCTTGTAGATGATGTACCTATTCATTTAGATGATGTAGTTCATATGCAGATGATGAGAATGATGTGGATTGTGTAGATGATGTATTTCAGATGTACATAGTTCATGCAGATGATCTAGTTCATTTAGATGATGTATACGCCGTGCTTCATTCGCGATTGCAACATGAGCATTTCTATGAGTTGAACAAAGAAATATTAGTAAAATAACAGTTGTCAGAGTGAAAAGTTGCAATGATATAAATGTCACTCTTTCTTTTTCCTTTATAAGTGTCCAATGGAAGCAATCTATACAATGTAGATGATGTAGAAGATGTACATAGATGTTGTTGATGATGTACATAGTTCATGCAAATGATCTAGTTCATGTAGATGATGTACCTATTCATTTAGATGATGTAGTTCATATGCAAATGATGAAGATGATGTGGATTATGTAGATGATCTAGTTCTTGCACATGATGACTGTAGTCCATGTAGATGATGAAGTTGATGTGGATGATGTAGTTGATAACTATTTACCTGCGTAAACGAATGTACCCAATCGACTCCTTTCGCTGGGAGGTACCCATTTGGCCAGCAAATGGTGTACCGAAGGGAAGATGAACCCTTGGGAGAATCCTTGAATCGCTCGGGAGGCCATCACGCCTTTGGAACCGAACCGGGCTGCCATGGTCGGTAGAAACAGGCCCATAATAGAGCAGGTTGACATGGAAGCGACCAGGAACCATTTGGGGCCGTATCGGGCGGCGAGCCAGCCGGCGCCCAATTGGGGTAGAATGTAGCCCCAGAAGAAAGCCGATAGTATCACGCTCTTATCGCTCCAATCGTACGTCTACGAAAAAATTGTAGCTGAATAACCTAGTAAGAGTAGATTTTTTTTTTATTAGAAAGAAGAAGATATTTACGGGAACGTCGGGGTTGATGCTCGCCGTGGGATCCGTCATGGCTACAATTCCCACTGATAAGTTCACTCTGATGCAGTACGCGATGAATATGAGTAGAAAATAGAGTAATACTTGCTCGTGACGTTTGCCGAACGTCGGACCTGCAACGAAAAAGGCGATAATAATTTATGGTGGTTGCGCTGTATTTGGACAAGTGACAGATCGAATGACGTTTGACATGTGGTGGTACTTACCTGGCAAGTCGGTGGCATATTTGCCGGGCTTTAGGGGTCGGTATTTGATGTGACCCCTTTTTACCATTTTTCACACGCTGTACTACGAACAGTACGAACCCACGTTGTGCTATTAATAATTTTTTTTGATTCGTTCGATAAGAGATAAGGTTTCGTGAACACCATATGTTTATCGGCGAACTTTCGAGTTGATTAAATATTTTTTTTTTAGGTTTAGTAGACGCAGTCAAATATTTTTTTATTGTTTAATAATAATACTCGGTGTGAGCTTAGGTGAAGTACTGTTTGTAGAGGTATTTTGTTTACGTGTAGGTGAAAGGTGAGATTCTCGAAATTTGCGATAGATGGCGAAAGTGGTACTTTATCATTGTAATTATGTTTCGAGATAACGGTAGTTTTTCTTGCGGTTTTCAGAGGAATTGTAAGTTCAGGACTGGCCCAAAATTGTGTTTTATTTACTTAATAATTCAAGTTAATAACATCTTGTTATTATTTACGAAATGATATTAATTAAATTTATCTTCTATATTGTAAAAGTATTTTTTTCAAACAAGTGGTAAATAAGTAAACAAATTCCTCTGATTTTAATCAGCTAAATTTTGTTAAAAATTAATAATAATGGTCTATCCTCGAAACAACACCCTGTATAAATATAACGATAAAACAAACTGTTTTTTTGTAATTAAAACTTGATTGTGTATGTTTGGAGATCTCTCGGCATTAAACAATGGAACACCTTGTGGTTGAATAATATTCTATCTGTTAATGAATGAACTATTGAACAAAAAAAAATTGTTGCATAATTGGGAAAATTACGGCTAGAAAAGGAATTCAATAAATTTAATGTGTGTGACCTTTAGTGACAAATAATTTGATTAGGAAATAACATATTTACAAAAAAATACGAAAGAATGATATTATCGTTTTGATAACTAAATTGAATCGGGTTATTGTTTTTTGATTGATGTTAAGAATTAGAATTTGATGTGTAAGTAAGTGAAATAATGGATATAATTAATAGAAATTTTATTACAGATATTTCATCAACATTTTTTTTACTTTTATTTACCCTTTTTATATAAGGTTTATAAATGGAAATTTTTTATTAGGTAATATTAATTACTGTTCTTTCGAATTTCTACTGAATGTAATAAAAACAAATTGATTTTTTGAAATTTACACAAAAAAAAAATATTTTTATCTACCTTTTTTCACAGTATTGCTATTCCCTTTAGCTAAATCATCGTTGATATTTTCTTCCTTGTACTTCACCATCTCCCCTAACTCCACGCGATTCTTCCCGGTTTCCATTCCCGTTAAATAAATTAATAATATTCCCGTTGTCGCGAATTCCCAATTAACGAAGAAAAACCACTAGCAAAATAGTATTGTTTTCAACCACTTTGTGCTCGGAATTACTAAAAATTTCAACTCCTCTACTTCTATCATCGCTCGAATTTTAAATGCAACAAACGCGCCTCCCCCACTTTTCCCACGCCTTTGTCCAATCTTCGCGAGTTTCGGATTATTCCGATATTTTTGCACAAATTTATTCCATTTTATCAATCGTCTAAAACCATCGAACTCTCACGATTCGAATACCTGCTCATTGTTTCCACAATTAATAGATCTGGTAGGTGTTTTTTTGAATTCAATAAACTGTATTTGACTTGATAGATCTCCCTGTATATATTTTTGTTTGTTTAATATAGGATATTGAGTAGATAAAGTATACTTTTTATGTGTAAAAGTTGTAAGATTTTCGTGTATTTAATAATATATGGCGATGAACTAGTGATATGTAGCAAGTAATGTTTTATTACCTCGTTTTCCTAATTCAGTGTGAAGGTAAATAATGAAAATTGTAAATGATTAAGTGCAAATGGCAATGAATTTTACGTGGAAGGTTACTTGTTAAAGGATAGTACGTGGATTGTATGCAGAATTTCCACTTAAACATATCCCCCATCCACTTTTTGGGACACTCTGTATAATAGTTTTCTTCCAAGTATATCAAATATTCTATCCATATGGGTAGATTTGTTTGCAATGTGATTGATTTTATGAGTTGAACAGAGAAAGATTATTGAAATAACAGTGGTTAGAATGAGAAAGTTGCAATCCCTCACAATTTCAATATTTCTTTTTCCTTTATGTGAGATTAATGGAAGTTGTCTTTGTTGCACCTACATTGCGTACAAATTTGCGCTTACCTGTATATCATTCTAAACAATTTTTTATTGGGACATTCTGTATACAAAAATTGTCAACATGCCTTTTTAATATAACCCTGGCCTGGTATCCTTTTCAAACGTTTTCGAATTTTTCCGCGGCGAATTAAATAAAAACTCCGGGGAATTCGCGCTGATCTTGTTAAAAAATTGTCATAGAAACAATTCCAAAAGTAGGATAAACGTTGAATAACCAATTAGAATGAATCAGTAAAAAGAATAAATACATTATTGTCAGCAAAAGTGGCATCGATTGAAGATTTTTTTGCGGTGGATTCCGCGGCGGTTTCGGCCACCGTACGCTCCCGATTCGACGCCGTCGGACGGATTTTCGGCTCGAATGGATTTCGATATGGCTCAAGAACGGCCGGCGATTGGTGCAGATAACGCGCTCGCGACTGACAAAATGACTCATATTATAATAACAATCAACAGCCGACGGTCGAGCGAACGCTCGAAAATCCTATTGAACGCCAAATAGCCAACATGTTAACATGTCCGTTTTGCTGGAGAATACGACCAATTGCGTGTGGCTCGCCTTCGAGGCCCTCCAACAGGACAAAACTGGAATAGTGCACAAATCCAAGTTAAAGGTAAGCCAATTTCGCACTTTAAACCGCCCTTTACTCGGTTAAAATCGAAGCACAAACGCGCGAACTAACTCGATTTTCCGAGCGACGGGAATTTCCATCGCGGGGTTTCCCCGAAAAATCGGAAAATCTCGACCATCTGGTCCGCGCCGGCGATCATCTCGCCTAATATAGTAATGGAGTTGTTTTTTTTTTTTCGTAAAAGTGCGTACAGGTTGTTCGGATATACCTGCACACATATGTACATTTATTATTGAGAATGTGAAAACACGTTTTATGTCAAGGTTGGCGTCGACCGCAGAAATACATTTCGATACATTTCGACGGTGTTATGATTATTATTATTTTATTGATTTCGAAGGCGGCCCGATTTATTTTTCACGCACGGTTCGCGAATTACATAAATTTCCAGCACGTTCGAATCATAATATTTGCTCAACGAATTTTGCGCATAATTAATTCGTATTATAGCATTTTGTCTTCAACTTTTTCCTCTTCAAGAAACTCATCTAAGTAAACCCAAAATGTACAAAAAAAATCTTCCACTTCATCTCATTCTTCTATTCACACCAATCTTCACCCTTCAACAGGTCCTAACAGCAAACATCGGCACGCTGCTGGACCTCTACGGCGTGGAGAGGGGCCTCGAGCACTTCCGCAGCACCTCCACGTTGAACTTCGACCAATTCAAGTACTACCTGCAGAAGGAGGTGTTCTCGTCGCTGCCGAGCCAGCTCCAAGTGCAGGACGCGCGGCTGTTCGAGAACAAAATAGCCGAAGTGTGCTGGCTGGTGTGCAGGAAGAAGTACCTGCCCAGGGCGAACAAGCGCTTCGACGACAAATCGGTGTTCCAGATGTTCAGGGTGTTCTGCGTACTGGCCGAGCTGGTGCCGGTCGATCAGTACGATGAGAACGTCTACCAAGCCCTGGTGCACCCGTCCGAAGTGTGCAACATAGCCCAGGCTCTCACCAGCTCGTTGGGGTGCCATTTCGACGACGAGGACTTCACCAGCCTCAGCATTTCGATGGGGAACTTCCGGCTGGCGCCTTTCGTAGCAGTATTAGAATCAAAGTGCGTACCTAAACACACCAATCAACACATTCTAATGACTTCACATGCTAGATGTTTGAACGGGGTAAGAGACGAAGTCGCCATCGGCGAAGCTGTCACCGACATTTACCAAAAGCTGGTGGAAGACGTCATCAAAAAGGGGTTCCTGTCGAAGAAGGGCTACATATTCCCGACCATGAGGGACTACTGGTTCGTGTTGAGGCCCTGCGAATTGACCTACTACAAATCCCGAAGCGAACGGGACAAATGCGGCTCGGTGCCCATCGAGCCCGGTTGCAAAGTGGAGCCCAAAGCGGGCTACAAAATCCTGCTGCACGGGTCGGAGAGGACCTTCGAATTGGGCACCACCGATCACATGAGCCGGTTGCAGTGGATTTCCGCCCTGCAACTCGCCGCCGACCATTCCGGTAGTATATTGCAACGCTGTATAATATCCCAACTCCTGTTAGAATGCAAGTAATTGTTGCAGGCAAACACCAGAGTTACCAGCGCCAGCAGGCGGCCAAGCGGCGGCTGCAGAGGCAAGGCAGGATCCAGGAGATGATCCGGGCTAAGTTCCAGTTGCAGCAGGAAAGGAACGCCAGGCAAGCGGCCGAAGGGCACGCGAAAGAGCTGGAAGTGGTGGTGAAAGAAGAAGCTAAGAAATTAACGGAACTCGAACAGTTGAGATTGAAATTGGAGCGTTCGCTGGAGGAGGAAACGCAAGCGAAGAGAGACGAGGAAATAGTAAGAGGGTAGGTTCGATGCAATTCCTTATTTGTAGTAAACATTACGAGTGGAATTTTGGTAGGTTGCAGGCGAGGGTGTTAGCAGAAGAATGGGAAAAGCGGGAGGAACTCGAACGGCTGCAAGCGGAGCAAAGGCTGCTGCTGCAGGAAGAAAGGCAGAAGAGGAAAGAGTACGAGGAACTGCAAACAGCCAAGGAACTGCAACTAAAATGTAAGTGCTCGCTTTTACATTTTACATCGACTTTAATCGTAAATTTTCGTTTGTGCAGCCGCCGAGGAGCGACTGAACCAATTGGAAAGGGAGCGACAGGATCTCGACAAGCAACTGAAAATGGCCAACGAGAAAATCAAACGCGCCGAAGACAAGAAGGAGATATTAGAAGCTAAATTGTACCAGGTGGCGCCTTTGTTCAGGGAAGGGGATAGGGTCAGGAGGGCCCATTCCTTCATGCCCAGCACCAAGGAGAGGCCTGTTATTTTAGAAGTTAGATCTGCCACACTCAAAAGACCTTTGTAATCCTATTTATTCTTATTGTACATCCTCAAATTTAATCTAATCGACAATTAACGATAAAATACTCTAATAAATTATTAATTTAAAACGTTTGCTATTACTCTGTGTACCACCCCAATCCAGGCCAGCTGTCAAAACTCAAAGAGAAGAAATTTTTTGTAGGTTATGTCTAACGTCAAACTTGTCATATAATTTTATTTATATTAGAATTTTAGGGAATCAAAATGTCCGCATTCAATGCGCCAGATCTTTCGCAGGCCCATCGAGAGGTGCTCGAGGCCCGGGCCAAAAGGGCCGCCGTTCTGCGCGAGCAATTCCTAAAAGAGAAATTCAATCCCTTCAAACATGCCACAGGAGAAGGAGGCACAGTGGTACGTACTTTGTTATGTAATATTTAGCGTCGAATTTTTGTTTTTATATTCAATTTCGAGTAATAAACGCTGTTGTAGTTAGGTTAACAATGCTCGGGCAAGTACAGGGTAACAATGAATTATTGATTTTTTTAGTTCGATCCAGCCTTGCAAAGGTTCCAAGCGTTGCACGTATCGAATTTCGATCACTTCAAACCCACGACGAGGACCATCAAAGGAGTGTTCGGCCTTTTCATCATACCGTTCGGCCTCACTTGGTACCTAGTTTACACCTCGAAAAATAACAAGGAGGCCATGTACAGAAGGGGAGAAGTCGCATACAAAGATAGGAAATTTAAAATGGCTTGAATTGAATCCGGACAGTTGTAAATTCGTTGTAGAACAGTGAGATATATTGAAATATACATTTATTATACATAGTGTAAGAGTTTTGTTTTATTTATGTATTTTTATGTATTGAAAGTGGCTAGGTGGTCGGAAGAGTAAAAGACCATAATCTTACCACAAAATGTGACATGTGTCATAAATTATTTTGACACAGAACAGATGACATTTACGTATGTACATTGGATAGTGGAGGTGGATTGATTACTTACTTTACAAATAAGTTAATTGTGTAGAATTTATTTGGAGCTAGTAGAATAGCATAACACGTCTGTGGTGCTTTGTTTTATCTAGTTTGTTCGGTCGGCTATTTAGCTATTAAAAAAGCTTAATATTAATTCAAATCGTGTCGATCTAAGCCTAATTACCTAGTCATGTTTTGTGCGCGTTATTTGATATCAATATTGTTCGTTACGGCCTGCGTATATTCAACCAAACAAGGTATTTACTTCAATTAACGTTGCTCAATTAGTGGCTGTCGAATAACATTAGTTAAATGATAGTTTGTACGATGCAAATTAGATTATTATACGGGTATCTGTTATTTGCAGGAGACCTTTCATCGGGGAAAGATGTCGAAGTAACAATCAACAATAACACTGAGGACGTATCGAAATCGAATGGAAAAAAAGAAACTGTTGATATAGGTATGTATTGACTTTGTGCGAGAAATTCGGTTGAAAAAGTTGTTGGGATCTCACAAAAAAATTATAATAAACAGTAGAGGAGTTTAGAACTTCAAAAATATGTTTGATAAGAAAGTTATTTTGTAGGAATTAGTGTAGTTTTTTTTTTAATTTGAAATGTATTAAATTGAATTTCCATTATATCGAGGGTCACTATGATTTTATTTAATTTCAAGTTTCAGGACCTACTGATTCATTGCACAGAAATGAATCCTTCATGCCAATTCCACCTACTAATTCTACCATTAGTCCACCTATCCCTCCTAATTCTACCACTAGTAGTCCAATTACCACACCTAAATCTACTACTGTTAGTCCATCTACCACTACTAAATCTACCACTGTTAGTCCATCTACCACTACTAAATCTACCACTGTTAGTCCATCTACCACTACTAAATCTACCACTGTTAGTCCATCTACCACTACTAATCCATCTACCACTGTTAAACCTAACTCTACCACGGTTAATCCCAATTCTACCACTACAGTTAATCCAACACCAGTTCCAAGTTCTACGGCGAAACCTTCTCCCGACCCGGAACCTTCTAGGAAGTAAGTACAATTTTGTTTATTTTAGTTCTATTCAATACAACAAGCATATATTATTATAACAAATTTTGAATCCACTTCCTGCATAATATATTTTTAAATACTGCAATCATGTTTTGTGCAATAATTTCATGTTTTTATACGCTAATAAAGAGTGCATGTGCGAGTACTTAGAGGGATATTTAAGTCAGTAAATGAGTTAAATTTCGAGGAATAATTACATATGTTTTATTTATTTGCGATTGTACGTCTGTTAATTACCCATAATGCGAATTTATTGTTCGGGGGAATCACCTGAACGTTTTATTAATTTAACAATGTGTAATCTTAAGTAAACAATTCTATATTTATCGATAAATGATAGCGATGATACGAGTAATTATATAATTATTTTTCGTCCGAGACATTATTAACATTTGAAGTGCCTTTTTAAAACTTCTTATTTGAATCACTCGCTTAGATAATTTGGTATCTTTACATGGAAATTGTAAACATGCTATTTAGAAGGTTGAAATAGCGTTAATAAAACGACTAGTATTTTCGTTCGGTGTCCTTGAACTGTTGTATTTTCTTTCTGTACTCGCTCGATACGAATCAGTCGATATTGGGCGCGAACTGGCATTATTTAACGAGCGACAATCGAGCTTAATAAAACTTATTTACATTATTTTATGCGTATAATTTCGTGAAAATAATTCACAGGGGTAATTGAAATATATTTTGATCAAGGCAACCAAAACTAGCACTTTAAGGGTTGAATTTGAATTAGTTTTTTTTTATAAATTAAGCGATAATCGAGCTTAATAAAACGCCTTTACATTAAACATTTTTCAGTGCAAAAAACTACGATGTAAGGGTTGATTTTAAATTGTCTATGAATCAACGAAAATTTGTATTTTAGGTTCGATGGTCCCAGTTTCGTGGGGGGCATAGTGCTCGCCTTGGGCCTGGTGGGCATCGGCTTCGTGGCTTTTAAATTCTACAAGGCCCGCCTGGAAGTCAATTATCACACTCTCTAACCCCATGACCTAAATTTGCACTCGGATATTTAAGCAGGGACGCGATCAAAGCTTCGCCCTCGTTTGAAAAATGCTGAAATAAGTTATTGTTGAACGTAAATTTATCACTTCTTGTTGCTCATAATTATTTACTTTGTTTTTCTTGAAGCATGAGTGCGTATTCAATAATATTATCTTCGTATTATCTGAGTGTATTATTTGTATTTTGATAATTTTTTCTCTGGAAATGTATCACCGATGTTGGTTTTTTGATAGGCAAACAAAATATCCGCTGTTGTGTAAATCCCACAATCAATTTTATGCATATTCGATCGTTTTTCAGCATTTTTCAATCTAAATATAAGTTAAAATATTGATGAAAACATCTATAATTTTAAATACCAATGATATAGTTTATTGTATTTGTGATATATGTTTAAAAATGTTTATGAATTAACTCGCAAATGGTCTAGTTGTAAGTTTGTATGTAAAGAGAAGAGACGAACGTGATTTTTATATTATCTAAATCAATTTTATTGGAGGCTGTTTTTTATATCACTATTAGTTTTTACGTAATGATTATTTTACACGTTCGCAGTGTCGCTTGTAACATCGTAATTGTTTTACTCATTTTCGTTCAACTTAATTAGTTTGGAAATTTGAACACGTTATTCACAAGTTATCCAGTTTCAGGAAAGAGACATTTATTTGTATACCACATCACGTTTATTCCCTATACCTTACCATAGGAATACATACACCTAGGTTTACCCAACTTAAATTAATTATAGTAAACCTGATGAAGAAACGAAACTTAAGTCAATATTCAATGAACAGCAGCTTGATATTAAAATGCAGTAGAATTAAATTGCAGCACGTTGCTTTATACCTAAAGAATTAATTAACTGTATATTATAAACGATAACTAACAACATTTTATTGTTTATAAATTATTTGTATGTCGAATAGGCAGTTGAAAAAAATCCATCTGAAATGTAATTCTCGATCGTTTCTGTTCGTTATTCGAGGGACGCAATTTTCGCAATTTGACTCTGTCCGTTGAAAGTGCTCTTAATAGAGTGTAAGTGTAAGATTTTAGTAGAATTTTAAATAACGGAAAAAATTCTAAGCGAATGATGGTGATATATATTTTTTGTAATTCTCTTTGTTTTCTAATAGTTTAAGTCGAATTTATTTTAATAGGAATTTGATATTGTACACGAGTACACGTCTTGTACATTTTTAGGTCACATGCAAATTTCGAATTTATTTGTTAGATTACATTTTGGTGGTCCAATAAATTTTATGAAGATAAAATAGTCTTTTATTTATTTATTTATTTATTTATTTTAAATGAGTATGGAGAGAACTCAACCAGTATATAGACATATTTTTAATAAAGATTAATATGAAAGTAACCTTCACAAAATGATACAATTAATTTCGTAAGGATGTTCAGTTTTTAGAAAAATTTAAGATTTAAATAATTGTTGGCCTCATCTGATAATAACATTCAGCCAATTGCAATCTATGACACTACAGGCCTAAATTGCTCGTGTTATTCAGCTTACCCAAATTTGACATTTCTTCAAACTTTAATTCTATGACTTTTGTGAAGGTAAAAATAACAAAAACATTTTATTAAACTAGTTTTCCTAAACGAAAATGATTACCACAGACGAGCAAACAGTCTTCGCCAAACTCGAATTAATGTTGGCCTCAACTGATTATAAAATACAGCCACTTTCCATCTTTGACATTTGTAGGCCTAAATTACTAGAGTAATTCAGCCTACCAAGATTTGACAGTTGACATCCCGTCATCCGTCAATTCTATGACTTTTGTGAAAGTAAAAATAACAAAAACATTTTAATAAACTAGTTTTCCTAATAAACTACAACGAAAATGACTACCATCGACGAGCAAGCAGTCTTCGCCAAACTCGAAGCCCTTAAAGAAATCAGGTAACTGGACAATTTCTCGCACGAGACGTCGAACAAATAAAATCGATATTTTTTACTCTTCAGATCCAAAACAATTCAATTGGAGAAACTGAAAGCCCGGTTGTTATTAGAAATCGACTCGCAGGATCAAGAGGAGAAATGCCTATCGGAGTACAAGCAAGAAATGGATTTGCTACTGCAAGAAAAAATGTCCCATGTGGAAGAATTGCGACAAATCCACGCCGATATAAACGCCGTAAGTTGTTACAAATTCCTCACCGAATGCACCCAATATAATTGCTATTATTAGATGGAAGGCGTAATAAAGCAAGCGGAAGAGAGCAGAACAAGATCAATGTCGGCTGCTATTCGAATACACGAAGAATACGCGCCCCTTAAAAGCGAAATAGACCGACTGAGAAGGGACTGCTTGGGGTTAGAAAGGCTCCCGGAACTGCACGAAGAGGAAGGAACCAGCGTCACTCCAGAGTAAATTAATAACAACTCAATTCTATCTTCTAGAAGTCAATAGGGGAAGATTTCTAATCGTTAAAAACGTTGAATTTTCACCTGAATAATTTGCAATTTAAATTCCACCGATCGACTTCTAAACACATCGAACAAATTTGAATTTAAAGCACTTACGATTCATCAGAATGTCGTTCTTTTACAGGAAATTCTCGCAATTGTACAACTCCACGAAATCCCAAACGTCCGTATTCGCCAAATCCGCCGATTGGAACCGGCCGATCGGACACAGCGAAAACACCATGGGTTCCCTGGCGGCGCCGCCGCTGCCGCCCACCTTCCTGCCGCCCCCGAATCCCCTTAGACTGGTCGCCAATAAGCCGGAGGCCGGCCGACCCGGCGGGATTCCCTCGTCTCCGCATTCCGGACCGCCTACGCCTACTTTCAGGTAAGATTACCGGCGTGAAATTAGCTATAAATCCTATTAGAAAACCTCTTAAAAACTCTGTAAATAACCTCTACAAAACACGCTAAAAAGCCTTTATTAGTCATCCAAAAAGCCTCGAAAGAAGCCTCTAAAAACACTTTAACAATCCTCCAAAGAATCCCCCAAAAACTTTTTAAAAAACCGTCTAAACACACTCGAAAGATCCTCCAAATATTTTCTTTAAAAATTCTCTTAAGAAACGTCTATAAATCCTGTAAGAATGCTCTAAAAATCCCTTGAAAAAGCCAACGAAAAATCACTAAAAAATCTTCTAACCACCCTCTAAAAAACCTCAAAAAAAACTTGTAAAAATCCCCTTATGAAACCTCTAATAAACCGCTGTAAAGTATCAATTTTACACGAATAAATGAGTAGTTAAGCCTGATTGAAGAGGGAATATTAATGTATCTATTGTATTAATTTTAGACAACAGCCGCCTCCGATGAAGTCTTGTTTGAGTTGCCATCAGCAGATTCACAGGAACGCGCCGATTTGTCCTTTGTGCAAGGCGAAATCCAGATCGCGCAATCCGAAGAAACCGAAAAAGAAGGACATCAATTAATTGCCCCTATTCGCCGGCGTGAGTTTGTTAGATTTTAATCATTAATGTATTACATAGGGATAAAACGGCAAATGAATTTTCAATGTTCTCTAAAAAAAAATTAAGGTGTTTTTATGTTGGAGATGCCTGAATTTTACAGGCGTAACGAGTCGAAATTAATTTATAAATAGGGATACTTCTAACTTATAACAATAGCTTTAATTTCGTATTGTGTTCGTATTTAAATCGATGTGTGTGATCGTTCTTTTTTTATGTACTTACCTCCTAAGAATAAAATTGCTAATTTGTTGACTTGAGTCGACGAGTTTTTTCAAAAAAAAAACTTTATTTTGCCCTCAAAAGTATCACAAATATCCTCAACAAATCAAAGACAAATTGTGTATAAAAATCTTTTATTCAATCGCAACAATTCAAAACCTACATACGAGGGTAGGGTGAAAAGTACTCGACCTGATGCAATCAGCAAAATTTCTTGTTTCCTCTTTGGGGCATTTATAATTAATTTTAGAACTGACTTGAACCATTTAGAACGCTTCAGAACCAATTAGAACGTTTCAGAAACATTTTAAAACTGTCTAGAACCATTCAGAATCCTCCAGAATCATTTAGAACTGTCTAAAACCATTTTTAGAACGCTCCAGAATCATATAGAACTATTTAGAACGCTCTCGAATCATTTATAACTGTTTTGAACTAAATATTTCGACTTAATAAGAAGAATAATGTAATTCATCAACTAAAAGTCGCAGTCTTTCATCGTCATCAGGCCGAGAACTTTCCACCCTACCCTCGTACGTATCATCAACATTAACTAATCGAGGTTTCTCCCGTTTCGTTTTCATCTTTAACAGCACCATCTACAGCACCTTCGCAATCATTTCCTCCTCCTTCGATCCCCTTGCAATTCTCCCGATGTCTCTTCAAACCGACACTCTTCCTGAATCCCGCTTTGCACGCCTCGCACTTGTACCGCCTCTCGCCCGTGTGCACCAGCATGTGGGACCTCACCGATTGGACGCCGGTGAACCGTTTGAAGCACACCTTACAGTGGTACCTCTTCTCGCCCGTGTGCGTGGCGACGTGGTACCGATAGGTACCGTTGTTGGCGAACGCCTTGGGACAGTACGAGCACCGGTAGATCTTCTCCCCCGTGTGGGTGCGCGTGTGCTTGAGCAAATTCGAGCCGCTCGCGAAGTCCTTGGGACAGTGGGGGCACTTGAAGTTCCGCTGGCCGGTGTGCACCGACAGGTGGGTTTGCAGGTGGCCTTTTTGCGAGTAGGCTTTATCGCAGTATTGGCATTTGAACTGTTTCTCGCCCGTGTGGGTCACCAGGTGGCGTTTGAGGCCGTATTTTTCGGCGAAAGGTTTCTGGCATACGGGACAGGAGGTGACTGTGCTCGACGAGTGCTTGGCTACGTGGTTATCGAATCTCTTCGGGTGAGTATAAACCTACAAAACGAGTGAAATACAACGAATTTTTCGTAAGGTACTAGTTCTTACTTTAAAGCAGATGTCGCATTGGAGCTCGCCGCGTTCGCGCTTCGTGTGCTGCCGCTGCACGTGCCTGGTGAGCTTGAACCGGTTCTCCAAAGGTTTCCCGCACTCGGGGCACTTGTACTTGAACTCCCCCGTGTGGCTCAACATGTGGCTCTGCAGGTGAGCGCTCTGTTTGTACTTCTTGCCGCACACTTTACACTCGAACTTCCGCTCGCCGGTGTGCACGACCACGTGCCGCTTCAGCTTGGTGTTGTCGGGGAAGTTCTTCGAGCATATTTTGCAAGGGAACATGGCCTTGCCGTCGTGCACCAGATTGATGTGGTTCTGGAGGTGTTGCTTGTAGCTGTACACTTTGCAGCAAACGGCGCATTCGAATTTCATGTCGAGCTTCTCTTTGGTGGAGTCGTCGAGGTGGGTCTCGAGGTGCTTCTTGAGCTTGGAGTTTTCTTTGAAGGCTTTCAAGCATTGGGGGCACTCGAATTTCCTGTCGCCCGTGTGCACCAGCATGTGGGAGTGTAAATGGCCGCTTTGTCTGAAGGGTTTCGAGCAAATCGAACACACGTAGTTCTTTTCGTTGGTGTGGGATAACTGGTGTCGGCTCAATTTGTAGTTGGTAGAGAATTCTTTGGAGCATGTATTGCACTGGTAGGATTGTTGGATTTGGTGGAGGTCTTTTAAATGAAGGGTTAAATCTGATTTTTTTGTGAAGCTGTCGTCGCAGAACTGGCATTTGTGCCGCTTTTTGTGGACTTTGTGGTGTTGCTTTAGAGCGGATGGATACGGGAAGGTTTTCAAGCATACGTCGCATTCGTGCTTGGGCTTGGATTTATCTGGAAATTCGCTTTTTAATTGAATTATATCAGGGAAGTCTACGGTGGCGTCGATTTCATAATCGGGATAATCCGGTTCCTCTTTAATTTTTTGTCCTGGTTTTAAATCTGTTGAGTTGGAATCTTCGTTTGGTACTTGTTCGGTTTTGATCTCATTTAGTGCATTATTTTCGGACATATTACGAGTATTCGGCGAATTTTATTTTTGTTTTGTTGTATAAATTAATAAATTCATTTATAATAATAATAACATATGCGTAAAGTTTATTGACATTTGTCAACTTTTGACACTTTCCATTTAAAATGTTGTCTAATTGCAGGCACAAATCCAGTATGTTAATAAAAAAGAAGAATACATTGTCATAAACGTCACTTTTGACATATCCGTCACAAACTTCAAACACTAGCACAAATTTTATATGGAATTTTCTAGAAAATTAATATTCTAGAATCTAGCAAAGGAAACTGAACTAGATTAACGGATTCATCTGAATGCCTGCCACCATTCGACGTTCATAACCGACATTTACCTAGTCGATTCAATCGCCTTGTAATTAATAACCAACATTTAATCTACCTCCAACTTAAAACCTTCAAATCTATCGTAAGTATGATTACATTTGAATCCGCACGTGGTTAATTTAGTGACATAACTCTGTAGTGATAACGATACATAATAATAACAAACATTTTGCAGTTCTCCCTTTATACGACTCTTAATATGGCTAAATGGGGCGAAGGCGATCCCAGGTGGATAGTGGAGGAGCGACCGGACGCCACCAACGTAAACAACTGGCATTGGACGGAGAAAAACGCCGGCCCTTGGTCGAGGGAGAAATTAAAGAGCTGTTCGTCGGGCAGAAAATCGAATCGAACGAAGCCGATCTCACCATCAACTCTGTGGATAAACTCGAAGGCGAGGCCTCCGCCAACAACAGAAAAGGAAAATTGATATTCTTCTACGAGTGGGACATCGTGTTGAAGTGGGAGGGCAAGCTCAAAGACGGCACCGATCGAACGTTCACCGGAAAGATTAACGTACCGAATTTATCCGAGGAAAATGACGCTTCTGATTTAGATGTAAGTTACTTTTAGACGAGGGTAAGGCGAAAAGTTCTCGACTTCCAATTGTTAAATTACGTTATTCTTCTAATTAAGTCAAAATGTTCTGTTCGAGGCAGTTCTAAATGGTTCTAGGGCGTTCCGAATGGTTCTGAAACGCTCTAATAAGTTCTGGAACGTTCTAAATGATTCTGGATGGTTCTAGACAGCTCTAAATGATTCTCTAGCTTTCTAGATTGTTCTAAATGATTCGAACCGAGAACTTTTCGTCGAACCCCCGTAAATTAGTAATTCCATTTAAATTACATTGTAATTTTCTTTGTTTTAGATACAAATTACCATAAAAGACGAAGACGAGGAGGGCACGAAATTGAAACGAATCATGCTGAAAACCGGCAAAGAGTTTGTTCGTTCGCAATTGGTCAAGTACATTTCCGGCTTGAAAGAGGAATTCTCCAAAGGGATGATTCTGCCCAAAAAGGGCGAGGAGAAAGTGGACAGCGTGAAAATGCTCACCAGCGGTTTCAACAAAACCAAAATCAACATGCAACCCGTAGTGAATCACGATAACAAACAAATAGGTCTCAAAATCGACACTAAATCGTTTAAACAAACTCAGAAGTTCCAGTGTACTGCACAGGTTGATATTTCTCAATATTTTGATTGTGTGTAGGTAATAAATGTTTCATTGCAGGAGTTTTACAACGCCATGACCCGAATAGAAATGGTTACGGCCTTTACGAGGGGCCACGTGAAACTGGACCCGGTCAAAGGCGGGAAATTCGAATTGTTCGGCGGCAACATAATCGGCAAATTCGACGAGCTGGTGCCCGATAAGAAGATCGTCAAACAGTGGAGGTACAAGCAGTGGCCTGAGGGGCATTATTCTACAGTCACCATTAGTATCGATCAGAAAGTGAGCTCTTCTACTTTACAACCGTTTTTAGTAGATTTAATTGTGTTTGGTTTTAGAACGATCACACGGAAGTGACGTTGGAGCAAACAGGCGTGCCAACCGGCGAGTTGGAGGTTACCAAAACGAATTGGCAAAAGTACTATTGGGATGCCATGAAGCAGGCGTTCGGGTTCGGGGCGTTCTTCGTGTAGAAAACACTTTTTATATTTAATTTGTACAGTCGAGGTTTGTTGTTGGAGGAAATTGAGAATGCCTAAATCGTTTAGTTTTATAGTTTGATTGAAACATTTCAACGTACTGTTTAATTTTATTTTGGATTACTTTACTTTTGGGGTCGTACGTATCTGGTTTTGTAGATATCCCGTTCCCGTGCTGGTACACATTTTTAGGTAATTTATTTAATGCCCGCTTTTTTTGGCTGTTATGATATTTTGTAATAAACGAAAACATCTCGATTCGGCTTCTCAATTAATGGAAACTCTTAAATAATTCCTTATCTTATCCAAAATGTTCTTTAATTTAACCTGGGTAAGTGCAAATTTGTTTGCAATATGGTCAGTTCTATGAGTTGAACAAGGAAAGATTATTAAAATAACAGTGGTTAGAGTGAGAAAGTTGCAAATCCCCCACAAAATCACTCTTTTTCTTTTATATGAGGCTTATAGAAGTTGTCTTTGTTGTATCCATAGCCAATTTTGCATCTACCTGTATAATTTAAACGACATAAGATACTACACTCGTATCGAGTTACATACTCTATCTTTTCTACTAATTTCTCGCATTTTAATATCCAAGGCCACCTGTTCCTGTTCGAAAGGTGTTAATAACTATAACTAACGCAAAAAAAATATTTTGCATATACCTTTCATACTAATAGAAATAGGTATACAGAAACAGGTGACACAATTTTCATACTACGTAATAAAAACGTATTATTTACCCAGTGAAACAGCGCTCGTTCGTATATGCGATTTTCCTCCCGTTTAACGTACGCATTTTCGTTAAGAAATTAATAATGTAAAAAGGCTCGTGTGTTAATAAAAAAATACAAGTTCTGCCGATAAACATACACCAAATTTATAAAATTTATCGGAGATTTTGAACTTGTTACGTTGACCTCTAAGTAAGAAAAGCGAATTTATAAATAGTGATAGTGTTATAATAGTGTGTGTGTGTGTGTGAGAGTGTGGAATTGACAGTGTACGTAACGCGTTTACGTAAAATAACGTGTTTTCCGTGGATTCGTTAAGGGTGGTGAGAATTTTGAAAATTTGGTTTTTGGAAAAATGGCACCCGAAATTGCGGTAAGTTCCGTCAGAGTTATGTAAGTTTTCCTTGTTGGTTTCATTGAGTTTTTTTAATTTCACTTATTTAAATTAGTGTTTTAATTAAAGGGTTTCTAGTATCGATAAGTTACTTTAAAACCAACTTTTTGGCTTTTTATGTAATTATAATTCAACATTTTGTTATCTTGAATATTTTATCATTAATTTATTACTGTTTTACTCAAAAAATACCTCAATTGTTGTGTTTTTGCTTCGTTTTCCTCTTCGATTTGCTAATTAATAATTATTGCCTTTTTAATGGCTCTAATTACCCTTAAGGGGCTCTAATGGCAGAAAAAAAAATAATGAAATTAATTATTGGAAAACGTTCAAAATGTGTATATTTAAGTGAGCGGAAAATAGTACGCAAAACATTTATTTTTAGTCCGCCATTCTACTGGTGATGAAACTAATCAATTAACTAATAAAATCGCTCGAAGTAATTTCTTTTCATTCTAATTTCCTAAAAATATATCGACTTAAAACAATTTTAATATAATATATTATTTATAATAAAATAAGGTGATTTTATCCTTTTTTTCAGAACGAGCATCCTCCATCTTGCGAAGAAAACGCTTCTTCTGAGGTAAATTAATTTAATAATATTACATATATTTATCCTACCTAATTATTAATTCGAGATTTATCCGTTAGAAGGATTATTAATTTCATCATTCATCATTTAGATAACGATTAATGATAGTTGAACGATTGTGCAATGAATTATACAGATTTTACATCGATCAATAACAGTCGATAAAATAAATTTCACAAAGTATTAAATTCGCATTAAAATGCGTCTTTATAATTACAATGAACTTGGTGTTTTAATAAATACATTTTAATAAAATATCTATAGACTGTTATGAATATACCAGTGTTGCCAAAAGTTGCTAAAGACGAATAGAAATTCAGCAATGACTACCAAATACCGTTATATTTTGTGAAATTTTCGTACATTTGGCAACCCAGCAAATAAGAAGTTTGGAAAAAATGCCAAGAATTTGAAGGAGAACCGTCTCTTTATCAATAACAACGAGATTGTCAAGTTTAATGGATATTTAAACATTATGGAAAATTGTTAATTATTCAAAGAAAAATTTTAAATTGGATTAATTTAATAGATAAAAAGAGTATAGCCTTATATATTTTTTTCAACCTGACAAAATTGCTCTTAAACGACTTATTTATTCTCTTCCAAGATCAATTAACATGCAACTAGACCAACGTTTGCATATTATTTCAATAACAGTGTAAACGTTTTCCTAAAACCTCAAAGATATTAAAAATTTACATGTATACTACAATTTTTTATAGACGAAATAGAAAATATAAACCATAAACCGCTATTACATTCAACAACAATCCCGAATTTATCACAAACTATTAAACACTAACAACCAATTCGGTCGTTATAACCCCGTGTAAACGTAAAAATTTCGCAATAATGTTCGGAATCGTTCAAGTTCCATTTGAAAGATTCAGTTAATGTTGGCGTTTCAATTACAACACTTAGGCGGTGTCTTGTCTCGAATTCGTTGAAATTTACTAGAAAATTCGAGCAGTTTTCCCCGCATACAGGGCGAATAGAAAACATGCGAATCCAATCGATTTTCGAACAAGCCGAGGAACTGGGTCGAACGGACATTCAAATCGAATTCCGCAGCGAATACCATGTCAATAACGAGGTAAGATGAAGTTATTGGTACAGTAAAAGTTTGCACTAGAAAATGAAGTTGCTGTTATAAGTTATTCAAAAGTTATAGTCTGTTCGCTATCGGGAAACTTTTTAGAGAAGCTTCTTAAAGCTGGTTTATTTGGGTTTAGAACTGGGTCGTCTATTGTTGTATACCTGGTATACAGAGTGGCTCTAATAAAGTCATTAATAATTATTTTTTTCTTTGAGTCACTCTCCTGCTGTATTTTGCATACAAAATTAGATTGTATTACTGTAATTTCCTGATAGCGAACGGAGTATACTCGTAATACTAATTAAAGCAGGTATTTTCGGATATCAATTTGGGTTTTCAGAAGTATTTTGGAAGTTTTGAGACGCCTCAAAATGCCATTTTTTGAGTTCAAAAAATTACAGAAAATACTACATTTCTCAAACAAATTTAGATAAATTTTACTAACCCAGCATAAACATATTATTGTACAACGCTATCTTTATTAGTTTACTACGTTTTAATTACCTTTTACCGCTCAAATCACCCTGTATAAACTTACAATTTTCACTAATTGTAAGTTCATTCTAGAAATCATCGCCTGCCATGAAGACAGTTTAATTAATTTTGATTGAAGTTAATTCCAATGCGTCACAATATTGAGGATTATACTGTTACTTTACATCTTCAACTTCAATACAGCGCAATAGATACAGGGTGATTAAATAATATGTAGAGCAATATCACAAGTCGAATATCCCTTGCAATTAATCAAATTAAATGGTAATTACAATTAACATTTGTACGAAATTTGGCGAAATTTCATCAAATTTGGCAGCACAGTAAAGAAAAGCGGTCAAGATATACATCGACAAGTAGGTCGAGATTTTCCATAGTCCGGATGACGTCACTAAAAGGGAAAATCGAAGTCGACTGGGGGTGTGACAGTAGTGCCCGTCAATCGTTTTACACGTTGCCACATTACCTGCTAATTCCTATTTCCTCCTACTTTTCTATAAGTCAATTATACTCGGAGCATTAAAATAAGAGTAGTAAATTGTAGGTAATTTACTAATTAAATTCTTCTCTTTAGTATACACATAAAAACAATTAAATATGTGAAAAAATGCGAAAATTTACTTATAGAAATATGAATGAATATAAGTAGAGATTGGTAGTAGCAACATGGCAGGATTGTTGCGCATGCTTTTACTGGGGGTGTGTGAATTCTACGTAGAATATTCAAGGGATGAAAATCTCGAGTGTCTCAAGGTGAACTAGATCACTTCCTTAACAATTTTCCCTAACACATTAGCACAAATCAAACAAATAATATGAAAATGGTCGTGGATAAATCGGATTTTAGCAGGTTTGTCACCCCAGAGGTGAGTAAAATAATACTTCATTAAATTTTATCATTTATCCTGCTGTTAATTTGTACGTTTTTATTTATTTATGATTGTTATGGAATTTTCTAATTGCTGCAACTCACAAATAGAATAATATGTTTAAATAATTAGAAAAATGTTTCCACTATAACTGTACGAGTTTATTAGAGTTTATAGGCGTTTGTTTTATATTATTTTCTTTAACGACAAATCGATAAATAATTAGATAGAAAATTCGTTATCAATTTTATCGATTGAACTTTATTGTAAACACATGAAATAATTTTCCGCAGTTTGATTTTCAAGAAAAATTTTACAGAAATGCCGGCCTGTATGTTTTGAATCGATGTTGCCAGGTGTTGAGAAATTTCTGCGGATTTCATGAATTGTTATGAAAAGAAATCTTTCGGTTAAATTAATTTGAATGAAGATAAAAGTTTTCTAAACAAAATAATTATATAAGGATTTTATCATATTAGATATTTTGAAGTTGTGAAAGAAATGTGCATGATATTTTTGTTATTTTACTGTTGTGTTTTTAAAAATTTATTATTTTTTTCAAGTAAAAAATTATCTTTTCATAAATTCATAAGTTTCTATCGAGAGTTTTGAGTAGGCGAACACCTGTGGAATTTACAAATATAGAAATTCTTAGAAATGCAATAAATTGCAATGAATCCAACGAATTTACAAATAATGCAATTCCCTGATATATCTCATTGATAACAATTATTATTATTTCATCAAATGATCCAATACACTCAAGATTAATCACAATTTCCCAACAATAGTAATTAAAAAAACCCTAAACTATTGCCAATTTCGCATCATCGAATTTATATCGAATTAATTGCACCAAATTGCACGAAATGCCACTCGATTCAGATTAGTGCAAAAAACGAACGTGCCCCTAATCACACGCACACCTTTAGCATCGACCAATCACAGCCCAACCTGTCAGAGGCTCGTACGTCAGTCGGACGGAGACCGACTATCTCCGCGCTCCGTCCCTCCCGAGAAACCCCAACCGCAATCAGAAACTTGAATGAATCGAGCTGGAAATCGTGAATAAAACCGAGCGATAACCGGTAAAAATACCAATCAATTCGGTTCGCTATTTCGCGTGTGTCGCGTAGGAAACACCCGAATCCAGTTTGCGAAAAACTGTAGACGCATAAACATGGGTTACAAGTGTGCCAATCAAGCCGCACCTTTAGTAAGTTTTTTTTCCAATTTTTTTTTATCGCAGCAGGCCGAGTTCTATTCAGGGGTTAGTTATTTTGACACGTGACATTGAGGTTATAATTTCATGGTCGCATAATAAATTTTTCTGAAATTAAAATACGAATTGTGAGTTTCAACCTTGATATTTACCTTTAAGTTGCGAAAATTGCGAGGTATTTGCTCCGTAATCGCATAAATAATTATGCTGGATTTTCGTTTATGTACGCCTCAAATTTACATTGTATTTTATTTAATTTTAAATTATTATAAACATATTTGACTCTACTTGTAATGATATAACAAAATGACCTAGTTTAAATATCATTTCCCCATTAATTATACAGGTTTTTCCTATTATATAACGCGTTTGAAAAAAATCATGTTTAATTTAATATTAATTACGGTATAATTTTCAGATAAGAGAAAAATGCAGCGAATTGATATTAGACAACGAAAAGCTGCGGAAATTAATGAAGATTTTCCTGGAGAACGTTGATAGAGGTTTGAGGAAAGCCACCCATCCGAAAGCCGTCGTGAAATGTTTTCCCACATATGTACAAGACCTACCGAACGGCACGGGTTAGTCAAAATTTATCTACTTTATCATCAAAACTTTAATCTTCTAAATAACTTTACGATATCGTTTGTCTTATTCGATATCCAAGGGATTAACTAATAATCCATTATTCGAACAGAAAACGGAAAATTCCTGGCCCTCGACCTCGGAGGCACCAACTTCAGGGTGCTGCTGATCGAGCTGAGCGGCGAGCACTTCGAAATGAAGTCCAAAATCTTCGCCATACCTCAGCACATCATGCTCGGATCGGGAGAGCAACTCTTCGACCACATCGGTACACAATCTAACACCGATTTTACATCAAATTCTAAACAATGCGATTATTACAGCCGAATGTCTGGCAATTTTCGTGAAAGAAGAACAAGTGGCCGATCAGAAGTTACCGTTAGGCTTCACCTTCAGCTTCCCCCTGTCTCAAACCGGTCTAACGGTGGGATACCTTGAACGGTGGACCAAAGGTTTCAATTGCTCCAACGTCGTGGGAAATGACGTCGTGCAAATGCTCAACGAGGCCATTGACAGGCGAGGAGTAAGTTATTCAGTCACTCGATACTTATTTCGAAGCTCCGAGAAAGTTTTAAGTACGTGTGTCGAGATACGTAAAGCTTTATTGGAGTTATAAAGCGAGTGTCTGTGTCACATTTTTGAGTGTATTTTCAGGATTTCAAAATATCAGTCATGGCAATATTGAACGACTCAACTGGTACTCTAATGTCGTGCGCTTGGCTCAATCGCCAGTGCCGCATAGGTGCTATCGTTGGTGAGTTTTGTCGAATTTTACAAGGAAATTTTAAGCATATTTATTACACAATTCGCCTGTACGGTTATGGGTTGCGCATGCGAGCATCAAAGGAAGTTAAATTGCACGACTGATATCATTATGTATTTCCTATAAAATTAATTATCAATCGCATGATCGGGTGATGATTTGTTTTTTTTTTATTTCTCTCTCGTTTCTTTCACGTTTTATTTTATAGGATGTTCAAATCCAGATTTGCGCTATTTTAAATGATACGACGGGCACGTTAATGTCCTGCGCTTGGAAAAATCACGCTACAAGGATCGGGTTGATTGTTGGTAGGTTGCCATTGAAATTATTCGACTCGCTTTAACAACATACCGTTGTTTGTTTAATTTAATTTTTCGTCTATTGTGCGCTATTAAAAAACCCGAAACAATAACAACTATTGTACGAGCGTTTGATGTGCTTAATGTCGTATTTTATTGCTGTCCTAATCTACTAATCTACCTGCATGTTTTGTATAATAAAATGTTTTATAACACCCGATTAATGTTTGCATGTTTTCGTTTGATTAGCTTGCATATCCAAAACACTAATAACACATTTTTGATTATGTATTTACAATGTAGCGATTGTACTGAATGTTTTTTTAAGGTACCGGTTCCAACGCTTGCTACGTAGAGAAGCAGAAGAACGCGGAAACGTGGAAGGACGTCGATATGGGTTCGGGCAACGTCCTGATCAACCTGGAATGGGGCGCTTTCGGCGACGACGGAGCCCTGGACTTCGTCAGGACCGAATACGACGAGGACATCGACAGGAATTCGGTGAATCCCACCAAGCAAAAGTGTGTAGTCGATGCGTATACTAGTAAGAGGCCGTTAAACGTCGTATAACGTTTCAGACACGAAAAGATGATATCTGGGATGTACATGGGGGAATTGGTGAGGCTGGCGTTGGAGAGGTTCACGAAAGAGGGGCTCCTGTTCGGAGGTAAGGGCTCCGATATGCTGTTCGAACGCGGAAGGTTCTACACCAAGTACGTGTCGGAGATCGAAAGCGATCCGCCGGGCGTGTTCAACAATCTCAGAGACATTTGCGAGGAATTGGGTGCGTTATTATTCAAACTTCGTCGCGAAAACGCGTTAATAAACTTGTTTTTTTTGTAATCGTAGGTTTGAAACACGCCACCGAGCAGGATTTCATAAACATCCGGTACATTTGCGAGTGCATATCCAGACGTTCGGCGAATTTGGTGTCGGCCGGTTTGGCTACGTTGCTGAATAAAATGGGCGAGAAGAAAGTCACTATAGGTATAGACGGTTCCGTGTACAGGTTCCATCCGCACTTCCACAATTTGATGATGGAGAAAATCAAAGAATTGGCCGATCCGAGTATAGAAGTAAGTGTTTCGAATGCGAGGGTAAGGCGAACAGTTCTCTTTAGACAGTCTCTCTTCTCTCTTTTGAGCGTTCTAAAAGGTCCAGTTCTAAACGTTTCTGGGGCGTTCTAAATGGTTTTAGATAGTTCTAAACGTTTAACTTTTCACCCTATCCTCGTACAATTCAATCGAATAATGACTGATTTATCGTTATGTTTCAGTTTGATCTGATGTTATCGGAAGACGGAAGCGGTCGCGGTGCCGCTTTGGTGGCTGCTGTCGCTGCGCGACTTCAGAAAGAGGCCGTTCGGACATAACACTCGTCCGACGTGCCAGCTACTTATTAAAAGTCGAACTCGATAGTTTATTTTCGTTTCCGAGGGGGTTCTTAATAGACTGCATTTTGTATAGATGTAAAAAAAAGTAATTCTAACGGGAGGAAATTTCGCCCTTTTTGTGCGGGGGTTGATCACGTGTAAGTCTTATATGGGTTTTGATATTTGACAGTTGACATTTGACGCTATCAAATTTTTGACTGAACTCCCCAGATAAGGCGTCCTACATGTGATTGAAATTGTTTTTTTTTTGTTGCGAATTTTTGGTTGAAAATTGTTAATTTTTAAAGTTTAACAAACTGCGGTTAATTAATTGTTATTAATTAGGATAAATTAGAAGATTGTTATATACAGAAAATGAAAACTTAATTTAATTTACTTATCAATATAAAAAAAATATACTCGTCTAAGTTGTATTTAATATGAATTGTACGAGGAAATTTAAAGGAGAAGCTACTTAATTGTTTGTTAATTGTATTTTCTTGTGAATTTTCGTGGGGTTATTTTATTTTATCAATGAAATATTGGATATTTATTTAAATTTGCAATTTTTTTTGTTAACTTTATTGTGATTGTTACGTATTGCCTTTAGGAAATGCATTAAGGACAATATCGTTTCTATTTTTGGTAGATAACTTTCATACAACAATGAGGATGTGATTGAAAAAGACTAAGAGTCTGAAAATTAAATCAAATTTAATATTCAGACTATAGTCAATTGAAATTCTTTTATATATGTATATATTCTTGCTTAATTAAATATAGTACTTAAAAATCTATTCGTTTTATTATTCAATATTCAATTAGTAGTATTTGGTTACCCCTCGTATATATAATAATTAAATAACCGAGCTGTAAAAGGCCAACAAAAATATTGTTTATTCGACGTTGACAGTAGATTTAACGACTTGACAGTTACGTCAAACTAACCGAGGAGTAAAAAATAATAATGGTGTTTTTATTCAAAAACAAACATTTTTAAACCTCGCAAACTTATTAACCGGCAAACGTATCAATTTCACAATCAGTTAGATATGTAAGGCGTCCGAAATCACCCTTTCCCATCCGCGTTATCCGTGCGAACGTTTCATATATGACCAACCGCAATTCCAGTTCGTTATGGAGGATAGTTTAAGCGTGAAATCGAATGAATCAGTGGCAACGAGCGAAGAATTCGACATTATCGGCGACGGCGATAAACCCGCTATCAGCAAAACGCCGACGCTGGATTTTCGCAACGGCGATTTGAACGAACTAACGAACGCTCTAACCGAGGTGTTGCAAGAGCCCGACGACACCGACGCCCCCGCGTCGAGCGCCAAACCGGAGATGGATGGCAAGAGAATCGGCCAGAGCACGTTCTACAGTTGCCCCGTACAGCCGGGCAACGATCCTTTGAGCCGGGAGCAGCCGCCGAAGAACGAATCCTCCGGCTCCGATGAGGACTGCAGCAGTACGTTGAACCGCTAATTCGCACCGAAACAATCGTAAAAATGTTGATATGTGTGAAGTTTCAGATGTAGATCAAGACTGCACGATATTCTCCGGCGTTACTTACCTCGGCGCCGCCGCCATTAACGCCCCCAAATCCGAGGGCGAAATACAGAGAAACATTGCTATATTGAACGAACAAAGCGTCGAACAAGGGATTAAAGTTGCTATTTCCGTTCCGTCCTGCTCGCAAGGACTTGTAGTGTGAGTAACTGTACAACAAGTCGATAAAGGCATAGTTAAAATAATTCAATTCACATACAACTTGCTTCATTTCAGATTGCAATATGGTCATTTCTATGTGTTGAACAAAGATAGATTACTAAAATGACAGCTGTCAGAGTGAAAAGTTGCAATGACACAAATGTCACTTTTTCTTTTATAAATGTCTATATTGCAATAAACAATGGAGCAATCTGTATAGTTATGATAACAATTTATTTGTAGACTGTACGATGCCACAACAAACTCGGTGATATCTCGCTATGAAATCCATCGCATATTATTCTACGCACGAGGCCCTGCGGACAGCCAGGAGGCCAGCTGTTTCGCGTTCACTTGGTCCCACGGGGACACCCAAGAATCCGCCATATTTCAGTGCCATGTGTTCAGATGTGACATAGCCGAAGCCGTGTCTCGCGTATCGTCCTGCTTCGCCAAAGCTTTCCAGGTACTCGATGCCCGATTGCGAATCAATCGAAAAAACACCATTAATCGTTTTTGTTGTCAGAGAGTGCCGAGATCGATGAGCAGCTCGGCGGCTTCCGTCGCCACGTCAGCGGACGTGATGAGCGGCTCGATGAACGCCTGCAGCATCGAGGCGAGGATCCTGCTGTACGTGTTCGAGGTCAACTTGGAGATCAAAGAGGAGGACGGCAAGGGCGCCTTCTCGGCCGTGGGCAAGGACAGGAACGGGTTTCGATTGAAGGCCAATTTGGAGAAGCAGTTGTGCTTGAGCATTCGACAGGTGTCCGACAACGGGCCGCAGTTGTTCATCGAGCGGTGCTTCGGAGTGCTGGTGGCCGCCGGAAGGCACGTCAAGCACTCCGACATGCAGCTGTTGGAAATGGTGAGCCGGGTTTATTTCTAGCTGGCAATGCGATATTGATGCTCGAATTTTGTGGTAGACTGAACAAACGGCGTCGGGGACATCGCACGAACGTAACTGCTCGGTGATATCGGCCAATTGGGATCCGGCAGAGGCGATGTTCGAGCCCTTGAACACGGATACGCCGAAGGATTTCAAGCAATACATGACGGTAGCCGTGGATTTGGTAATTAGGGGTATACAGGAGCCCGTTCGGTTCCTCATCGAGACCCCCGTTAGGGTGTATTCGCAGAACGAACGGAACTTTTGGTATTTTCAAAGGAAGAGTTTGGTGCAACAGTTCTTCCTGAATTTAAAAGAGGTAGGAAACAATGAAAGTCGCGCTAGGCGATATCGGTTTTTGTTGTTGTTGTTGTGGTGCAAGGTCGTATATTTCTAAGGTCGGGAAACATACCCTGAAAACAGGGTTCCTAAAACGGTCGCTAGGAGGCGATGTTGCAAAGGACCGCGGTTTTTTTCGTACGAATTATAATAAAAAAGGTTTTATTCAATCTAAAAGTAGATAGAAAATATAAAAATATTTTTAAATCAGCGATGATTTTGTTGTTAACATCATTCCTCACGTATCTTCGGTAAATTTATTTCTCCATTTTCTCTTCGAAATGTCAAAAAATAATTTTTGATGTTTTGACAGATCGAACTGTCGTCTGACAACCGCGATTTATGTGTAGCGCGACGCTGATTGGCTGAAATAAGTTGATTCTCCGAAAAGTGAAGCTCAAAACGTCTTCAAATAACGGGACACATTCTCTAATGCAAAATCATAAGCTGTTTTTAGACCTTAGAAATATATGGTCGTGTTGTGGTATAACGAATTGATAAGCGTTTATCAGTAATGCGATACTGGGAAGCGTGTGTGTGTGCTATTAAATCGATTTCTCTTTTATACGGGATGTTTTAAAAACACGTTAAATAGTTGTGTTATTCGGGTCATAATAAACACCCTGTATGTCAATGCTAGATTTATTTAATAAACACATCCAATTATCATTGTTTAAAATATCGTACGCATAAATTTTTCAGATAACCGCAACAAGTTTGTTCGTTATTTACTCGCCACAATAACGAATATTTTAACGGTTGTATTAACATCGAACATTAGGATTCGAATTTAACGAACGAAAACCATCTTATCGATATTACAACATCGCGGTAATCGATCGGTCGTAAATATTTTTTATTTATATGTAGGTCGTTTCCGAACTGAACGACGTCTACTACGAGGTGCTGAACATGGAAACGTCGGGCGAATTGGACAGGAACCTGTTGAACCTCAATCTGAACTTGTCCAGTCTGATCCATTCGCCCAGCATCACCTCCATCGATACCCTAACGCCCAAAGAGGACTATGCATCAGGTAAAATTCGATTAAACCTCCTCTACGGCCGGCGAATCTCCTCTATAGTCTCCTCTATGTATTAAATCACAAAAAAAAACCGAATCGATTCCAGACGGCGACGAGCCGCTGCTCAGCGGCACCGGATCCGTATCGAAGGACTGCTCGGTGGACGTGCTCGAAAGCTGGGCCGACGTGCTGCAACGTTGGAAATCGACGAATTTCAAACAGCGACCCAAACAGCTGGCCGGTCTAGTCAAATTGGGCGTACCCGAAGCGCTCAGAGGCGAAGTGTGGCAACGATTGGCCGGCATCGACGAATCCACGCACATGATGGAGAACTACCGTCTGCTCATCACCAAGGTATATTCTATTTCGCTGTCAAAGATACGGCAAGTAAATTTGAGTATAGGGTAATAGGGTAGAAAGCCGAGTTGTAGAGAGCATAGTGTAAGAGTAGAGAGTATAATGTAGAGAGTATAGTGTAGAGAAGAGTATAGTTAGTGTAGAGCAGTATAGTGTAGAGAGTAGAGAGCAGAATGTAAAGTGTAGAGAGTATAGTGTATAGAGTAGAGAGCAGAATGTAGAGAGAAAGAGGTAGAAGTATAGTGTAGAGAGAAGAGAGTAGATTGTAGAGAGTATAGTGTAGAGAGTAGAGAACAAAATGTAGAGAGAAAAGTGTAGAAGTATAGTGTAGAGAGAAGAGTGTAGAGAGTAGATTGTAGAGAGTACAGTGAAGAGAGTAGAGAACAGAATGTAGAGAGAAAAGTGTAGAAGTATAGTGTAGAGAGTAGAGAACAGAATGTAGAGAGAAAAGTGTAGAAGTATAGCGTAGAGAGTAGAGAACAGAATGTAGAGAGAAAGATGTAGAAGTATAGCGTAGAGAGTAGACTGTAGAGAGTATAGTGTAGAGAGTATAGTGTAGAGAGTAGAGAGCAGAATGTAGAGAGCATAGTGTACATAATAAAGTGTGGACAGTATAGTATATAGAATAGTGTAGAGAGCAGAGTGTATAGAGTAGAGTGTAGAGAGTATGGTGTAAAGAGTCGGGAGCAGAATGTAGAGAGTAGAGTGTAGAGAATATCTATATTCTATTGTAATTTGCAGGAATCGGCTTGCGAGAATGTGATACAACGTGATATAGCCAGGACGTTTCCTGCGCACGATTTCTTCAAGGAAGCAGGAGGATTGGGACAGGATTCGTTGTACAGGGTGAGCAAAGCGTACGCCGTTTACGATTCGGAGGTGGGCTATTGTCAGGGATTGAGCTTTTTGGCGGCGACTCTACTTTTACACGTAACTATTGCAATATTCTCATCGAATGTCTCGCTTTAATGTTTCGCCGGTGTTTCAGATGCCCGAAGAACAAGCTTTCTGCATATTGGTGAAGCTGATGTACGACTACAAATTGAGGGATTTGTACAAAGACGGCTTCGACAATTTGTATTTGAGATTGTACCAGTTGAACAAGCTGATGGAGGAGCATTTGACGCCGTTGTGGGTGCATTTCGGCGATCATCACATCGAAACCCACATGTTCGCATCGCAGTGGTTCCTGACGTTGTTCACCGCCCGGTTTCCCTTGTATTTCGTCTTTCACATTATAGATATATTCCTGTTGCAAGGCATCGATACGCTCTTTCAGATCGCCATTGCTCTGTTAATGGTAAATACGTTTTGGATTTCTCTCTTCTCCTCTACATTGATCTCCCCTTTGCGAGGGTACGGTGGAAAGTTCTCGGTCTGAATCATAGAACAATCTAGAACACCCCAGAATCATTTAGAATTGTCTAGAACCATTTAGAACGCTTCAAAACCATTCAGAACGCTCCAATTGTAATTTAGAACGCTCTAGAATCATTTCGAACCATCTCGAACTAAAAATTTCGACCTAATAAGAATAATAATGATTTTCTTCAACAGAAAATCGCGGTCTTTCATTCTCAGACCGAGAACTCCTCACATTACCCTGCTTGTACATCCCCTCCCATTTACATATTTACATCCTTCTATTACAGATGTGCAAAAAGGATCTGCTGCAATTAGACTTCGAAGGCATCCTGAAATATTTCAGAGTATCGTTGCCGAAGAAATGCCGATCCGAAGAGAACGCCAAGCAACTCATCAAGCTGGCGTGCAGCATTAAAGTGAAGAAACTGAAGAAATACGAGGCGGAATTCGTCGCTTTGAAAGGTATTGTCGGTGCAAAACGAATATGGCAGTGTTGCCGAACTTTCATACAGTTCGATCGAATTCAAATTGTACAAATTGTCAAATTGAGAAGAACAAATTCGTGCATTGATGTTTGTTTTGCACCGATTGTAAATCGATTTAGACAAATTAACGCTGGCTTTCGCACGGGCGATTAACCGGTTTCGATTCGCTTTAATAAATTCGATGAAATAGTTCTAGCGCGAATCGCCGGCGAATCGTCTAGCGCGAATCGCCCGCGAATCGCCGGCGAATCGTCTAGCGCGAATCGCCGGCGTCCCGTGCGGCGCCCTCACCCCGCGTCTATCCCCTTAGACAGTTGGGAAATTATCAATTTGGATTCAGAGGCGGCCGATCGCGCCGAGACGGACGCCAACGAGGTGGAGCGGCTGCGCCAGACGGTGGCCCGCTGCGACGAGGAGCGCAAGCTGATGGCCGACGAGATCGTCCAATTGAAGGAGATGCTCAAGCGCGAAGTGGGCCAGGCCGAGCGCGAGAAGACCGGCAACGCCGCCATCGTCGACGAGTACAAATCGATCAGGCGACGGCTGGACGCCGAGCTCAGGCAGGCCAAGGCCGAGCTCGATAAATTGAAAGTTTGTAGTTTTTTTATTATTATTTTTTTCGTTTTATGAGTCGTATGGGATTGTTTTCAGGCGAACGTGGCGAATTGCGAGAACTGTTCGCAGTACATGAATTCTAGTCCGAACAAGCGCCGGCAGGGCGACGAGGGCGCCAGCGATCAGGAGAGAATCAGAGAGCTGGAATTGGAGCTGGCGCAAACGAAGCTCGCCCACGTCGAAGCCGAATGTCGCAATCAGGTATCAATATATTTCGCTTCGTTTTAACGCTAGTCGATCGTTTGATGAGTCTCTTTAAAGTTAATGTTGTCCTAAAGTTAGTTAGGTTGAAAGCTTCTCGGCCTGAATCGTTTAGAATCTGTCTATAACAATCTAGAACTGTTTAGAACAATGTGGAACGCTCCAGAATCATCTAGAACTGTTTAAAACGTTCCAAAATCATTTAAAACTGTTTAAAACCGTTTAGAACGCTCCATAATTGTTTAGAACTGCCTAGAACCATTTAGAACGCTCCAGAATCAATTAGAACTCTTTAGAACGCTTCAGAATCATTTAAAACAACTGTCTAGAACCATTTAGAACGATCCAGAATCATTTAGAAGTGTCTAGAACCCTCCAAAATCATAAAGAACTGTCTAGATTGTCTAGAAGTATTCAGAACCATCCAGAATCATTTAGAACTGTCTACTAGAACCATCTCGAACGCTCCAGAAGCATTTAGGGCGCTCCAGAATCATGTAGAACTGCTTAGAACCATTTATTGCGCTCCAGAATCATTCAGAACGCTCCAGAATCAATTAGAACTGTCTCGAACTAAAGATTTTGACTTAAGAGGAATAATGTGGATTTTCAACTGATAATCTGTCTTTCATTGTCGGCCCGAGAACTTCTCACCTTACCCTTGTATGTATACTCCATAACTACAATGTAAAACTGTCAATTGAAAGAATCTCCTTAGTTACTCCATAACAACAATGTAAATCTGTCAAATTGGAAGAATGTCCTTAGTTACTCCATAACAACAATGTAAAACTGTCAAGTTATGCTCTTTGAACGATCTCGAGTAGCGCATGCGTACTTCTGGTGCTCGTACAACCGACGGAAATCGTTCTATTTTCAATTCATCTAGAATTTGACGCACCAATTGCGCGCCGCCGAGACGGAGCTGGCGTCGGCGAAGAACAGCTGGCCGCCGTGGGTGAGCAAGACGCTGAATTCGATCAAGGAGGCGGCCAAGCAGCAATCGAACAATCCGACCAATAGCGGCGGCGGCGGCGGCGCTTCGACGTTCGTGTCGCACATAAGGCGCGAGAGCGCCCCCGCCCGGCGCGACGGCGTCCGCTCGAAGGACTCGGCGCGACGGGAATCGATGCCGGTCATCAAGGATTCGCAGAGCTGCAGCAGCTTGCACAGCCACAATTGATCCGTGTCGGTTCGTTTCGTCGATACGTCACGTTAGTGTCAGCACAGAACAACTATTTTTTTTTTGTCATCTTTTCATTTGGCCTCTTATCGTGAGGACATACAGCCAGGTTCTGTGTAGAACACTAGAATTTGTAAATTGTAACGACAACATATCCACTAACGTGATGTATACGAAAACTATTTTATTAGAGCGAACGGATCATATTTTTTAAAGTTACCAAACTTAACGAGAAGCGATGAGTATTTGTTGTTTTTTTTTTCACGATTATTTCGTTTCCGAATGTAACGGGAAGCAATGTAATGTATTTTTTTTTCTAATGTTTATCCAACTTTCCGAATCTCATATTTTTATATATAAACATTTACTCTCTAGTAAGCAGCTATAGTTACATAGCAATGTATTATTGATGATATGGGCCTCTTTCGGGTGGGTTAATTGGCCTCTTACCTGTTAAGGTGCTAAGAGTAGTCAAAATTTGTCCGATAGTACTCACGATTTGGTATTATTTGAATTATGGAAGATATTTTGTGTACTTTTAAACAGTCTAGAAATTAGCATAGTGCCTTGCGTAATTTTGAGTTTATTCGAGCTAGTTTGAATTTGTTAACACCGTACGAAACGTTTCTAGATTGTTTGCAATCGATTACTATTTCATAATTATTTAAGGAGTTAATATACTTTTTTATTCACTTAAGATTTTCGTAGGTGTATTTAAAGTTTTATGTTCTTAAGTTCCTTACGTTTTAATGCTTATGAGACTTTATTTGCCGAATTTGGACTCTTTTGCTTTGTTTTGTACGAGATGTTTGGAAAAATGGCGATTTTGGAATTTCCTTTCGTTTAATTAGTATGTGAGCAGTGCGTGGATAAATTTACAACGATATCAGATTGTATTTTAGACGAATTTATCCACTTTATGACCGAAAGCCTGGCTTTTGTAAAAAGAACTTTGCAGCCATAACTATTTTTTAGTGATAATAGTCGTGATAGATAAATTTTAAGTTGTTTTATTTTATTATTACTTATTTATGATTATGTATCGTTGTTTTCACTAAGGAAATATATGCACCAATTTTTAATTCTCGTTTCTTTTTAATTTTTTAAACAAATTCTTGTATATTAGTTCCGATTTAAAACACTCGGCGCTGTGATCTTAATACCTATTTACAGGTTTCTTTATTACAAACTTTTAGCTGTAGCCGACAGGAACGCTGCGATCGGTGACTTGACTTTTGACAGCTACTTGTCAATGTCACAAATGTCACAATTTAGTTGTTTTCGGCGAAGCATGATGTTTTACAGGTCAATAAAAATACCAAAATATTTCCTTCTGTAACAATATTTCTGCAGGTCTGGCGTAAAACGGCACGATGTATTCAGGCAGCGATTCCAATGAGTCCCAAAAGTACGCCAACTGGGCCCTAAATCCGTCGAATTACAAAAATGTACCCGGAGAGCAGGTCGACTGGGCCGCTCTAGCCCAACAGTGGATAATAATGAAAGAAGCCGGACCGCCGCCGATACCCGGCGAACAGCCCGTCTTAATCAACAAGAAGCCGGACAACAATGAGGGCGGCGAGGCCGAAATGGACGTGGAAAACGACAAAGAGGGCCCCCCGCCGCCCGCCTGGGGCCCCAACGACCCGCCCTCGCTGCCGCCCGGCGTCGAACCGTGGAACTGGCCGCAGCAAAACCAAACCTGGACCAACTGGGGCAACCCCAATTGGATACCGCCCAGCGGCGTGCCGCCCCCGGTGCCCAATTTGACCTTAAACGCCGCCAAAACGCCCCTTCTACCCACTCCTCCGGTCAACAATTCCTTCACCGAACCGCCCGAGAGCAGCAGCGACAACGCCACGCCGTTCGGAAGGCAAGTCATTCCACATATTACTCGTACTGAATACTGATGAGACACCTTCGCATTTTTTCCAGCGCGAATTCCGAATTCAACGCCAACCCGTATTGGAACAACTCGAGCGGTTCGCACAAGCACATCAAGCCCCACAACAAGCGCTACAGCAAAGTGAACGTGCCGATCAGGGCCAGCGCTCCGCTGCCCCCCATCGCGGTGCCCGCCGAACCGGCGCCCCCGCAGCCCCAACAGACCTCTCCCACCATCGATACGGCCAAGAGAAAACAACTACCCGCTTGGATTCGAGAAGGTTATTACATTGATTGTTACATTGTTGCTTGTTCATTTAGAACTATCTAGAACAGTCCAGAGCAGTCTAGAACACTCCTAAATGATTTAGAACTGTCTTGAAACCATTAAAGAAGCTTGAGAATCAATTAGAATGCTCCAGAATCATTTAAAACTGTCTAGAACCATTCAGAACGCTTCCTAGTCATTTTGAACTATCTGGAACAATCTAGAATTGCTCCAGAATTATTTAGTACTGTCTTGAACTTAAAATTTCAACTAAATAACTTGTAGGTTTGGAGAAAATGGAGAAAGACAAACTCAAGCAAATGGAGAGGCAGCAGAAAGAGAAGGAGGAAAGAGACACGGAAATCGATCACAGATCGAAGCAGACGAGCGAGGATACAATAGAAATATTGAAGACTACGATCAGAGAACGGCAGAAGAGCAGATTCGTAAGGCGTTTTGAATCCTGTGAATAAAACCGTTTGTATATGAAAGTTTTGCTAGGAAAGCGACGAAGAAAACTCCGTGGAAGTTGTGAAAAAAACCAAAAAACCGCATAAAGAGGAACCACCGGTCGTTTTATCCCATGAAGAATTGGTACGATTCAATTTCATTCGCTTCTACTTACTTAATTATTTACCGGTATTTTTTTTAGATGTTGAAAGTTCGCAAGACAATGACCGAAATCCTATTAACCGTAACGAATCGACTGATCGAAGGCGTCTGTAAAGAGGAATTGCAACGTTATCTCAAACATAACAAAGGTATCGTAACTATCGGAAAGGTCATTTGATTTATTTTAGGATAACTTAGTGTTAGATTCGTTTTCGATTATTCCTAAGATTTGTTAACGCAGGACGTAAACAGTGACGTAAATTTGGTTCGTTTTTGTTAAATTTGTCATTAACTTCAGCTTCAGAAGCGGCTTCAGCACCCAGTGCTGTCAACCTAAGAGGAAGACTCGGTAAGTAAACGATTTTTCGTTTGTTCCGTTTGTAGTCGGTTTATTATTTTTTTTAGTCGTTTTTTTGCGGTATATTACTTATCGAACAGAACGGTTTATTATTTTTTTGTTCTATTTATTTGATTTCGCGCGATTCCCCTGGCGCATTTTAATGTGTTTTACCAATGTTAGGGCTGGGTATATACGGCGGTGATGATTCGGGGAGCAGCTCGACCGACGCTAGCGATGATGATGAAAGGGACGTGAAAAATTCCGATGATGAATTAAGGGTAAGATGAGTTATTGAGGTATATCGTAAGGTCTGGCAACTCTAGTGTCATTTAGAATTGTCAGTTTCCAGACCTTGAAAATATACGACCGTTGGGGGTAATTGATGGATTGTTTTAGGATACTATCAAGAAGAAAATGGCGGAGTTTCAAAAGACAGAACGGGAAATCGAGCATAGATTAGAGGAGGCCGAACGGCAGAAGATCGGCAGCGCTAGTAGATCTTCTACGCCGGAATCCAACGATAATGATTCACAGGTAGAGGCTCGCCCTCAAGGTCAGTATTCATGTGTATTTTCGCAAAAAAAAACCAAAAAAAAATAACGCCCCTATTCGAAAAACGATCTAGTGATCTAGTGCGTTGGCACTTTACCACTTATCAGGGAATGATTGGCTTAGAAAAGCGTTTTCCATACGAAAATTCTAGCTAAAATGCCCACTTGAATTACGTAAATGTAAGTGGTTTGAAACAATTTTTGATTTCAAGGTAACGTAATATTAATTTTATTTTTAGTATTATAGAATTATAGACATTTAAATCGATATAGCTTTGTTCACAAGAAATATACGCAATCAGGAGATGGTAATAAAACATTATGGCAAAATTATGTTTTATGACAATCTCCCGATTTATGAACAAAGCCATTAAAATCTAGTGAACACGTCAAAACAGTCAAGACACGAACTGTCACTAACTTCATCTCTCGGTCTTACGTTCAGGTCTGGAAACTCTTCGTTAATTGCGATAGTGGGGATATTTGTATCGAGAGTTCATGAGGAATCCGCTTGGAACGCTAGTGTCGGGTATGGAAAATTTCGAATTTTTTGTAGCCTGTATTGCACTTGACACAAGAGTTTCCCGACCTGTTATATACGACCGCGCTTCATCCGAATTTGTGACAGTTGACGTATTGACGTGTCAAGTAATTCAACTTATCGCATCGCATTCGTCGCGAGAAATCACTAGATTTCTACGTTACAGGCCGCAAATCGAAACCGAAATCGAAGCAGCGCTCCTCGTCCTCCTCGTCGTCGCCGCCCAGCGACTACTCCAACAACAAATCCAAAACGAGCCACCGGTCCTCGTCGAGCGATTCCAAAGACTCCAGCTACCGGAGGAAATCGTCGAAGAAGCGTTCGGTGACGCCGAAACGGCGGCGCTCCGAGGCCGCGCGGCGCCCGTCGAACGCCAAGCGGCGGCCGTCGAGCGGGAGGAAATCCGCAGGGGGCGCGAAGCGCCGGTCGCGGTCCCGGTCGCGATCGACGTCGTACAAGAAGCGCAGGCGCAGCAGGTCGCGCGAGCGCCCGCGAAGGTCGAGGAGCTCGTCGAGAAGTAGGTATTCGACGAGGAGGTCGCCGTCGAGCTCGCGGAGCGATAGGAGGAAGAGGAGGAGATCGAGGTCGGAGAGTAGCGGCAGGGGTAAGAGGTCGTACAGACATTGAAAATCTACCGATTTTGGATAGCAAAAGGTTGTATATTTTTTACCGATTTCTCTCTCTCTCGCATGCTCGGTTTCGATGTTGAAAAATATGCAGACGGATTGTCACCTGTCATTCGAATGTCGAATTCATTAAAGTCGAATAAATCACGTGAATTTTTTTTAACGACAACTTGAAAAGTAAGTATAAAGTTATAAAACTTATTTATTTAAATATAGGAATAAAATTTCCTCGAATATTACAAATTTTTATCCAAATCTGGTTATCTTTATCAGTCCCATTTGTATTTTTTTGAAGTATCTCATTTTAGTAAGCCGTGATTGTCATTCAAATGTCAAATTAATTAAAAGTCAATGAAATGTCGAATAAATCAAATGAAAATTTTTTAACGAGTACCCTTAAAATGTAAGTATATTTAAATTATAAATTTAATTAACTAATTATTTAAGTACAGAAATTAAATTTCCTGAAATATTCCATTAGACAAATCACATAATTTGTTCTAAATCTTGTTGTCTTTATCAGTCCCATCTGTATTTTCAAATGTCATTCAAATGTCAAATTAATTAAAGTAACTGAAATATCGAATAAATAATGTACGAAAACTTTCCAAATTAATCGATTAATTAATAAAGTAAGTATTGGAATAAAAGTGACTCGAATATTGTGCTAGAGAAATCACAAAATTTTATCCAAATCTTGTTGTCTTTATCCCTCCAGTATCTCATGCGTTTTTAAAGAATCTCATCTTATTATCAGTAAGCCGTGGCTGTCGCTGTCATTTAAATGTCAAATAAACGTCAAATTAATTAAATGAGAATATTCAACAGTAAATTAATCAGAACGTGCATTTAGAAAATATCGTGAAACAAATTTACTATCGAATTATTAAAATTTAAGAAAATCCGATTTGTCAGGTAAGAATCTGAACCGTTAAAAAATTGAATTCTAATTCTTATCATATTGGTAAGTGCAAATTTGTTTACAATTTACAATATGGTCAATTCTATGAGTTAAAATTAAAATAACAGTGGTTAGAGTAAGAAAGTTGCAGTCTCACAATATCACTCTTTCTTTTTTTCTTTATACGAGATTAATGGTTGTCTTTGTTGCACCCATAGACACCATATTGCATACAAATTTGCACTTGTCTGTATAAAATAGTCTGCATATTTTTGAATAGCAAGAATAAAGTCTGAGACCGTTTTTTCTGTCTTCAGGTGTGGTTTATACACATCTTTTTGGAAATACGGACCTACAATTTAATATATTATGTTCTTAGTGATAAAAGATTTCGATACCTTACTGTATTATATTGTAAATTAATTCATATTGCACATAATGCTATACTGAGTTGTTTGGGAGTTTTCCCCCCATCGATTTACTTTTAAGTAAACAACTTCTCTTCTAGTAAAAAGTTGAATTTTAAAAATCGAACATGTTTTAATGTTTTTTTTTGGTTTATAAACGATTATCAAGGCGATAAACGTGTTTTATTCGCCAAGTTATAAAATCCCTCCTAACCGAATTAATATTTCATTGAAAACGCTAACATTATAAAATCAATTTTCCTTGGAAGAGACGTTTTCTAATTGAATTTCGCGTTAAACTCGACGGGGAAATTAAGCCGGGCGCCTTTTATTAGGCACCACGTACACCTTTACCTTCGCTTATCCACGTCGTTCGGACGAGGCTTAAGGGCATCAGGTAATTATTCTACATACCGGGATAAATTGCTTCGAAAACGTAAGTACACGCGATGGGTAATGTTCCGCTCCGGGGCCTTTACTCGCCATTAAATATTAAAATATTACTTCATACAATTATGATCTACTTATAGGCTCATCCGGTACAAACACGGAGATCAGGAGTTAGTACAAATAGCGTGGAAAGTGATAGGGCGAAAAGTTCTCGGTATGAATCCTTTTAGAACTGTCTAGAACCATTTAGAACACTCCAAATTCAATTAGAACTGTTTTGAATGCTCCAGTATCAATTAGAACTGTTTTGAACGCTCCAGAGACATTTAAAACTATTTAGAACGCTCCAAATTCGTTTAGAACTCTCCAGAATCTTTTATAACTGCCTAAAACCATTCAGAACACTCCAGAATCAATTAGAACTGTTTTGAACGCTCCAGAGTCATTTAGACCCATCGAGGAAGCTTTACAATCATTTAGAACTGTCCAAAACCATTTACAACGCCCCAGAATCACTTAGAACTGTCTCGAACTCAAGCTTTCGACTTAATAAGAAGAATAATGAAATTTGTCAACTGAAAGAATGATAATGTGGTACATCCGGTCATCAAAACTTCCACGAAAGAGCTCGCAAAGAATCCGCATATTTTTCGAAAAAATATACGAAACATAGATATATTAAATAATTCATAAAGCCCGGATCGCATGCGAAACCGCATCAAGTGCTCGGCGAAAAGGGCGAGTTTGGGACCGGCGTTTTTAAGTTTGACTGGACGGACGCGAACCGAACGGATGGCGGACCATAAATCTGTCAGGAGCACACACGTCCTGCAGCGTCGCGTCCTTCGTCCTGCTGCGTGCTCCTGCTAAACCTACATACTGCGTTCCCCGTCCGGGGGGGCGGCCGGTTCCAACTAAACGGACCGAACGCAAGAAACCCCCCCTCTGGAATCGTTTTGACGAATTGTATCGCTGTTGTTCAGCAGCAAAACGATGGGATGTTTAGTGATTTAATGGTTGTTCGAACGGAACAAAAAATTTTCCCATATAAAAGCGCAAAATGTCCCTTATTATAGGCTCAACGAATGGATGCAAATTGGGCACAAAGCGTGGATTGGGACTCTACTATGTTCTGCTCTACTCTCTTCTACTCCACGCGGTCTAATACAATGACACCCCTTGTATATTTACGAATAATTCGCGTCCACGGAGAGCGCGATTCGCGCCCATAGAGTGGCCCGGATTACGCCAGTTGATGCTCCCCAAACCGCGACTATAAATTCGGCGAAGGGCGGTTGCGGGGGCGAAAGGGCGGCCGGGTTGATCGGGGGGCCCGGGCCCGTTTTCTTACGTGCAACGCGCCGGGGCTTTTTTTTTTACCTCTCGGTCGTATCCGAGCGGGAAGTTTCCGATCGGCGGTCGGCCGCCGGTGGAAAAAAATCGGGGGCGATGGCGCAACAGCCCTTAGGTGCACTAAGGGGCAATCAAATAATGGAGGAGCGCGTAAAACTCCCGAGCACGAAAACTCCATTACAACGGAAAGCTCTATTTATAAATAGAGCGGCACTGGCGGAGCTTTATTCGGGACAGCGTATAAACAGGTTGAATTTAAACCGGTCTGTTTCTCCCCGTCGTCTTCATTTTTTTATCGTTACATTACATCTTTTAAAATAGGTAATTTGAATTGCGACGAGAGCGGTGAGTCGGTATGTAAGTAAAATTGCTCTTACGGCCATTTTCGCCGGCTCAATTTGGCTCTAACGACTGGAGAAAAAACGTTGTAAAGTCGGTAAAAAAGCCCGTTTCTACCTCGACTTGCATAGTCGACGTTAAAACTCATTAGAACACGTACAAAGTGAGCTTTCACAAGATACAGGGTGGGCCAACAAAGCCTCACTAACAACACAATTAGTTTGTACAAAATTTTATTAAAAAATTAGAGAGATTTTTAATGATTACAAATTGCTCAGAAAATATAGAATAGAAAGATTGTAGTCGTTTTACGAGAGTAAGATGAAAAGTTCTCGGTCCGAGTCATTTAAAACTCTTACAGAACCATCTAAAACGCTACAAAATCATTCAGAACTGTCTCGAACTAAAGATTTCGAGTTAATAATACGAAAAATGTAATTTTTTCAACTGAATATCGCGGTCTTTCATTGTCGCCCCGAGTACTTTTCACCTTACCCCCGTATTAGGGACCACCCGGTATTAGTGTAACGGCGTAATTTCACTTACACAAATTGTAGACCATTCTAATGTCATAATTTCCTTCCGCGCTACCGCGGCAATCTAATTTTTCTACCCGTTTTTCCGGCGGTTAACGAAAACCTACTGGCAAAATATATAACCGAATTAGCTTAATTAACTCCGGAGAGCCGAATCGAGAGGAGGGTTTGTTTTTTTCCCCGCACCGGCCCCTGCAAAAGGGTTGCACAAACGACAAAAGGCGAGAGGGTATCGCGAGCAATGCAATTAAATTTTTCTCATAAATTGGCGATTAATTAATTAATATTACAGGCGAAATACACGCAAGTCATTCGATCGGCCCCAACTAATTTAACTTTATAGTGAGAAGTTCAATCGGGTGGTAATTTACTTGTAAGAGGTTCGATTATTTACACTATCACTATATAATTTAGCAATTGTCAAAAACATTGTAGAGTAGAGTGGATTCAAAGAGTATTTTTAGAATAGATTGAGAGTGGTTTCAAAGCATATTCAGAGTTGAACAAGAGTAGATTCAGAGTAGATTCATAAAATCCAATGAATCTACTCCATTCTCTTAAATCCTGAAAGCTTCTGAAAGGCAAAACTATATTTTACCATAATTTTTAATGAAAATTATGACAAAGATCGCATACGATAATCCAATCCAACCCTCGACGGGACATTATTCGAAGGTACCTCGAGGATTTTCGTCCCTTTCGGCCCGTTTTTCTCCGATCTAATTGCATTCAAAGCCGGAAAACGCGGCCGAGCGTTCGGAAAATCCCAAATCCCGCCAGTGGTTAGTGCATTAATCAAATTAGCGCACGCACAAAAACTTTCCGCCATCGACCCCGAACGTCTGAAGACCTTTCAGCGGCAAACGTCGGGGAAGAAACGCTCCGGGGTTTCCCCCGACATCGGGTTAATGTAACGAGTAAATTTCCGGGCGATGTGAGCCCGACAAAAACAACATCTTCGCAAAACTATACAGAAAAATCTTCGAGTTGATTACCGCTAACGACGCACTCAAATCGCTATATAAATTCCGATTCAATCGAATTAGTCTCGGAATATAATAAATCCACATCGAGCCGCGTCTAATTTCCGGGGCGATTACAAAAGGTGTTCCTCCTTACCCACTAAAGGAGATTAAAATTTTCGCTTTAATTGAATGATAAAGTGCTATTTATTCCCTTTATGTTGCGGGGGAAGGAACGGGCGCCTTTACGGCCAATTAGGCGCGCGGACGTACAGCCATTAGACAATAAAGTAGTTCGAATCAGTCATAAAAGCCTCCGGCTTTATGGACTTTTTCGCGGCGATAAGATCTCGGAACTGCCAAAGGAGAATTACCCGAACGAGGTGGAGTTTTCGAACGATGAATTGGTATTATTGACGATCGGCCAGAAATTTTACTAAATAGAGAAAATTATATTCCGTTCGCTATCAGGAGATTGTATTAAAATCAATTTAATAGCGCCTACTTTTTATTGATCTTTCCGGGGTGGTTTACTGCTTTAAGAAGTTGAAATCTTTAGTTCTAGATAGTTCTAATTGATTCTAAATGACTATTAAACGTTTTAAATAGTTCTAGATAGTTCCAAATTGTTCTGAAGCGTTCTTAATGGTTCTTGACAGTTCTAAATGATTCTGTGCAACGTTCTAAACAGTTCTAAATGGTTTAGGCCGAGAACTGTTCACCATACCCTTCGTATAAGAGATATTTGAAGTGATTTTTGAAGAATCTATAATGGAAACTTGACCTTCACCTGAAGTCTATGAAACTTTTGTTTAGATTATAAAAGCTTTCTACTCCACAAAAAACTCCACGTATTGTTATACTTCGTCAAGAAACTACTCCATTTGCAATCCGCCAAAGCATTTCCGAAAGGAAACTGGGAAAGGCTCCTTTTGTGTACGCCGGCGAGACCATTCAAAAAAGTAAACAGCCCCATTAATCAAAAAACAATATCGAATTATAACGACCGCAAGAAAGGGGGGGCAACAGTTAGAATATCGCGATAATTGCGCCGTTTTTCCTAATAGACGGGAGAGCATCGTTTGCGGATATAAGTTTAAAGGAAATTGTAGAAACCGGGCGAGCAACAATGGCCGCCCGGCCGGAGATGCCAATTAGCCGCCGTTTGCGAAATTGGCCGCAGTAATTCCTGGACCAGATGCAGATGGATGGAGAGCGGCGCTCTCCGACGCCGCCTCCGTCCCGCCGCCGCCGCCGCCTCCGCCCCTCGAAAACGCGTAAATTCTCAGCGTAAATTACAACTAGTTATATCGGCTTCTCCGGGTTGTTTATGTTTCGTTTTGCGATAGTTTCCTACACCCCGAATAACGACCGTTTTGTATCTAATACTTACTTTTTTTTTATACTTTTCCAAGTTTTCTTGTACAAAGTAAACTCGCTTGTAATCTACTCACTTGTAGGTACTAGTAGTTGTAGTTGAATTCTGTATAAAATTTTTAATGGTAGATTTTTTTTGTTTACATTGTAGATTAGTATCTATACCCTGGTTCCAAAATAACTGACAGTGACTCATTTTTCAATTAAAAAAATGGTGCAGGAGCAAATGATCGATGAGTCACCGCAATTTTTTTTTGGAACTAGGGTATAGTAAATTGGAAATAAATAATAACAAACAAATTCATCAATATACATTTATTGCATCAGATCAATACAAATAATTATAACAATAACGTATAGATTTAGCTAGACCGTTTTGTTTCGCTATGTACAAAGATTTAATTCGAATAGTTTTAACGTCACGGCATTATTACAACGATAAATTATTATTAGATTCCTATTGTTATTACTATTTATAATTCATTTTCGTATAATGTTGGTATCGAAATGAAAAAGTTTGAATTCCAACTAAATTTAATACCGTTTATTAAAATTTGAATTTCGTAAAAATAGCTGGCGATCGAGTGAAATAATCGCTGTATTAAACTCGACTCGCCCTGTATGTAATAAACCAACGAGAAGCCTATAATCCTATAATATTTACACGATAAAATCGAAACGAAATTATATAAAACATTCCAAATAGACTATAAACTATATTATAATTTTCACTAACGTTATATACAGGATGTCGGGAATTTACTTTTTACATCATTTACTCAAGCTTTTACATCTATATTACATTATTCAAATATTTTCTATGTATGTTTGTTTTCAATTATTATAATTAACATCGATTCGAATAAAGTCGCTTTCGAAAAACAATTATAAAATTATAACGATTACAAATTAAAATTGAACCTCTCATAAATGGAATCTCCTAAATAAATAATTGATTTTTTTATATAATTGTTAATAGGTATTGGAAGATTAGTCATTTTTTTCCAGTGCACCGGAATTCCCCACCAAAATAATTACCCCGTTATTTGAAAAATAACGCTTATTTTGTAACAATCGTTACTGAATCTCTATATACCTAGAAATCGGTTCCCACCTCTATTAAACTTCTGTCATACGAAATGTCATTAATCCGAATATTGACAGTTTACGTATCATCGAACGAATCTTAAAGTCCCACTTTAAAAAAAATTATCGTTGAGTAAACTAAGCGAGTGTGGAACATTGCAGGAATAAGCAGGTAACGAAATTTTTGTTGCGGAGTTCCAGTGCACCCTTTATTCCCCATCTCCATTTAAAGTTTTCGAACAACCCTTTAACCGCCCCCATTTCCTCGCTCAAACAGAATACAGTTTCGCTCTATTTACAATCCCCGTCGATACACCAGCGCATTATAAACGAACAAAAATAAAAAACGGAAAAATGACTTCGCCGCCCATCTCTCATAATAATTCTCGATCGTCGCGGCCCCTTTTGCGAAACACGACGTCCGGAATTGATTCGACGGCGATACGATGTATGATTTCATTTCTCAAGCCCTCTCGGACACGGAGGGATGCATCTTCATCAATTTAGAAATCCGCCCGGTGAACCGGCCCGGCCTCTCTATTTTTCCCATTTGCGATAAATTCAATGCTATCGACTTTCCACGCTCGATTTGTTTCATTAGATACATGTGTGTGTGTGCGTTGTTCCACTAGAACACGATGGGGATGAATATGTTTTTTTTTTTTTGCAATTGCGATTTCGAAGGGATCTTTAACGAGAAACGCAGGCGGTTAAAGGAGCGAAAAGTACGGATAAATTTGCATGATAATCGACCGAATTTCGTCGAAAACAATTCTCGGTAAATTCTGATTCTAATTATGGAGAAACGCCATCCGTCGACCGAGGCGCCGCGACGGTGGAACATATTGCATGTAATTAGTATCTATTATTCGCAACGGCAATAAAATTTTGTCAAACGATAAACGTTAAATCTACCTTTATATACCTAAAGAAAATAAATCTACGTAAATTTCATTTTTTTTTATCTATAAAAAATTACTCAGACTTTTCAACCGTCGGGGGGAACCCCGAAAGATCCGACCCGCGGCCATTTATCATTTTTACATAGTCCAATTAGCGATGCCAAATCAACTCCTTCGAATGCACTGTTACCAACTAACTCCCTAGAATGCATCCTCCTTCACTTCCACAACAACCAATCGAATTGGCATCGCCGATAAATTAATAGTTTCTTCATCTTCAGTCCTTTATGAACCTCCTTAACCTCGCTTATTGTCATTGAACATCTCGACTGCGAACGGTCACAGTCACATGAGAACCGCCATCGCGCAAACGAAGCTCCTCAGCAGACGCACCGGCGCCGAAATGGACGCCAAAGACGGCGCCGAGTTCGATTCGCCATCGATCGCCGCGTTCTGATCGTCCACGTAGTTGGCCCTGGAACAAACGCAGTGACAGTTGACAATTCGCTTGTCATCCCGCGAAGGCCGCCTGAAAAATTAATGGCCGGCGGGGGATGAATTTTGCAGGGCGGGCGAAATTTCCACCGGATTGATTTCGTACTTTGTTGTACTTTAATTGGTTTTGTGTTAGCCGGATGAATTTTTCACGATGCTTTAATAGGTCGGACTGGGTATAAAAGGTTTCGTTGTGTTTTTTTCTTGTTTAACGCGCGCCGAGTGGAAAAGAGGGAAGTTTCGACTTTTGTGAAATTTGTAACTTTTTGAAATGGAAAGAAAAGTTTTTTTTCGCGTTGGATTGTCGTGAGTATAGGTGTATTAATATTTGATCGAGAGGGAAGTACATTATAGTTTACCTGGATGGTGTTTCTACTGTTGGATATTGCGAATTTTGTCCGGAATTTTCCAAAACGTTGTTGGATAGGTCCTCGTCCTGCTCCTTTTCGGCCGAGCCCAATTGCTCGTTGTAATCCTCTTCGTCCAGGGACACGCTGTATCCTCTCGTAGGTCCTGGGATTTCTGCGAAACAATTACAGTTCATCGTAACCAAAAATTCAGTAAATAAACCATTTTAGAATCGGTTTTTGTTGGCGAAATATAAAACAAAACCTGGACCGTATAACGCATATGTCTTCGTATCGATGGCTATAAATAAAAGATGGCCCATTTGTTTAACGGATATTGTATCGGCTTTCGATATTCTCCTAGAATCGCCGAAAACCGGAAACCCTATAATGGGAAATTTTCATAGGAAAACCCCGAAAGGTATATGAAGTCGTATACAAAGCCACCAGAACCGGACTAACTTTAAACTTTGAAAAAACTAATACAAAACAATGAAGCCTTTATACTCCGTTCGCCATCAGGAGATAGTAATGAAATCTTCTTTGAGGAGTATATCCAAGAAATAAATAAAAAGTTGGCACAAATTAATAATACAGATTCAAAAGTTAAGTCATTTTTTAATTTTATTAAATCACAATAGCACCACTGTAATTACTCGTGCTGTCACTATATGTACTATCTCTTGATGACGAACGGAGTATGAATTATTTTCAATAGATTATCTACAACGATTTTCTTACACATGATATTTGCTCCTGACAAAAAAAAACAGTTCCTCTCTGGATAACGCCGTAAAGTCACGAGCCCCTCGGGGGGGACACGCGGCGTTACCTCGAGCAACGAGGATATAATAAAAATTCATCCTGTAAGCCGAAGAGATTTGGCATCGCGGATTCGGACCATTAGAGAAAACGACCCGAACACTCCCAAGTTATCAACAGTCGTTACGATTTTATAAATACTTCGTTAGTTGGTTACGTGACCGAAGAATTCCGTTCGCTACTTTAACGACGAAAAAACCAAAAAAAAAATCTATTTATATACAGGATATCGTAAAATACTCGGGACGTCTTTTATCTATAGATTTCTGGGACGAAAAGTGCTCAGTAAAGAAGTTACGAAAAAACAGTTTGTTTCTGCTTCTGAGGATATACCTTTATATGAACTTTTCGACTCAAAATTAGCCCGAGAATCCCCCATTAAAATATATATTAATTAACATCTTGTATACAAAATCAGAGTAGCCAGTAAAGCTCGCATCGAAACAAGGCGCTGGAAATAAAGTTTTTCGAGCCGGATAATAACCTGTAATAGAGGCATATAATACTTATAGAGGGTGTCTTACCGTAAAGGCGGATATTGCTCTCGACCTCGCCGAGGGAGTTCTTGGCGATACAACGATAGGAGCCGGCGTCCTCGCGCTGCAGCTTTCTCACGATCACCGTCATTTTCACGTGGAAGGCGGATTTGCTGGATGCCTGCACGTCGAACTTCGCACTCGAAATTACCATTTCGCCTGCGATGAGACACACGCAGCGCCGAAGAGGAGAAACATAGAGAACGTTTATTAGATTCTAAATATTCCGGTTTTTTTTTTTTTGTTATTCGGATGGGGCCGGATTACGCGCGGGGGCGGTTATATTTTCGCGAATCGCTGCGTAACGGTCGAGCGCGAGCCGAAATGTATGCAAAAGGGATGATAAATTTTTATACGGCCAAAGTTTTTCTTTTTATTATAATATTTATAAAGCGAGCGGAAGATTTTACCGTACTCGTATTATTGTGCAGCAGAGATCGTTCGAGTAGCGTAAAAAATTTAACATTCTCTTTACATAGAATGTAAAATCAATCGTTTTCTCTTCGAAATTTTGATGAATTGATTAGTTTTCCTGTAAATGTGAAAAATAACGCTTATTTTTTAACAGTCGTTACTGCACCTCTATACCAAAAAAACTGGTTCCCACCTCTATTAAATTTCTGTCATAATGTCATTAATGTCAATTTTAACAGTTGTAGATTTTGGTTATACATTAAGTGATTTATTCGATAGATTTTCTTTTTAGTTTCGTTAATTCTAATGTTAGTGGTGTTCTGAAACAATAGAAATATTGACAATTCCACACGCGTTCAATCGGATTACTAATAAACAATTACTAGATGAACTTGACTATTTGTCAACAACAAAATAGGTGAGCTAATTGGCCGAATAGCCCTGGCAGCTGAGGCAACGAATTTATGAAAAAGAAGTGAGTTAATATTTTTTTCGAATTTAAATTTTTTTTAATGTTTCTAGTTAATATATGAATAATTTTTCTCTATACGGTTTTGGTTAAATATTTACACAATTCGCTAGGATGATTCATCGCCAATTTATCATCAGAAATTATACCCCAAGTTCGAAAACAGTGAACAAAACTTAATTTTCTACTATTACCAGTGACGTCCACATCCAAAATTGTACACCCTGTATAGCATATAGCAAACGCGTCACTAAAAATGATTTGATCAATAAAACATCACCCAGTCCGGCATAGTGGTAGAAGTAAAACGCATCGAAATTAATCACTTCAGCTTCAATGCTAATGATTCCTTTTGTCGGGGGCCCCGCAGTCTAATAATTGATCTTTAAGGGCCTCCGGCGAGACGGCGTTTATAAATTCCTTTTGAGATGTCGTTTATCATCGTCTCGAGCGTTGCTTAACATGCATTAAATTTTTAGCGAATCCTTTTTAATCGTGTACCATCTCCCTTTTCGAGGAGCGGTTGTTTGCTATTATTTTTCTTTACCGAACGCCGGGCTGCAGATTTTCGAGTCCCCTACGAGGACTAACGTCCGTTTAATTTAAACGCTTCTAATTCTCTTCGAGCGGCGCGAATTTTACGCGTACAAGTTGGCCGAATAGCCGAGAAACGGTCGTATGATGGCGATGGAAACCCTTCCGCGTGTATGATTAATGAATTCGATACTTAATCCCGATACCAGTCGCGTTAATTCTTATTAGCGTCCAACCCCTTTTCCGTTCCGTCCGAACGGATCTCGGATGAGAGATATTAGAAGAGCGATCGCTATCTGAGCGCTTCTCTCCGAGTATATCGGCCTCATCGCAGCGATCCGAATTAGGTACCCATAGGCTATTAATCCGATACGTCGCTTCGGGAAGTTTCCCTTCGAAATTTTGATGAATCGAGCAGTTTTTTTTTGTGTAAATGTGACAAATAACGGTTATTTTGTAACGGTCGTTACTGCATCTCTATAGCGAAAAGTCGTTCCCACCTCTATTACATTTCTGTCATATGAAATGTCATTAATGTCAATTTTAAACAGTTTTGTAGATTTTGGTTATACTTAAGTGATTTATTCGATAGATTTTCTTTTTAGTTTCGTTAATTCTAATGTTAGTGGTGTTCTGGAACAATCGCGTTCAACGGGTTACTAATAAACAATTACTATAGGAACTTCACTATTTTTCAAGAACAAAATAGGTGAGCTAATATTTTTTTTCGAGTTTAAAGTCTGTCATCTGTCATACGAAATGTCGTTAATGTCAATTTTGTATCTTCGAACGGATCTTAAAGTTCTACAATGCGAAAAAAAACTAGTAATTTATTTAGGAGAGCGTTTTTCTTTAGCGCTAATAAAATTAGCATATACTTGCGGCGGGATCGGTAATCGTCGGGGCGCGATTTTCGTATTAGAACCGAAGCGCAAGTAGAGTAGAAACCGTACGAGTTACGATTCGAAAAGAACGAAGAAAGAGCAACTGTTGAAAAGTTTCCCCAACAATCCGCAATAAATTTCGCGGCGAAGCGGGCTAACTAACTATTTATAAACGGATGTATGTAATAGTGTAGTAGTTGGGTGATTTGTTTCCCTCCATGTGCTATCCGTTCCGACTTTTCTTCGGAACTTTTACAATTTCACACGCCATTGTTTTCCGAAAAAATCGCCCGCCCCGTCGGATTCGCTAATCGTTTTTTAATAAAAAAAAAAGAAATCCGCGAAATTTTAAAATTTTTCGACGAGTAAATTTTGGCGGAGGAACCAATTTGCTATACCTACCTCGTCAGATGTAGCTTGGCAGTTGAAAATTGCATTAGATGCGCAAAAGGGAAAGAAATATTGAGACTTAAAAATCTTATTAAAAATTAATTTTAACTGTGAAAAATAAAGACTCATTAAATCAACTGTACAAAACTGAAAATCTTGCAATCTTTACTGATCAATTGATCTTACTTAATAACTTCCCTTCTATAAATATTCCTACAGGGAACCCAACTTCTTAAAAACACCAACTGCCAAGCTACATTTGATGAGGTATATAGTAAATATAGTTAATTTTATTCCAATATTTAGCAAATTGCCATCGTTAGCGCTTGGAATAAAATCGCACTCGAACAAAAGCAACAGAATAAAAATCGCTGACATTCGCTCAACCCCCCTATACACCCACCCCCTTTTTTCGAATCGCTCTAATTCCGACGCCGCCCTGTTAAATTAAATATAATTTTTAATGAGTTCATTTATTTTTCGGGCGGCGTCGCGACGCGTTATTCAACAGACAGCGCCGCGTCAGATAAATATCGCGCCAATTACCGGAATACTTCTGCTCTTATTCCGCTGCGTTCATTTTCCTTTTTTTCTTCTTCGTCGTTTTTTCTCCCTTCGTCTTGGCGAAAGGCATTTAATAGGGGGGGGGCACTTACGATGCAAATTTTCCCGATCGATAGGGAAATTGAAAAAATAAATTCCGCCAATTAACAATTCGATGCAGCAGCTTTTCCGGACCGCCGGCGGATGTTGTATTATATAGATAGAGAATTGTTGGGGGTTGCAGAAATAAATCGTTGCATCGCCGGGGGTTGATTTTTTTTATATACAAATTTGCTTGGTCCGTTGTTTCAGTTTACTTAGAAGATTTTCGTTCCGCTTGTTGCCCCTGGAAATTTACTATACCAGGGTATAAGGTAAAGATGGATATGTCAAATTAATTTAGAATATACAGGGTGTATATATATTCTGTAAAACCCAGTAAATTTTCTCGTTATGCAGAAAACACAATGGCGTAACATATCCCAGAGTATATACCATACAAATTTGCACTGGGGTTAGCAAACTTTTTTCGCAATTAAAAATCTTTGACCCAGATCGAGCGTGTGCGATATTCGCGCAAAATAAAAAATTATAAGCCGTATAATATTCGTTTCGCAGCGAAAAATGCGCTCCCTTCGATCTGGCCCCGTCGAGGCATCGCTCAAGTTTTTAATACTTTCGTGATTAGTTAGCGAACTCCCGTGTAATCGCCATTCATCCGGACCGTGTCCGATCGTTTTGTACCTGTATATGTATACATATGTGTGTACGCGGGCGATTTTTGATGGGCGAATTTCAGCGAAAATCCGCTCTAAACTCTAGCCGTTTGCCCCCGACGAATACGACCGTTATGAAGTTAGAGTAATAGGATGAGCGTATACCTCGTCGAATGTAGCTTGACAGTCGAAAATTGCGTTAGTGAGAACACTTCAATTGCTGTCAAAAAATATCTATTTTAATCACTCTTAAAATATATAAAATAAATCAACTACACCACTGGAAATCTTGCGATTTTTACTCTCCATTCGATCAATGTTAATTGATCATTATCTACCCTCTTATTTCTTTAAATTTTTCTACAGCGCATCCAAATTCTTAAAAAAAATCCAAGTGCAAAGCTACGTTCGCTGAGGTATATCTGCAATAAATTACCTAATAAGAGAGTACGAAGTTCTGTACTTTATAAACAATCTAATACTAAACAAATAAAACATATACACCCCGACCAAAATATCGAGCACTCTCTAGCCGCTGTTCGAAATTACATCCACCCCTATTTCGATTTAATAAATAAACTGCACCCCCTCTCGCGCCCCGCCTTAACGCGCGTCAACTCCAACGTAACAAAGTTTATAGTATACACGCAAACAACCGTGTTTCCCGATTCCGGCAGATACATCCGCTAACGGCGCATATTTTAAATAATTAATCCGGCTCCGCGGAGACCGGAGGGGGCGTCGCGACGCTTCTAATAGACATCCTGATAGACGCTCCGAAATGGCGCATATTGTATACATACATAGAAACGTACCTGTATCTCTAACCCAGTAGTTGATAGATTTCGGATAGGCTTCAACGTTGCATTCCAACGTGACGTCGGTGCCGAGGGGCGCGCCCACCAGCTGGTTCGGTACGTGGATCACCGGGTGAACTGTGTAAACAGAATTTATATACATTTTTAATTTCTATAATCGCTCGTTTACGTTAAGGATTTTTTATGAGGAGCTAATTGGAGGATTAAATATGAGATTGTTCGGTGCAATTGGTACGTTCCCTATATACTCCGTTCGTTATCAGGAGATTGTAGGAGTAGTCAAGTCGTGTCTCAATTAAAATATTCTTTTTATTAAGTCGAAATCTTTAGTTGTAGACGGTTCTAAACGATTCTGGAGCGTTCTAAATGATTCTGAAGCGTTCTAAATGCGGTTTATAGACAGTTCTAAATGGCTCTAATTGATTTTGGAGCGTTGTAAATGACTATGGAGCGTTCTAAATGATTCTAGATTGTGTTAAACGATTCTGGAGCGTTCTTAATGGGGCATTCTAAATGGTTCTAGATTGTGTAAAATGATTCTGGAGCGTTCTAAATAGTTCTAAATGATTCTGGAGTTCTCTAAATGATTCTGAAGCGTTCTAAATGGTTCTAGACAGTTCTAAATGATTCTGGAACATTCTAAATGATTCTGAAGCGTTCTAAATGGTTCTAGACAGTTCTAAACGATTCTGGAGCGTTCTACATGATTCTGGAGCGTTCTAAATGGTTCATAGACAGTTCTAAATGGCTCTAATTGATTTTGGAGCGTTGTAAATGCCTATGGAGCGTTCTAAATGATTACAGATTGTGTTAAATGATTCTGGAGCGCTCTCAATGGAACATTCTAAATGGTTCTAGATTGTGTAAAATGATTCTGGAGCGTTCTAAACAGTTCTAAATGATTCTGGAGTGTTCTAGATTGTTCTATATAATTTTTTACATACAAAATGATAGGCTTTATTACCATCTTTTGATAGCAAACGGAGTATACCTAATTATCATAAATATATTCCGACTTACTGCAAATTCTGCAATGATTTACCAATCCTTTCATCTGTCTTTCTATAAAATATTTTCTACGTCTAAAATATCCAAAGTAAAACAACCTCTATTATTTACTATAAATACGAGTAATATAGTAAGCCCCATCAAAAAGATCGATAAAAAGTCATCTCTGCCGGTGAGCCGGGCGAATTTTCCCCGGGGAAAAGTCGTCCGGCGTTTCTAATCTCCTTACGATAAGTCACCGCGCCGGGACGAAATTTTCATTCATTAATATCATCAAAGGCGCGCTCGATCCGCCTCTGAAAAGAACAAATTACACGCGTCGCCTTTTTGCGGACGCCCGAAACAAAACCGAATTTGAATTTCCGCGACGCTCGCCGACAAGAAAAAAAAATGATTAAAGAAAATGACGTTTTCACTTCATTAAATATTAATGAGAGAGGGGGCGATTCGCATTACCTCTCTCGCCTATTCGATTCACCTAAACGAGTGGGTTTTTTTATGCTGTATAAATAAATAGAAAAAAAAAATCGATTTATTTATTTTTTTATCGAAACGAAATGAGGGAGTAGAGGTATTATTTTTTAATCTTACATATCGGGCTCGGAGTTGTTAATAATGCAAAGGGTCAAGTAGGCAAACATGCGGATTCGATTACTCCGATGAAATATGTAACAGACGAGGACGCGGTGTAATTGCGCGCGAATTTTAATTACCCCCCTCGTAAAACTAATACATATGTATTAGTGCGAGTTTATAGTGACGGAGTGGTACCCGTTTGGAATGGGCAAATAAAACCGGTGAACGTAACGGAATGAAATGGAATTGAACGCGGAGGCGCAGATTAAGAGAGGACGTCCGGACGTTTCGGAATAAACTGCGTCCATTTAATCCCTTATCTGACCGCTCCGAGCACGTCTTTGGGGGGGCATTTGCATTCGCGTTGAGTGTTATGAAAATTGCGCTGGATGTGAATGTATATACGGGGGGGAATACGTCGGGTAGATGCGAAACTACAAGGCGATGTTTTCATTGATGAAGATTATCTCTGTGTGTTAAGCGATCGTTTTTTTTAGTTATGATGTAATGAAATATAGGGTGTTAATTAATTGTATGCCGATATTTCAGGATGTGAATATTTGATTGATTTTAAGAAGAAAAGTTTATATCAATGTATGTCCTAAACCTCTTAGTTTTCGAGCTATAGGGTGTTGCAGTTTTAGAAGAAAAAAAATAACTTTTCTATTATAATTTTTTTACTAGGTAGATATTTTTATGAAATTTCGGACGTGGACGTCACTGGTAATAGTAGAAAATTAATTTTTATCCTCAAAAGAAAGTGTTTCCATGCATGGTGGGTGTCTAGCAAATTTCAACAAAATATCAAAAGCAATCTCAAAATGAACTTGGGAAAAAATTGTTTTGGTTTTTATTTTTTTTATGCGAAAATGGTACGTCGTACGAAAGTAAGTCTTCTGATCGAATTGGAGCGTAAAACCACGTAATCCAAAATAAATGAGAATTTTAAAAATAATTTTGGCTTTTAGAAAAGACAGTGGCGTACCATTTTTTTTCAAACAAATTCAATTCAAACCCCTTACGGACGTCACTGGTAAAAATTTGTAAAAATCTTATGCCTCAAAAAATGCTTCTTAATAATTAAGAAGTGTATACAAAATTTCATAAAAATATCTGTAGTAATAAGAAAATTATGATAGAAAGCTATTTATTTTCAAAAATTTTAACACCCTGTAGTTCGATAACTAAGAGGTTTAGGACACACATTGATATAAACTTTTCTTCTTAAAATCATCCAAATATTCCCATCCTGAAGTATCGACACTCAATTAATTAAAAAATATAAAACCTAAAAAATTACTCAAACCATCAAAAATTGGTAGTTAAAACCTCTAAATATTTTTTGAAAAATCTTGAAAAACCTTTAAAAATTTCTCAAACTATCAAAAACTAGTAAGAAACCTTTAAATGTATTTTAAAACATCTTGAAAAAAACCCTTAAAAATTACTCAAAATAAAACTACTAAAAACCCCTATATACCTCGAAAAACATAAAAATCTTTAAAAATTACTTAAACCATCAAAAACTAGTAATCACTAAATATTTTTTGAAAAAAACCTTTAAAAAAACAGTAACTAAAAACCGGCAAAAACCTCTAAACACCTCAAAAAATCACAAAAACTCTAAAAAATCACAAAAAAACAATTTAGTAACATTTAATCTCTCATTACCTACCCTCTCCCCTTCTTTCAATAAACTTCCTAAAAACTTCAACAGATGCCAAGCTACATCTGTTGAACGAGGACTCGTGCTCGCGCCGTTAACAAATATCCCTCGAACAAACATCGAAACATAAAACATCCGGATAAAACCAACGACAGGCCCAAACAATTTTCGCGTACATTACAAAATTCCCTCGTAAGTCGACCGGAGGAAATAAAAAGCCCGTCCGAGAGCGGCGTTATCGCGCCTCAAGGAGAGCACCTAAAAAACCCCGAAAAAAAGAAAAATAGAAAATAAAACAAAAATCGCGCCCGAGGCGAAAGCGTGGAAAAGCGTGGAAATGCGGGCGATTAAAAGGGTTTGGGAAACAAAACTGGGTATACTATAAAGGGGGCACTTACAGTGAACGTTGACCATAATCCGTTTGCTGACTGTCGGCGGGACGCCGTTAGAGGCGATGCACATGTAGGCGCCCATTTCGGTCCGGGATATCTTCCACAATTTCAATACTTCCCCTTGGTACGACGATACTGGAAAACGCAAAGACGGGTCGCTTTAAGTACGCAAAGTATTGCGATAACGGGAATTATTGCGGGGGGATTTCGGATGTTGTAAAACGTGTAAAGGGATTCCGGTATATTCGCATCATGCTCTTCTATATGTAAGTATCCGCGATAAGGACGTTGGATGTGTTTCGTTTTGCAACATTTAATGCAATTATATGATGTATATAAGAATAGTACAATTTTGTTTACATTAACTATTTTTTTCTATGCATTATTGTCTTTAAATTCATCAATTTATAACATTTTGCAACACTATTTTTTTACAAAAAATATGTAAGTACTTTCTTATACGAATTAAATTTTTGTTGGGAATACACGCACATTTTTCCAAAGGCTCTATTTCTATATACAAGGGTAAAGTGAAAAGTTCTCAGCTTTACAGTGTAAAATGGTTCTAGACAGTTGTTAATGATTGTAGAGCGTTTTAAATGGTTCTGAAGCGATATAAATGATTTTGGTCAGTTCTAATTGATTCTGAAGGATTTTAAATGACTATTTAGTTCTCTATGGTTCTATTATAAATAGTTTTAAATGATGCTAGACCATTCTAAATGGTTCTAGACAGTTCTAGAATTACTAATACGACAACTTTTCACCCTACTCTCGTAAGATTGTTCCTAACATAATTACAAAAATAAAATTCTCATAACATTTCATGTATATTTATAGTACCTACCTCTACTCTACACACATATAAATATTTTTTGTTTACTTTTCCGGCATGATATCCAATACAAATTTTAGTTTTTACATGATGGATACATATTCAATTTTAATGCATTTTACGACAACTATTTTAATGCCCCTACATCATTTCGCTTGGCGAAATCGTTAATTACAAAAAACAATATTCTCGATATTCGTTTGATTTTTGACGTTGCATTTAGAAACGCCGATATTTGTCATTTAATTTTCGTTTTATTGAAATTTACAACATACCTAAACGTTGGGCTTATTAATATCTATATCGGGAAATGTTTATGCGATTTATTTTATATTTCAGCCGTTCGATTTGGATTTTTTTTATCCAGTTTTCATTCGATATATTACTACTATAAAAGGGCTTTTATTGCGGGATATCTTTCGAAAATTTTTACCGCTCTGTATCGAAAGACGTCGATAAAATCCCGAGGAATATGGTCAGCGGCGTTAAGAGGGCTTTAAAAATCGCAGTTTCGAGTGGAAATTCGTAAAAATTTTAAACACATTGTTTTCGAGAAATCTCTCCAAAACGCCGTCGAAATGTTACTTAATAAAACCATCAAAAAATCATCGCAAATCCATTTCGATTGTTAGATCCAATTTCTCCGATTTGAAAATTGTTTATGCAAATGTTTTGAAACAATCCAATTTCCAGATAGCCCATCTTAATGGCATCCGAGACGAAACTAAAATTTCGCCGGGGGCATTCTCTTAAACAGACATTTTTTTTTCCGGGCGATATAGATTCGAACGGGTTCCGTCCAAATGCGAGTTTGATTCAAAAACTCCATTAAATCTAAACTTAACTATCGATTTTCCAAACCAGTTGACTGAATCGCGTTTCCTACGGCGCTTTTTTTTTGTCCTAAAATCAACATTCAAATGGCACTTTATATCAGACCCCTCGTGAATCGGGGAAAACTCCAACGGGGGCGTAAAAAACCAACATTACCGCCCGTATTTTTTCGATATACTGATATAAGTAGGTGTAAATTTGTAGTGCTTATAGTACGTTCGAGCTAATTTCGCCATGATGTCATTCCTGCTATTTCATTAATATTTCTATCCATAATTCGGTACCTGTACTGAAAGAAGCGGTTTTTCTCAAACAAATTGTTTGCTCGGGTTTTCGATGCTTATACCTTCATCGTATACATACACCCTATTTATCATGATAACGATTTCCTTTTTGGAAGAGTGTATCTTTCATTTTGCATAAACTATAAATAGAATTTCGGTAGCCGGGAGGCGTCATTAGGAAAAGTATACCTCCTGGGATTTTTAACGATACCATGCACCAGTCAATTTCGCGTATAAGATTCGCCCAATAAACGACTTGTTTACACTCGAATCGATACCGTATTAGTTGACAATGTTTGAAAGTATCACAGGGCGAAAAAAATCATTTCCTCGAAGGGTAGGAAAAAAGAAAAACGGAACGTTCCCAGTGCATCATTCGAAATGGGGGAAAAACGAATAGGCACTTCGCGATTGCGGCGAAACGCATTTGTTCCTTGCTATGAAAAGATATATACGTGCGCTTTTGCCACTTTATATGGGGCCTAAGGGAATCGGAACCTGCGAGAGATGCTCTCGCTTTACGAGGGGCGCGCCACATCTTCTACAACATTAAATAGGAACTGTGCTTCAGATGGGAACTATACTGGGTGTTAATTAATGAGTGCGACAAAGTATAGGGGGTGATTCTGCGTGAAGAAATAATGATATTTTGCTATATAAATATATGTTCGGAAATGCTTCGTTTTCGAGATATGGGGTGTTAAAGTTTCTTCTTAAAAAGCGAAGATTTGTTTATTTCTCCGTAACCAGAGGAGATTTTCAAATGAAATTTGGTGGGTTTTGAGAGGTAACTATTACGCATTTTTTGACATAAAATAAAAAATTTTAGGTTCATCATTGACGCGCGTACGGGTAATAATAGCATTTTCTTAAAGAAAAAAAAAATATTGGGACACCACTGAGACATTTTTTATTAAAAATTCAATTATAAATGAATTCCTCGTTCAATTTGTGACAAAAAAACTCTCTTGTGTTTTTTTCGTACAGGCCGCTGTTTTCGAGTAAAAAAATAAAACATGTTGAGGTGTATTTTTTTATCTAGTAGTGAAGAAACTTTAACACCCCGTATCTCGAAAACGAAGCATTTGCAGACAAATGTTTATATAGCAAAATATCTTTATATTTTCATGCACAATCACCCCCTGAAGTTTGTCGCACTTATAAATCAACACCCTGTATATACACCTAGAATTCTACGAACTGCACGTACTCGTAGTTGAATTATAAATGTATAACAACTAAGAAGGAAATGCCTTGAGAAATGTGAGGTTATACTCATTCCCGATCGTACCGATAAATTCGAGTCGGTACAATTCCCGTGCCGGGGTGCATCGGTTATTTGAAAACCCGTCGAAACCATAAAGAAGCGTCCCGACGTCTCCTCTTCATTCCGCTTCTCCGGGGCAGCGCCCCCCGGCCCGTCGAATGGATAATTTCCGCGTATCCCCCGTAGAGCCGTAAGTACGGGGCACAACGCCTCCGGGACCCGTATACACGAACGATCGTTTTTTGAATCTTACAATACCTATTATTGCGCTACAACCGGGCCGACCTTAAGTATATTGCTTTCTGGCGAAAAAAAGAGATCAATGGCTGTGGCCCGTCGATGGCTTTCCAGCGACGGGATAATGTACCGGCGCCCGGTCGAGCGGGAAATTCTCTCTTCGCACGCCGCAAATCGAATATTACCGCTAACTAATAATACTTATATACAGGGTGATTCGTTACGAAACGGAAAGATTTTAACCCTATATATAGGGGTCACCCAGGGGATCCCAAAAAACCCTTTATAGTATGGGTCTTACGCTCATAAATTCGTTCGATTTATTAAAGGAATTTCCATGAAAAAGTTGTGTAAACCTAATTTTAACAAAGATAAAATAATTAAAACCCCTAAAAATTCTCATAATGTACAATTTAACGTTGAAATGTTGGTAGTAAAACGGCGTGCGCAAAAGTAAAAAGTTGATGATTGTATTCAGTTTTTTGTGTTCTTTCCAAATTTGAAATTCAATATTTAAAAATTCAATGTACAGGGTGTTGTTTTAGGGATAGTCAAACTTTAATAATTTTTATTAAGCCGGACCTGGATTTTGAATTTTTTTAGTGGGTCGATAAATTGTTTAGAAGGTGTAGATTATCTGTGCAAAATACGAAATAATTATACTGAGCGATTCAAAAGTTATAAGCCCTGAAAGAAATGGGCCAATTTCAAAAAAACGCCCTGTAACTCGGTTATAAAGAGCGTCAGACCCATACTATAAAGTATTTTTTTATATGCTAGTTTGCATAATTTGAGACCAATTTTTTTCTAAAAAAAAATTGCAATAAACAAAACAGAGCCATTAGAAACAAACGCATAGCCATACCACCTCAAGAATTTAGTGCCACAAGTTCGAGGACATCCTGTACGCAACAACATTACGCGACGTTGCCGCATCGCGCGGCATTTTTCTACCGTTCTAAGGAAATTATTTCGAGTAAGTTTTTTTACCTCCGGTTTTGGTGCCGCCCGGCTCCCTGATGACGATGTCCTGGCCGTCTTCGCGCCGCCACTGGACGTGCGGGTCCGGATGGCCCCGGGCCCGGCACGTCAACTTGACAGTGCCCCCTTCGGGCACCATTACGTCGCCGGACGTGTCTTCCGCGATGAAATCCGGGGGCACGGCCACGTCGAGGAAACCGACCTGAGAACAGGACGAAAACGTGCTTTGTAGAGAGCCATTTAATACGGTATAGTTACCAGCAGGAGTATACTATATACAGGGTGACCCAACCTATATACGCATGTGTAGGATTATAGTTTTAATTTTACTTGTATACTCTATAGGGTCTATACAGAGTGTACCTAAATTGGTAGAGAAATATTGCAAGATTACATACTAATACATACTCCTCTTTTGTGTAAAATGCTATACAGGGTGAGTCACGCTTAACGGGAGGTAGCATTGTATGCAAACTGTATAAAAGATTTTAAAAAATCATTGGACATAAATATGTACAAGGGTAAGTTGAAAAGTTCTCGACCTGACAATGAAAAAGACAACGATATTCATTTGAAAAATTACATTATTATTTTTATTAAGTCAAAATCTTTAGTTCTAGACAGTTCTGATTGATTCTGGGACGCTCTAGATTATTCTAGACAGTTTAAAATGATTCTGGAGCGTTCTAAACGACTATGAACCGTTCTAAATGAATATATGAAGTGTTCTAAATGGTTCTTAGGCGCTCTAAATGGTTGTAAACATTTCTAAATGGTTCTTATACGTTCTAAAAGATTTTAGACAGTTTTTTATTGATTCTGGAGCGTTCTAAATGATTTTAGACAGTTCTAAATGGTTCTCAAGCGTTGCAAATGGTTCTAAATGACTATATGAAGCGTTCTAAATGGTTATAGACATTGCTAAATGATTCTTAAGCGTTCTAAAAGATTTATGACGGTTTTTTAATGATTCTGGAGCGTTCTAAATAATTCAAAATGATACCGGAGCGTTTTAGATTGTTCTGGACAGTTCTAAATGTTTTAGGCCGATAACTTTACACCCTACCCTCGTAAATGTATGGTGAGTGTAATTTAAAATTTATCAGGCAAAATATAAAGTTATGAATTTTTTTGTATATTATTGCGTTTTTGAATTTTTTATTTGGTTATATAATAGACCACCCTGTACGAATGTAAATATATTAACATTTTCGACAGTTTCCTTTGTAAAAAAAAACATATTCAAACATCCGAAAAGAACCCCTGTAAGGATCGTTTTTGCGCTTATCATATACAGCTTCTCATACAATTTCTTTGCGATTCGAAGAGGATAATGGCGTCCCGGCAGGGATTCGCGAATTTTAATTAATACGCGGAGAAATTAAACGTTTTCAGTTAATTTTTTTTTTTGATCGTTAATTAGACGATCTCCGAACGACAAAGGTAGATGCGGGGCTCATTAAAAACGAAATTACCCCGCGGGTAATCAAAACATATGGAATATTGGTGGACAACGCGAACGGGGCATTATAAATTTCGCGAAATGAAAATTTCGATCGTCGGCCAGATGGCCGGTTTCCCAAGCGATGGGAGGCATTTTTTCCGGGGGGCCCGGACCGATGGTTTATTAAAAGAAAATATACCGGAAGCAGGTTTAAACGAGCGAATTTACCATCACAGGTAGATTTACATTTCCCTCTGGGGTTGTTATTGTGTATTCGAATACAATTTGCTGAATTAATATCAATTTTCGCGAATGTCTTATGCGAAAACGTTGGGCGTATACTAATCACCGTTTTAATTAATCGTTTCTTTCCACATAATTTTTCGATGTTTATTTATTCGGTAAGGAGATATAATCTTGTACTGCAGATAACGCAAACACATTATGACCGGATGATTTATCGATTTCGCAAAGATAAATAATATTCCAAAAAGAAACTCTTTACTCTTTGAAAGCTTTCTTTAGATTCTCCGGTCGCTAATTTAGCGAGAACGGGCTTTGACAATGACGAATTAGGTTTGTAAAACGGGAAGTTGAAGAAGAATATTTTATTCATGTAAGTTGTTAATCCTTTTAAAAAGACGTTGCTCAACATTAATGAAATCCTGTTTTGCTCTCTTCCGAGTATTTCGTTTCTGAATTATTGATGGTTTTAATAGAATACGGGGTTTTTAAATGGACTTAGCTCCTTATAAACGAGGGCAAGGCGAAAAGTTCTCGGCCTGACAATGAAAGGACCGCGATTTTCAATTGATAACAATTACATTATTCTTCTTATTAAGTCGAAATCTTTAATACAATATAGTTTTAAACGATTTTTGAACATTGTAATTGGCTTTAGAGAGTTCTAAACAGTTCTAAATGGTTCCAGACAGTTTTAAATGCTTCTGGAGTAATCTAAAAGGTTCTAGACTGTTCTAAATGATTCTGTAGCGTTTTAAATGGTTCTATACAAATGTCCCAAAGAGGAATCAAGAATTTTTGCTGATCTGAGTGTTCTCAGTGCATTAATTGTTGCTTAAAATGTAAATAAATTATGCAATTTTTCTGTATATATGTACAGATATTTTAAAATCATCATGACACACTCTGTATATATGATAACTCACATAATATATTCGCGTAGTTTTTTTTTTCAACTTTGACAAAATCGCATTTCCATTTGATGGTAAAATACAAAACCTGTCAATTCTCGCCTATACATATAGCACACGAGCGATGGAACAAACTTCCCAATTTCGCGCTAATAATAAACCAGATGGAGTTTATCTCTGTTCTTTTATCGGCCATTTTGTATGCCGGTCTCGTTCATTTACGCGACGCATATACATATATAAACTGGCGAATAATTATTTACCTAGTATCGAAAACCCGCGGGACGGGGCTTTTGTTGTTCGCTTGAACTCCGGCGCTCGAACAAAAGGTGATAAAATAATGGATCTATCACTTTTCTGCCCTTTACGAACGTTACTCTCCGATCGCTCAGATATCAACCCTATACAGGGTCTCACTGACTATAATCTCGCTGTGATTCTCGCGCGAATTAAATCCACGACGAGTTAAAAATATTCATAAAACGGGAGAAAATATGCATGCTAAGATTACGCTGTTAATACAGTATTTTTGTTAAACCTAGTCAAAGCTGTATTCGTAAATCCTTAATAACCCGTTTCGTTTATTACGAATTTCACGTATTATTCGTATAAATAAAGTTTTCGGGGATGAAGTTTATTTTGTCGTCGGTGCTCCGGCCAGCTTTGTGTTTATCTGTTTCGTATTCGGAAGACGGAATCAATTTGGAAAAGTTTTCGGAAAAACTCGTACATATTTACATTCGGGCTCCTATAGTCAATATTTTCCGGGATAACACGACTCTATTACCGGGGCACTCCGGAATCGCTTATATAGATGTGCTGGATTTGAAATGGGCTAGAAAGTTTCTGGTTTGGTAACAACAAAAATTTTAGTGTAAAATTCGTTTAATTGGAGATGTGTGTTAGTTTCGGTATATACGGGGTGAAACACGCTCAATGAGAGATTAAATCCTTTCGCTTAGTCGCCTTTTTAGGGAATTTTTGGTCGTTTCTTTTGATGAATTTTTGGTAATTTTTTTTTAAATTTGGTCAAGTTTTGTTCAATTTTTGGTAGATTTTTTTATCAATCTTTGGTCGTTTATCTGTCATTTTTTTATTTGGTTTTTTAACCAATTAATAAATATAGTGGATTTTTGATAGGTTTTTTGGATCAATCTTTAGTAGATGTTGATAAATTCTTGCCTCTTTTTTGGTGAATTTTCGATGGTTTTTTTTGATCAATTTTTGGTCGTTTTTATGATATATTTTCAGTCATCTTCAGGTCAATTTTTGGTTATTTCCGATCAACTTTCATTCAATTTTTGGGGGATTTTTGATCGTTTTCTGATCGTTTTTTGATCGTTTTTTGAACAATTTATAATAGTAGTTTTTTGATGAATTTTAGTTATGTTTTTTCATGAATTTTTGTCGTTTTTTGATCAATATTTGTCCATTTTTTAGTAAATTTTTGATCAACAGCACTAGTCAAATTTTTGGTCATTCTTTGATCAATTTTTGGTCGTTTCTTGATCAAATTTTAGTCGTCTTTTTGAACATTTTTTGTCGCTTTTTAAAGAAATTTTAGTCGATTTTTCGAACAATTTCTAGTCAATGTTTGATCCATTTTTGATAGCTTTTTTAAACAACCTTTAATCGATATTGATCAATTTATTAACTCAAATATAAATACTTTTAATTTATTTCCCAAATTTACTAATTCACATATTTGCAAAGCAATTTCCTCCCGCATTTTCCCTCCCATCGAGCCTGCCCCACCCTGTACAGGTGCACAAAAGCTTTCGATTACGAACGTTATGGAAAACTTTTTGTTAGCGCAAATTCAAAATGCACGTATAACGGATGTGAAAATTCCTATCTACCATTTTTTCCCGATATTCCGTAACGCTTTACCGTGTAGCAACAGATTCAATTAAAACCATCAGAGTTGTCGATGAAAATTCATTCGATTTAAATAAATAATATCTTATAGTACGCTCGCGATAATACAGCGACGACGTCACATCGCAACTATATTTAAAACAGTTAAAAATTAAGGGTTGTTAATTAATAAAATGCACTGTGTATATGCTTGTGGTTGAGCAAGGATACAAAAATCTAAGTAAAAGTTAATGAAGAGCCGGTTGATTTAGGCGAGCGTCGGATTCGAGACGCGTAATTAGTTAATGAAAAGGGCCGATGGTATTAGAAGTCGACGCCTGTTTGTGTCGCGAGCGACCCGAAACAGCGCCAGTTGACCGCTAAACTTCCGATTATCGAAGCCCCGGCTCGTAAATTAGCCCCCGCCGCCCCCACCGCCCCACGGCGGCTGTTCGCCCGGGACGTCTATTATTTTCCGGAGGATAGAATGTACCAAAGGGACTGTCTTTTGTCGCATATTTTATCGCGTTTATTTTGCGCGAGTTCGTTCCGGTAATTATGCGGAAAATTGCATTTTGTCGATGGTAAACAACGATCGGATTTTGTTCGCATGGAAAATTCGCTCTATAGACTTATATGCCGGTGCCTTTTACGGAAAAATCGCCCGGTTATGGATTATACTTATGGCCGGTGAACTATGCGCTTCATAAATTTTCGAAACATGATTTCCCGCAAATCGCGCGTTAGAGGTACTCGATACAAACGTTGATAAATCGCGAAGATAAATGATGAATATTCTATAGGAAAAATAATTTATCTATACTCCGTTCGGCATCAGGGGATAGTAATGAAGCCTAATTTTGTATGCAAATTTTCTATGCGCTTTATAGCGAACAGAATTCTAATTGATTCTGTGATTCTGGAGCGTCCTAAATGGTTCTAGACAGTTCTAAATTATTCTAAGTTCACGTTTTGGTCTATTTCGGTTCAATTATTGATCGTTTTGGATTCGATTTTGTTCACGTTTTGATCTGTTTTGGTTTAATTTTTGATCGTTTTCTGGTAAATATTTGGTCGTTTTTAAGTAAATTTTTGGTCAACTTTACTAGTTCAATTTTTGGTCGTTTTATGATCAATTTTTGTTTTTTTGAACTTTTTTTTTCTACTTAAGCTCAATTTTTGGACGTTTTTTGATCAATTTTTGGAGATATTTTTGTAAATTTTTAGTAAACTGGTTGTTCAATTTTCGGTCATTTTTTTAGTAAATTTTTGGTCCACTTTAGTTTAATTTTTGGTCTTTTTTGGATAAATTTTTGGTCAATTTTTGTTCAACTTTGGTTCAATTTTTGATCGTTTTTCATCAATTTTTCATCAATTCAAACGATTCTGGAGCGTTCCAAATGGTTCTAGACAGTTCTAAATGATTCTGGAGCTTTCTATAAATGATTATAGACAGTTCTAAATGATTCTATAGCGTTCTAGCTAGACAGTTCTAGACAGTTCTACATCATTAAGGCCGAGAAATTTTCACGCTACCCTCGTATACCTCCTGCTAGCGAACGGACTATTATAGCATCTAACATTTAACATACCTGACTTTTCATCGGATCAGTATTGATCTGGCACATGTATTGACCGCCATCTTCTTCTTGCACGTTCTTGATGTGCAAATTCCACGTGGTATGGTCGTTATGGGACACGGATACTCGAGGATTGTGCGTTATGACGTGATCGTGAATGGCTTGTATGGCTTTAGTGTCAGCTTTCACCCAACCCACCTGCAAAGAAACGTCAGTAAATTATTCCTGGTAAATATCGTTAATTATTTTGATGGTAAATGTACAAACGTTTTAATGGAAATTTCGAGTTGATATTGCTTCGTATAATTTCGGAATTACCGTGTACAATGAGGTGCTGAAGTTACGCAGATTTTTTAGGGAGCGCGAAAGGGGCTCGAAAAGACAGCTTTATATCTTATTTAATGCGTTTTATATTTTCCGACGAGAAAATTCTTTGTGTCACACGCAAAGCATTTCTGGGGTTTTTTTTTAATGCCCCGAAGATATGAATTTCTCGCAGAGGAGCAAGTAAAAGCTGCATCGATTTCCCCGTTTATATTTATAATATATTCAGGAAGAGGTGCGAAAGTAGAACAACAAATCGAGTCGATTCGGCGTTAAATTTTTAGTTACATTTTTTCCCTTTTTTTGTTTCGCCCGATGTTTCCATCGATATTCCGGGCGAATAAAACGAAACTACCTGCTATTTTTCGACTGCGAAATCCCGCGTAAACTGCTTTAAAATGATTCAGGCGGAGCTTTTTTGCGAATATAACTTTTTACGATTTTCATGATGAGATGTAAGAGTGTATGCCCGTTGTCTCGCCCGCGCGTAAAGACAGATGTCATGTTGTATTTGGTATTCCCGGCGCGCGCGATCCCGACATGTGTGTGTGTTCGACCGGAGTGTCTCCGGAATCGCGGAAACACCGGAAGATAATTCGACGATCGAGCTCAGCGAGAAACGATTTGCGTTTATTTGGTAACGGCGACTCGGTTAAAGTTCGTTTTTTTGGTCAATTTGTGGACTAATTTTGGTGTTTTTTTTTGGGATTAATTTTATGTTGATTTTGTTCATTGTTGGGTCTACTTTGTTTCAATTTTTGATCGTTTTTTGGTAAATTTTTGGTCCTTTTTTTGGATATTTTTGATCAACTGTACTAGTTAAATTTTTTGACGTTTTTTGGATCATTTTTAAGTCGATTTTGCGTACGTTTTGGTCTATTTTGCTTCAATTTTTGATCGTTTTTTGGTAAAATCTTGGTCCTTTTTTTGTACATTTTTGATCAACTGTACTAGTTAAATTTTTGGACGTTTTTTGGATCATTTTTAAGTCGATTTTGTTTACGTTTTGGTCTATTTTGCTTCAATTTTTTATCGTTTTTTGGTAAAATGTTGGTCCTTTTTTTGTAGATTTTTGATCAACTGTACTAGTTAAATTTTTGGTCGTTTTTTGGATGATTTTTAAGTCGATTTTGTTTATGTTTTGGTCTATTTTGCTTCAATTTTTGATCGTTTTTTGGTAAAATGTTGGTCCTTTTTTTGTATATTTTTGATCAACTGTACTAGTTAAATTTTTGGTCGTTTTTTGGATCATTTTTAAGTCGATTTTGATCACTGTTTGGTCTATCTGGTACAATTATTGATCGTTTTAGTAAATTTTTGGCCAACTTTACTAGATTAATTTTTGGACTACATTAGTTCAATTTTTGGTCTTTGTTGGATCAATTTTTGGCCACTTTTTGTTCAACTTTGGTTCAATTTTTGATCGTGTTTTGACCAATTTTTGGACTAGGTACTTTAGTTCAATTTATGGTCTCTTTTGGATAAATATTTGGTCATTTTTTTGGTCGTATTTTGATCAATTTTTGTACACTACCTACTTTAATTCAATTGTTGGTCGTGTTTTGATGAATTTTTAGACATTTTTTGGTAAATTTTTGGTCAACTTTAATTCCGTATCCTCCATTTTTCTTTCTCCTTTGCATATCTAACACAATTTTCAACTATCAAGCTACATTTGATGACATATAGTAAGAACCTAATGTTTTCAGAGCAAAATCCTTGAGTATTTAATATTATCAACCATTTTTAGAACTCATCAGCCTCTCAACACTCGCTTCTTTATAGCCCAAGCAAAGTTTATTCCATCCCACTCATTAAGTCATCATCATCGGAAACCTCAGAACAACCCATTTAAAACCCAATCTAAAGAAACAACCAGCTCCACAGAGCGATGTTATCTCCCTGAATTTTCTCTCGCACTCTTCCAGTACATAATTAGTAATTAGCGCGAATGGCGTAATCGTTCGACAACAACCGGACAAATTCCACCGAATTCGAAGCCGTCAAATTAAACGGTGTATTTCGAAAATTCGAAATTCGACGAAGGCCGATGGAGTTGCAAACAAACTGTTGGCATACAGCCCATATCCCGACGATGTGTAACTCATTCGTCGCGAAATGTAACGAAAACGCATAAACGAAGCCGAGTATAATTTACATCGGCCGTGTCGAGTTAATTTCGGCAAATATTGAATATACGAAATGGCGGGTAAAATGGAATAACTCGCTGTGTGTGTATGTGCGCCCGATACAGAGGAGATTTTTCAGTCTAAAAGTAGCAAATTGGGCATATATTTCTACGTGGAAAGTTGATGGAAGAACAGAAAAGGAAATTGAACGATGTACGATAAGATGTTGAGATTTTGCAAGCTTATTTCATGTTGTACAGGATGTTTCATTATGTAGGGGTTATAAAACTGAATAAAATTTATAACATTTTATACAGGGTGAGTCATAAGAAATTATGAAACAACCATTTCGAACCAGCAACACACTGGAATATTCATCAGAATTAAAAAAAAAATCCAAGACTGTCTGATTATTTTATATTCTTAAGTATTTCTATACACTGTTAAAATATATTCGCCCTGTATAGCCAATCTACACAGCTTGTAGATCATCTTTAATAATAATTTTCCATTATTCTTCCTTAACTCTACCGGCTGTATAAAATATCCCGTATCTCATACCGCATTCTCTATGTTAACAGTAACAGCAAGGCCTTAAATGCGTTCTGTATACGTTTATATCTGCACAAACATAATTTACCAATTTCGGACGGGTCGATTCGGAACGAAATTTTCAACAATGCCAGCACGCGCGCTTTCTGGAAAACACAAAAGCTATTTACTTAATTGTACCGGCATTTCAATGTCGGCCGTTTGGAAATCGTCTGAATAAACATATCTTAATGGACTGCACGCCTGGCAACAGTCCTAAGTAGGTGTTTTGCGGTGCACTACATACATTTAACCGACTGCAAAAACTGGGGATGTTAATGCATAGGTACGCTGCGGAGCCGAATAAATGGCTGCGGTTTAAAATTTATGGGGAAGATGGAGAAATTGAATTGAATCAGATGAAGTCTGGTGTTTTTGAAGCTAGCAAGCGAGATATATTTTTTGGTATTCATTGTTGTTTCACGATACGTTAAACTATACGCGTAAAAGGCCACTTTTGTTGTAATTAAAACAGCGTTGTTTACAAAACAACATGTTAAATAGTGATCGAAACTAACGTTAAGATCCTGCTACATCCATTAATTAATTTTCTAAAACGGTTATTTCGCAACGTAAGCCGCTTACAGTTAATCAAATCCACGCCGAAAATATACGATGTAAGCTCTATTATCGGTCGATTGGCGGAATAATAATCGTTGTTGTGTTTTCCGAACATCGCAGATTTGCCTATACCACATCGAATGTAGCTTGGCAGTTGGAATTTTTAAAGATTATAGGAATAAGGTTATTGTACTACTGCAGTGCATATTTATAAAACCATCCTGTTCATAATAAGCTCACGTTCCAAATCCACCATTGCGAAATTATTGTGGATTCGTGCAAATAAATTACAAACCCGGGAAAATTTCGGGCAATAACTCATTCGCCGCCACTGTATCAAAATTTGTACCATCCAGCAGTTCTAAAATGGTGAGAATCTTTCTTTCCCAGTTTGCTCATCTACTACAATTTTCGACTGCCAAGGTACATTCGATGGGGTACAATAATTATCCGATACACAATTACATCGGATTTTCCACCAAACCAATTCGTGATTGTTGCAACAGGTTTAAAAAAAAAATAAACCAAACTATAATACACCGTGATTGATGTTTGTTACATTTACATACATTATCTTATTACCCACTTTCGATTTTATGGGTTACACAACCCTCTCTTATGGGTGTGTATACAGTAAGTGAAGGGAGCTATTAGGGTAAACGATGTCGCAGGGGCCCGAGAGCATCCCGGAGTACGGGTGTATTTTGGCACGCATCAGGACTAACGGGATGTAATAATAGTGTAGATATGACAAATAGCCCTGAAGCGCCACAAACTTGAGATCATTTATAATACACACAGCTGTGAACCAAGGGTCGAGTAGTGATGTGTCTTTCCGGGAAGGTTTCGATCGTCGCCCATCCAGTTTCGTCCTGGAAGGGTAACGGACGGACTGTTGTCGTTACTAATGATCTCGTATACATGGATTTTATTGCAAAAAAATCGTTGTATCCTGAAGGATAATTATTGTTAATAGTAATTTATACATTCGCTATCAGAATATAGTAATACAACCTTCTAGAAGCATAAAAATGAATGGAAAGTATACGCTAATGATCGTTATTGATTTATTAATATCTTTAACAAACCTCTTGCCATTTGTCTACAATATTCCACCCATAAATACCTAACCAAAGGAACATTGAAACCTATTATAAAACCTACTATAACTCCACAATCCCTGCCTTTTACAATACCTAACAACAGGCACTCTCCAGGTCTTCTTTAGGACCCCGAAAAAAAAAAAAAACTCCACCACCCACCGCGTCCGCTTTTAATATGCATAAAGAACCGTCCGAACGAGCTCCGCTGATAATTATTAACCCTTCGTCAAACTTCAGGATAAGCTAAAATCAGGTAGAAATTAGCGAGCGTAAAAGTAAACACCTTACGATGAGCCGGGTCAACCCTTTGTCAGATTATCACGGTCGAATAAGGAAATACGGGGATGATACACTGCGGGGGAGTGACGGGAATTAATTCCGGACATATTTTGGGTAGTTCGCGACAACGTTGGGCGCGAAGATAAGCGCGGAAAATCGGGGAAAACTCGCCATCGATATATATATTACTCATCACCACAACTCCCCGGCGTATCCAGCTAGTAGTTTTTTTGTTGTATCGAAATGCCGCCAGGAAGCAATATTGAAATCTTACATCAAAGCCTTCGGATCGGTGTAAGATAAACGTAAAGTTCATTTCTATCGAAACGTACCTACTTTAATTAAATTTAATGATCCGGAATTCCGGAATATAACGTACAGAGAGCGCGGAGAGGACCTCACTGTTGCCAACTGATTCCGATTAAGGATCTCTCTGCTACCCGACAAAACTCCCGGTTCGTGTATAAGTCACCGATGGCTGGCGTTCGAGCTTTCAATGGTATCTCCCCGGCCCTTAAAGGGTAATCTTCGGGGCCGGTGTGTATATGATGTAATAAAGCCGGTTGCTCTCCGGAATCGATAGCTCGGTGCATCGCTCTTAAGTTTTCGTTGATAATTTCGCTTATTAGGTCTGCACTGTGTGCGGAAGTTTCGGGACGCCGTAATTAAATCCCCCGCGCCGAAAAGGAGACGGCAGGAGCAGGAGGTACAGTCGCTGGAAAGATTCTAATTGCGGCTATTAATTCGCAGAAAAATGCAAAATGTGTAGTATAGCCACAGGAAGATTCTGTTTGCAAGTATTACATAATTCATAAAAAATGCAAAATGTTCGGTGATATTGAGGCCACCTATGATCTAAAGGGTGTCTCAATATCACCTACTAAAAAAGAGTAGGAGGAGCAGGAGCAGGAGGTACAGTCGCAGGAAGATTTTAATTGTAGCTAGAAAAAGGAAGAACAGGAAATATTGTCCCAGGGAGATTCTAATTGTATAGCTACTACTACCTTCATAAAAATGCAAAATTTACAGTGATATTGAGGCTACCTATAATCTACAGGGTGTCCCAAAATCCCCTACCAAAAAGGAGAAGGTGCAGTAGGAGGTACAGTTCCCAGGAAGACTAATTGTAACTTTTACTTACTAAATTTGTAAAAATGCAAAATGTGGAGCGATATTAAGAAAACGTGGAGGGATATTGAAGATATTTGGAGGCATATTGCAACCACTTATAATCTACAGCATGTCCCAAAATCGAGAATGTTTCATCTCCAAAATTGTCTCTATTTTTGGAGAAGCATTCAAATGTAATTACGTACATAAAACTAGGAGCAATAAGTAATAGGAATTTTTTTTGACTCACCCTGTATCCGCCCAGATGGTGCACCAAGCACCGGAAGGTGGCGTCCCTGCCGAGCGGCACCGACAAATTCACGATGGGCTCGGCGAATTCGGGCGTGTAGGCCGAGGCCGATCCTGCGAAAAACGAAGAAATAAAATTTAATTAATGCGGCGAAGAAGCGCGTCGATACGGTTTTAATTAAATTAGCTAATACGAGCTTCAGGTGGTTTCCGGATTTTCCCGGAATATATAAGGAGGCGCCATCGTCTATGTCATATGCATCTTGTTGGTTCGACAAAAGAGGCTGTGAATTAATAAATATAATTTGTAATGGGATTTACTAGGAGCTCGAGGAATTATTAATATTCATTAATATTCGAGCGCTTATTATTCGCGAATTATTTGTAATAAATTTACTAATCTGTGGAAATCTGTAGTGCATTTTTTTAAGTTAAAGACTCGTGTTTAACTTGACAGATTTACATGGTTGTTATGGAGTAACTAAGGAGATTGTTTCAATTTGACAGTTTTACATGGTTGTTATGGAGTAACTAAGGAGATTGTTTCAATTGACAGATTTACATTGTTGTTATGGAGTAACTAAGGAGATTGTTGGCGCTGACTTCTGGCCAATGTGATTTCACAATAAATTTTTTTCAGTGCTCTGAAATTCGAATGATTAGAGTTCCGTCGGTAGAATTTATATTAAAAGAGGACGTACGTCACTGAGCGGTAACTTCTGGTCGAAGGAAAAAGAGAGGAACGCGCGTCTTGGAGTTTAAAGCGCACGAACGGGCGGCCGGGGGAGGCGGCATTTATCAAAAACGTAGCACATGACACTTCAATAATGTAATTAAATCCGCAAAATGGCCGTTCGGCTTGAAATATCGCCGGGAATATTCTAATTTAAAATCGGGCCCTTTCTTCTTCGCCGGAAGGAAACGCGTTTGCATTAAAAATTAATTATCCTTAAAATTTTATGATTTCCGAGGCGGCGCCGCCTTCTCGCCTATTATTAACCGAAACGGTTTCTAATATTGGGAAATTTATTTCGACCGTTATACGGCGCGCTCTGCTATTACTGTTTGTTTCGTCGTTTAAACGAACAGCAGGAGGAAACGTTTCCTGCTCGACCGACAATCCATTTATAAAAGAAAATTACATATAAATACTAATTGACTGCCATTTCATACTCAAACTACAGATGCTATTTTTATATGAATAGCATCTGTGGTATAGAGCATCATATTTATATGTATCACAATTTGTACAATAATCATAAATTAGTATAGAAAAGTTGAAATAAATTTTTATCATAACGTTTCTTCTAATGAACAATCGTCATCATAATCATCATCATCATCATCAGATCGCCGAAATTCCGGTTTCCCCGAAACGAATCCTTTTATGCATAAATAATGCCCTTTCGTCCTTATGGTAATTTATAATGATTACTCCGGTGGAGGTGGAGGCGGCGGCGGCGGCGGCGGCGGCGGCGGCGGCGGCATTGCATTCGGAGCGTCCTCTCGTAAATTCCGCATCAAACACCTGCTCCTCGCACGCGGATCCGCTCAATTCGCCATCCAATTAACGTCGCCGGCAAGCAGCCCTTGATATATCCGCCTCGGTCCACCGCCGGCCGTTCGCCGGATCGTCCGGAAGTTATTACGAGACCTCCGGAATGATAATTCATCCGACGGCGACGCCGCCGCCGCCGCCGCCGCCGCCGCCGCCGGCACCGCCTCCGGTTCGCACCTCTTCCTCCTGGTCCTATAATTACTCTGATGTTTGTCCGCCGAAATATCGTTACTTATTTTGGCCAGCAAATATGAAGTGTCAGTCAATCGCAGTCGCTGAGTCTATCAGTCAGTTTGTAAAAATTTATAGTTATTCAGTCAGCAGTAGGTAAGTCTGTTATTCAGTCAATGGAACAGTTATTCAGTCAGTAAATCAGTCATTGGGGCATTCATTCAGTCAATAAGGGAGTTATTCAGTTATTAAGTCATTAAATCAGTTATTCAATCAGTAAATCAATTATTCATTCAATAAAGAAGTTATTCAGTAAGTCAACGATTCAGTCAATACATCAGTTATTTAACCATCAAAAATCAGTTATTAAATCTACAAGGAAGTTATTTTAGTAAGTCTATTATTCAGTACCAGTAAATCATTATTGAATCATCAGTTAATCCGTTATTTAGTCAAGAAGGAAGTTTATCAGTACGTTATTCAGCCAGTAAATCTATTCAGTCATTTATTCAAAGTCAGGTACCTACTCAAATAGTTCACTATGCATTTCTTGTAAATGTATTGACATGAAATTTTGCATTAGAATGGAAGAATATTAATTATACCTAATAGTGGTGAGTTTGAGAATAGGCATCAGTAAGAAAATATTCCCGGAACGCTACTGAATAATTGCCGCCCCCGAGCCGAATCAAAGCCGTATTATCATTCGGAACGTTATAATAATAAATGACGTTTCCACGGATATGCGACCTCTTTTTTTTTCTCACCGGATCGGCGGGCGTCGCGAGAAAGGCGGTCGACGTCGCGACGCGTCATTATTTCATTTTCTTCCCGATCGTCGCCTCTCCGCCTACCCCCCGAATTTATTCAACTTTTCGGGATAATAGAGAGATAAAAAGTTTTAATTGTCTAGCGCTAAGTGAGCGCCGCTCCCGCCGCCGTCGCCCGTTCACAATGGTCTCTCGGCGAAAGGCCTCCGACTCTGCTCCCGGTTTTTCTTTCGATGAAAGGTCTAATTTGTCGCCCGACCCGGTATCGGATCGTTTTTCTTCGAATTTCCCGGACCGTTTAAAATCGCCGCTCGGGATATATACGATTCGGGAAGTTCCGAATGTTTAATTAACTTATTATTTTAAAAAGAAAAAAAATCGTTAGGACGATGGATATTTTAATTGCATCGGCAACAGCGCATAAACTCATAAGCTCATCAACTCATCAACTCATCAACTCATCAACTCATCAACTCATCAACTCATCAACTCATCAACTCATCAACTCATCAACTCATCAACTCATCAACTCATCAACTCATCAACTCATCAACTCATCAACTCATCAACTCATCAACTCATCGACTCATCGACTCATCAAGTGAGAAACTAATTATGTACCGGTAATAACATGATCTGTTCGTATCGTGTGAATAGGGCGATATTTTCGTCGAAATACCGAACAACAGCCGCTCCGGCGAAATTGCATATATCCGACAAACAACAAGTCATAATCCGGGGGAGAGTTCTCTCCTTAACCGAAACTCCATAAATCGGTTAGTTAAACAAACTGCACGGGAGTTCTCCGGGCCGGGCGAGCCGGTACACATTTCGAGTGACTAATTAACGCCCGGCACGGCGGAAAATGAACGTCGGCGTCGCGGCGTTTGTTCCGGGCGTCCCGGAGTAAATGTGTTCTCATCGTATACAATAATGCGTGTGAGAGCGCGTCGCGAGATACAGTTAAAAATCTACAATTAGAGACTTTTTTCACGCAAAAAAACTTCATCTCCTTGGAGCTTTAATGAGCAGAGGAAATTAAAATTGCATCGTAATCGAATTAGGCTCTCTTTGACGCGACGCCGTCGTCGAGGTTATTCCGGATGCATTATTCATGGTGCGAAACTACAAAATATACATTAGTACATTTTAAATTCCCTGTGTGAATTGTACGAATGAGGAATTATCAGCGCGAGGACGTCGCGCGAATGTGGATCGGCGTGTTTTAATTTTTGAAATTTTAATTCGAGAGGACGCCGAATTTATTATGCGCTCGGCGCAAAAAGGGGACGCTGTATTCGGTCGCGATGGAAATTCCACCGCCCCCGGAAATGTATTCTATATATAGTGAGTTTCGTATAATAAGGTCGTTAATAATGAAACGAATATCGTGGGTAGGAATGAGGCAGAAAAAGAGAAGAAGTTTGGTAAGAGTTTTATATATGGAGGAATCGTAAACATATCAGATCAGATTCTCTTAAAATAAAGATGGTTTTGTTCTTCGTTTTAACGCCGCAATTTCACAGTGAATATATTAATCCATTTTTTTGTCTAATAAACCTTCGAAGGTCAGGAAAATTAAATTCACAAATCAAGCCGCACTTGTTGGTCGCCATAAAACAAAGGCCATACCCAAAAATGCTTTTATATAAAACGATTTATCATTATTAACCTAAAGCTCCCCGACAACGGCCGTAATGGAAAAATTTCATAAAGACGCCCGCCCTAATTAGACCAAAGGAGGAGAGAACCCCCGATATAACAATGGATTTTATGGCCGGGCGAAATTAAAAAATATACAAAAAAAAACCTAAATATTTGATCGTTTTTCTCTGTAAGCGTGAGTATAAAGTATGAGTATATAAAGTAGAGTATAAAGTATGAAGTGAAATAAAAGTAACAATGAACAAAAGATTTTTTTTTAATATTTTGTATGAGAACAGGTGAACTACGATATCTATAATCGATCGGGTAAGTTTTTCTAATTATATTTTCTAATATCGAAGAAAATGAAAACTTTCGATCGGTCCCGGGCGAGATGTTAGGGTCGCATTCAAATGAGGGCGAATCTCAATATTTAATTTCGGCTATTTTTCGAAAATAAATCAGAAGAAAAGGAGATGGGCGGCACGCGAAAGCCGGTTTTCCTAATGAATTATCATTTTCGGTCTTAATAATTCGAGAGACAGAGACCGAAGGAAATTCATCCGACGGGGTGGAAGTCGAACGGGTGAAATTTACGACCGGCCCGACAGCGGCGCGCTGGAATAATTTCCACCCTATTTAATAAAAAAAAATTACCCTAATCGCCACCCCTAAAAGAAATAAAGCTTGGCACGAATGTGATTAAACAGTGCAGATACAGGGTGTTATTTTAATACGTGATTCTTTGAGTCCAAAACTACACTGGTAATAAACATTTAGATTGCTTAATCAGGGACATCTTTCAAAGGATCATCGCAAGAGGGTATATAAAGCGATTTTTAACGCGTTTCTCGCGACCTTATCATTTATTAAAGTCGGAAAAGCGTGCGTGCGGTTGCCGCAAAATCATCGAAAAGGGGCAAAAACCGCGGACGCGGGTCGCCGTCGAAACTCCCGAAAACTTCTCTGTA